GAAACTAACACACCATTGTAAAGCAATTATACTCCAATAAAGATGTTAAAAAAAAAAGATAAAGGGCTTCAAAGGGCAACATCAACAAAGTGAGAAGATGACCCACAGAATGGGAGAAAATATTTGCAAATCACATATCTGATAAAGAACATGTATCTAGAATATGTGAAGAACACTTACAACTCATCAGTAAAGAACCAAAAAACTCAATTTAAAAATGGACAAAGAATCTGAATAGACATTTATCCAAAGAAGATATACCAATGACCAATAAGTACATGAAAAGATACTCAACATCATTAGCCATTAAGGAAATGTAAGTCAAAAACACAGTGAGATACAACTTCACATCCACTAGAATGGCTAAAATAAAAAAGAAAGGTGGCAAGTGTTGACAAGGATGTAGAGAAATTAGAACCCTCCTACAATGCTGATGGGATTATAAAATGGTGCCCCTGCTTTGGAAGAGTCTGGCAAAAACTTTGACTTGAATATTTATAGCAACATTATTTATAATAGCCAAAAACTGGAAACAACCCAAATTTCCACCAACTGATGAACCAGTAAACAAAAGTGGTATAAGCATACAATGGAATAATATACAGCTATAAAAGAGGACTGATATACTGATACATGCTAAAACGTGGATGAACTTTGAAAACATTATGGGAAACAAAAGAAGCCAGTCACAAAAGACCATGTATTATATGATTCAATTTATATAAAGTTTCCAGAATGGGCAAATCTATAGAGATAGAAAGTAAGTTAGTGGTTGCCTATTGCTGGGGGGTGGGGTGGCTTAGAGAAAAATGGGGAGTGACTGCTAATGGATATGGGGTTTCTTTTTTGGGTGATGAAAATGTTCTAAAATGAATTATGGTGATGGTTGCACCACTGTGAATACACTAAAAATCATTGAATTGTTCACTTTAAGCAGGTTAATTGTATGGTGTATTAATTATATCTCAACACAGCTGTTAAAAATATAATATAAAAGGATATTATGAATAACCTTACACCAAAAAAAATCAACTTAGATGAAATGCTCTTTTAAAAAATATTAAAATGAATATAAAAAAGAAACAAAAATGTGAATAATCATAATCTGTTAAAAATATTGGATCTGTAATTTAAAACCCTCCCATAAAGAAAATTTCAGGCTGAGATGTTTCACAGGTGAATTATTCCAAACATTTAAGGAAGAAATAATACCAACCTTAAACTTTCTCAGAATATAGAGGAGAAAGGAACAGTTCACAACATTTTTTTAAGAGGGTAGTATAATCTTGATACCAAAACCTGACATGAACATTTTAAGAAAATGACAGGCCAATTGTTCTCATGAACATAAATGCAAAAATCCTAAACAACAGTAGCAAAATGAGTCCATTTTTCTTTAAAAAAAAAAAAAAGATAACAGATCATTGCCAAGTGGGATTTATTCCAAGAAAGCAGTTTTGTATTAACAATAGAAAATCTGTGAAATTCACCACATTAAAAAAATAAATGAGGAAAGTCACATGGCTACCTTAATAGATGCTGAAGAAGCAATTGACACAATTCAATACCCATTCAAGAAAAACAAAACAAAGCTCTCCCTAAACTAGAAGTAGATGCAGGTTATCCAATTCAGAACATCAAATATATGTCTTGTGTGTCCCCTCACCCAACTAAAGGTCATGTTCTGTAGCCACACTGAGGAGAAAACACTAATGTGTTTGTCTGAAAAATGCCTAAGGGATGGTGGAACTGACTTGGAAGGAACCAGGGTCCTTGAATGTCCAAGAGGAGCAGGCAGTTTACACACATTTACCAAACACATTACATTAGACACATTTAAACAATTTTTTTCTTTAAGCCACTGATGACTGTGTCTTTTTGTTAAAACAGTTAGTCTTACCCTACTGATCCAGGAGATGGTGTATAATGTGTAACAGGAGAAATTTCATTTGTACACAGGAAGGACATGTTGATGATCAAAGATGACCAAGCACAGGGCTTCCCTGGTGGCACAGTGGTTGAGAGTCCGCCTGCTAATGCAGGGGACACGGGTTCGTGCCCCGGTCCGGGAAGATCCCACATGCTGCGGAGCGGCTAGGCCCATGAGCCATGGCCACTGAGCCTGTGCGTCTGGAGCCTGTGCTGCGCAGTGGGAGAGGCCACAACAGTGAGAGGCCCGCGTACTGCAAAAAAAAAAAAAAAGATGACCAAGCATCAAAAATGGTTTACCCAGCGAAGTTATGGAGTACCTTGCAGATCTTTGTGAAGAAGATTGAATTGCCAGCTTGCTCACAGTTTAAATTCTATTCTAGCATTTGCTAGAATAAAAATCATTGTTTTATTTTGGTACCTATCACATTACCAAATTTTAGGGGTTTTAAAAATGTTCAGAACTGTGCTGATTTATGTGTTTTGATAGATGGGCTTTATCTATTTACATTTATTATAGTTACTGATATATTTGAACTTATTTCTACCATACTTCTTTTTGTTTCCTTTTTTCTCTTTTCCTGCCTTCTACTGGATTTAAAAGACCCATTTCCTATCCCTCACCCCTGCTTGTTTGGGAAGCTCTGTGTTGCATTTCCATTCTTTTGGTAGTCACTTTGAAGTTTTTGACATGCATTATACATTTCCCTATAAGACTCTGAAGTTATTCATTATTTCTCTTCTAAACATTCCTGCTTTAACCCCATTGAAGCCCACTTTACCTATTAAACACCCTCAAACCCTACTCAAGCTAATCTTACCATCTTTTCCTTAGAGCTTAGACTGTACCACTTTTTAAACCCACTTTTAAAAAGGGGGGGGGGGTTGGTTTGTTTGTTTATAGTCGATAGTTAATTAAATGTATTTATTTTTTAAAAGACACTATTGAAACAATTCTTGAGAATCTCTTTTCTGAGACGTTAAATGAGGGCCCAGTGCCTGTCTCACGCAGAGTAGGTGCTCGATAAATGGAACCCATCTTTCCCTCTCCCAAAATAAACTGTTGTGTCCCTAGAGCCTGTCATACAGAGTGAAGTAAGTCAGACAGAGAAAAACAAATACCGTATGCTAAGACATATATATGGAATCTAAAAAAAAAAGTGGTCATGAAGAACCTAGGGGCAAGATGGGAATAAAGACGCAGACCTACTAGAGAATGGACTTGAGGACACGGGAAGGGGGAAGGGTAAGCTGGGACAAAGTGAGAGAGTGGTAGTGTATATATGGACATATATACACTACCAAATGTAAAATAGATAGCTAGTGGGAAGCAGTCTCATAGCACAGGGAGATCGGCTCGGGTGTTTTGTGACCGCCTGGAGGGGTGGGATAGGGAGGGTGGGAGGGAAGGAGATGTAAGAGGCAAGAGATATGGGGATATATGTATATGTATAACTGATTCACTTTGTTATAAAGCAGAAACTAACACACCATTGTAAAGCAATTATACTCCAATAAAAAGTTAAAAATAAATAAATAAACAGTTGTTTGTCTCTTTAACACTAGCCATGAGTGCTCAGCAGGCATGGATTCCTCTGGGTTGGATGCATTTCACGGACAGTTGGCAAAGACCAACCTCTCCTTATGTTAATTTTGTGAATACTGTACTTGACTGTGTAACAAGCTAAATGATGCAGGATTAAATGTTCTCATTTCTGAGCTGTGAAGTGTTGAAAGTGATCAGGAAATAAGGGCAGAATATCCATCCTTTGGGAGAAGAATGTCAGTCTGTGTTGCTGCCCCTCTTGGCTGCTGGTTGGAATGCAGCTGTTAAGGCAGCTGTTTAACTGTTTGCCCAACTTGAAAGGACACTGTCAAGTGGCAAATACTTTTCATAACAACATTTTACTTTTGCTGAGAACAACAACAGTGCATTTTACTGAGCTCCAGCAGTGTGCCAAACATGACAGATTTATAACTCTGCAGGTTCACAACCTAGACTGAACACAATGCTCATTTCCATTTTTAATATTTATAAAAAGAATGAATAGGCTCCCAAAGGTAGCCTCTACACAAAACATCTCTACATCTTTCCTATTTGTTGAAAAGGCAGCAGAGTAACTTGAGAAAATGAAATACCTCTGAAAATGAAAATCTTAGAAATGTCAAAGGAAAAAAGGAAAGTTTAAATATTTTACCCCTTCTTGTGACTTTACCCCTTCTCATCCAGGACAGATGAGGGCAGCAGTAGCACAAGAAACACATCATCTACTGAATCTCCTGCAATTCGTGGGTCTCATTCTGGGTCATGAAGTTAATCGATGTTGTTCATTAAAATATTGACACTAAGTACTTAGCAAACAATTGTGTTGAATCTGACAGGCTGTGAACTGGGGTGGCAGTGGGGGTAGGAGGTGGTTATCAACTATTTTATTTCATTGTAAAAGCTATGTGACAAATATCAGCATTCAGAATTAAGAAAACACATTCAAATGCGTAAGCGTGATTTTCTTCCAAACCCAAAAGTACATGGATCATGATCATACGACATAGACCTGCACCCTCAGTCTATTACCCGTTGTCAGAAGCTCATGCCTTCAAAAAGGCTTATGGAGATATACTTTAGGCAAGTAGAGGGATCCTGCGCACACCTATTGTTTGTTCCAGCTGAAGTGGTATTAGAAAGCAGCAGTAACCACCACTCATAACATTTAGTGTGTAATCCCCTTTACAGCCTTTATGAAGACAACAGAAGTCAGGCAGGGTGGATGCAAACTCATTTAATAAACCCTCACAGTCAAAGCTGGAACAGAGATGTTTCTAAAGGTGAGCTGGGCTGAACAAAGATGGTCAATGGATATTCTAACCTATGTTATGTTTTCTCTACTGTTTACCGAATGGTAATTAACTTGTAAATGACAGCAGTCTGGTCCAGCTGTTTCTCCAAATTACAAAAGCCTACATTTTGACAAAACTGACATGATTTCTTGGACAATGATAGACAAAGTCCCATGCACTGGTTAATGGTCACTGAGGAAGTCAGCCACAAATTTTTTCTCTCTTTTTTTCAGGGATCAGAAAATTAGTAAATGCAAACCATGGATGAAAGTTATAAGATTGCTTCCACAGAAAGGATCCAGTTGTTGGAAAAAGAACTGGCTGTACAATTGACAGAACTGAAGTCTGAGACACAAGAACAGGGGACTCTTCAGGGGTCAACTCATCGAGCTTACAGGTAAATAAGGGCAGTGTGAAGGCATGGTCTTAGGGGCTTTAACCCCTACTCTCATCCCATAATCTCCATCAGAACCCCCTCTCCTTTTTACATGGACAGTTGGCATCATCTCAAGCTCAGACTTAACTGCTGCCCCTAAGGTTTTCCTATATTCTAGAATTGTCAAGGCATTTAGAGGCAATGTGCTACCAAGGAAGAAGGAAAAGTGCTCTTACATCTCACAAATATCATTGTCTTAAAGTTCCAGAAGCTACTATACAAATCATAGTCAATGAAATCTCATTTTCTCCAATGATATTTTAACTGAATTTGACCTTGATTTTGATGAGAAATTTCAAAACGAAAATAATGTGAGGTGTTTGATAATGAATTCTGCAAAATGATGTTCTGTTAGGAGCTATTCTATAGGTAAATGCTGCCAACCATAGCAATCAAATTCTTTTAGAGAGACAGGGTAGCCAATTCAGCCCTCATGGGCCCAGGACATTCAAACTCCTCTGTTTCTGCTACTGCCACAATTGATCAAGAGGAGCAGTTATAAGGACCCTTTTAGGTTGAGTAGCTGAGTAAACACAATGTGGATGGTGAAGGTTGGAGAGGGAAGGTCTGGAGAAGAAGCAGGAAATAGGTACATTAGTACCTCCTTCCAAAGATGATTCTGAAGAACCAGTATTTAGTGTATTTTATAATTTGGTATTTAAAGCCCTGAAGTATATGAAGCAGATCAAGGATTGTGTGATGAAGTGGAAAGGGAATGGAACCATGCAAGTCGTAATTTCTCCCAGCTTTTGTTCCTTTATTTGAAAGGTTAAAAATATGTACCTTGCCTACCTTATAAAGGTCAGTTGAGATCATGCATGCTAAAGTACTTTGAAAACTATAAAACACCATGCAAAGATCAAATGTTGATACTGTTAAAACTTAAATGTCAGAGTGTCAGGCAAGGGGCTGCCCACTGTGCATTGTGGTAAGAAAGGTTTTCTGAAGTCCCTTTTAGGACAGAGTGATGGGAAATCTCTGGATACCTGTATTTCTCCACTCCCCAAAACCACCAAACACTGGACCTGAAGAATCTAACTATTAATCCAACAAACATTTATTGATCACCTTCTGTTTGCCAGGTGTTGTGCTTGGTTCTGGAGTCCATGGAAAATATCCACTCCTGATAATAACTTTAGAATTCTCATTTCCTACTAGACTACAAAATCTATTGAGAACTGGAGGATAACTGTGCCTTAGTCATCTTTCCTTCCACCCCCTCTCCCTCCCTCCCTCCCTTCCTTCTTTCCTTCCTAGCTTCCTTCCTTCTTTCCCATTCTTTCCCTCATCTTGCCCCCCATAAGCCCAGGTCTTTGTGGTTGTTAAGTGCTTCATAGATGCTTGCCGAATACATAGATGAATGAATGTATGTTGATGTATGTTGATGAACAAATGAGTGAATCTCTTTTTTTGGCTTGATGTACATACCATGTTCACCAATCTCTTTTAGGTCATTCGCAGACACTTTGGGGTTAAAGGAAAGGCATGGTCTGAGCATGGTCTAAGCAAGAGTGGATCAGAGAACTAAACCCAGAACCCCACCCAATCTCCCAGCATGCCAAAGAATTAGAAGACCAAAGGGCAGGGAAGGGATGGGTTTCTTCTGTTTCTCTGACTGCCTTTAGTAGCTGCTCCCCTTTCTAGGTGGTTACTGGTTCTCCACCTCCATGAGGCTGCAGCCAGAATTCAGGTACCCAGTAATCACAGAAGTTATACCTTTGATTTATTAATGCTTTTACCCTTTCAGAGCTTGTGTCTTTTTTCCATCAAAACCAAGACATAGGGGTTCCCTGGTGGCGCAGTGGTTGAGAGTCCGCCTGTTGTTGCAGGGGACACGGGTTCGTGCCCCGGTCAGGGAAGATCCCACATGCCGCGGAGCGGCTGGGCCCGTGAGCCATGGCTGCTGAGTCTGCGCGTCCGGAGCCTGTGCTCTGCAACGGGAGAGGCTACAACAGTGAGAGGCCCGCGTACCGCAAAAAAAAAAAAAAAAAACAAGACGTGAGGAGATAAGGGAAGGCATTATTCCAACTGCAGTTGTGAATTCTCACAAATGGATCAAGCTTAGCCTCACGTGGCTGAGGGACCTCCTGACTGTCAGCCTGGTGTTCTTTTCACAGGACCACTGCCTCCAGTGAGGTGAACTGCTGGCAAGTCTATTTTTATCTTCCCTTAAAACTTATCCATGGGGACTGATAACAGTCATATGAACATTAACCATACTTTACTGACTACAGTCCCCCTCAGATCTCAAGGTGGTTTCTCACATGTGTTCCAGAACTATCTCCTGTGGCTCCCTTGCCAGTGTTCCCGAAGTCCCATCTTAAGGAAGTAACATCTGCTCCATGGTTGCAATGTTCCCAAAGCTGCCAAGCCTTGGGGTGTATCTTACACCCAATGGGGAGAGCACTCCTCTTCCTGATCCAGGATCCAACCTCTTATCAGGCCGCAGGCAGTGCTGCTTGTACCTCCTCATGTCAGAGCCTTTGGTACAAACAGCTTCCTCATGATTGGGCCTGGACAACAGTCAGAGGGTGCTTAAGCAGACACTTCTGCTATGCTTTTCCTAGGGATAAATAATTTTTCTGAAGCAGAAAGTTTGGTGAAAATAATTTCCAAAGTATTTCATGTTTGATATTTAAGGGTCATTTTCACCCTCTAGATAATTGAGCAAGAGCACAAAAATAAAAACATTTTGTTTAAATTATTAAATAATGATTTTATGTGTCAGCTATGGTAAGATAGAGGTCAGATAAGCACAGTAGTTGTTAGAAATGTGGTTACTGAAGGAAATATGGGTGGGGGAAAGAAACATCCTTACTATTGTCAGAAATAAAGAGGTAAATCAGGGGTAGAAGAAAGACGATGTTTGTATGAGAAGGAGAGAAAAACTGGCCCAGGGAAAGGTTTAACCGGCATGAGGTGTACACAAGAGAGATTCTGACTAAGACAGAAGCTTGTGGCCTTTACATGCCCCCAACATTCCAGTATAATACGATACACTTATTTAGAAATGAGCAGTTGTGGAGTTACAGATTAATCAGGGCCTATCTTTAATCTGATTTATTATAGCTTCTATAATTACAGCTTCTATTGCATAAAACTTTCTGCAGCTCTGTTCGAATGCCAAAGGACATTTCTTACTTTCAAAGAGAAAGGGAACTGGCTCTAAAGAAAACTTTACAGATGAGTAGAACAGTGGGCTATTTCAACACAACAATAAATTAGAATTTGCTAACTTGTTGGAAACTGTTAGCAGGGAAAGCTTATTTTTGCAAACAAACAGCTGATCTTATTGACAGTGGTTACAAAGACAGAACAGCCCAATATTCAGCTCACTGCTGGATCAGAGCAGGCCAATACTTCTTTGGAGAGATCTGATTTTTGTAGTGTTTTAAACTTTACAGTTCCTTGATTTGTGATGTTAAAATTCATTATTTGGAAATTCATTATATGTAACAGCATAATGTGTTATATAAAAACTATCATAAATTATATGCCATTTTCCGTCATAGACCCTGATAGTTTTATTTCCTTCTTTCCTTTTGTTTGCTTGCTCCGTTCCCCACACCCGCAACCCCGGGTTCAGGTGGCTGAGTCAAAACCCCTTGTTATTCAAGCAGATGTCATGCAGAGGGAGCTAGAGAGCTGCCTAAGGAGAGAGTACACTCCTGAAAATTTACCTTTGCTTCTGTTGCAGGTAAGAGTCATTTTGCAATTTGAAAAGTAGATCTGGAATTTGGTGGAAATGTATGAACAAAGCTGGCTTTCTGGTATGTCCTCTGGCCAGGGTAGGATTTTCTCTATATGTGTGGTTTGCAGAACTTGGTTAATATAAATGCTCTTCTTTGTTATAGACCCACGCCATTTAAGTTCAGCTTAGTTATAGTCACTAAACAATTGACTAAGTTTCTACTAGTTACTCCCTGTGCTGGTATTATGAAGCAATACAACATTGACTAAGATAGTCGCAGACCTCAAAAACTGTTGGCTGACCTAGGGAAGATTCTGGAAATCTCTCTTAAGAAAATAACTCACAACCTGGGGGGAAAGATTTTCCATAAAGATTATTATTGCAGCATTATAATAAAAGTGAAAAAAGTTGGAATTGCCTAAAATTAATCCATTTACATTTAAGGTAGTTATCAGTATGTATGTTCCTATTACCATCTTCTTAATTGTTTGGGGTTTGTTATTGTTGGTCTTTTCCTTCTCTTGTGTTTCCTGCCTAGAGAAGTTCCTTTAGCATTTGTTGTAAAGCTGGTTTGGTGGTGCTGAATTCTCTTAGCTTTTGCTTGTCTGTAAAGGTTTTAATTTCTCCATCAAATATGAATGAGATCCTTGCTGGGTAGAGTAATCTTGGTTGTAGGTTTTTCCCTTTCATCACTTTCAGTATGTCCTGCCACTCCCTTCTGGCTTGCAGAGTTTCTGCTGAAAGATCAGCTGTTAACCTTATGGGGATTCCTTTGTATGTTATTTGTTGCTTTTCCCTTGCTGCTTTAAATATTTTTTCTTTGTATTTAATTTTTGATAGTTTGATTAATATGTGTCTTGGCATATTTCTCCTTGGATTTATCCTGTATGGGACTCTCTGTGCTTCCTGGACGTGATTGGCTGTTTCCTTTCCCATATTAGGGAAGTTTTCAACTATAATCTCTTCAAATATTTTCTCTGTCCCTTTCTTTTTCTCTTCTTCTTCTGGGACCCCCTATAATTCGAATGTTGGTGCGTTTAATGTTGTCCCAGAGGTCTCTGAGACTGTCCTCAATCCTTTTCATTCTTTTTTCTTTATTCTGCTCTGCAATAGTTATTTCCACTATTTTATCTTCCAGGTCACTTATCCATTCTTCTGCCTCAGTTATTCTGCTATTGATTCTTTCTAGAGAATTTTTAATTTCATTTATTGTGTTGTCCATCATCGTTTGTTTGCTCTTTAGTTCTTCTAGGTCCTTCTTAAACGTTTCTTGTATTTTCTCCATTCTATTTCCAAGATTTTAGATCATCTTTACTATCATGACTCTGAATTCTTTTTCAGGTAGACTGCCTATTTCCTCTTCATTTGTTTGGTCTGGTGGGTTTTTACCTTGCTCCTTCATCTGCTGCATGTTTCTCTGTCTTCTCATTTTGTTTAACTTACTGCGTTTGGGGTCTCCTTTTTGCAGGCTGAAGGTTCGTAGTTCCTGTTATTTTTGGTGTCTGCCCCCAATGGGTACGGTTGGTTCAGTGGGTTGTGTAGGCTTCCTGGTGGATGGGACTGGTGCCTGTGTTCTGGTGGATAAGGCTGGATCTTGTCTTTCTGGTGGATAGGACCGCGTCCAGTGGTGTGTTTTGGGTGTCTGTGAACTTATGATTTTTGGCAGCCTCTCTGCTAATGGGTGGGATTGTGTTCCTGTCTTGCTAGTTGTTTGGCATAGGGTATCCAGCACTGTAGCTTGCTTGTTGTTGAGTGGAGCTGGGTCTTAGCGTTGAGATGGAGATCTCTGGGAGAGCTTTCGCCGATTGATATTACGTGGGGCTGGGAGGTCTCTGGTGGACCGATGTCCTGCACTCGGCTCTCCCACCTCAGAGGCTCAGGTCTGACACCCGGCCAGAGCACCAAGAACCTGTCAGCCACTTGGCTCAGAAGAAAAGGGAGAAAAAAAAAGAAAGGAAAAAAAATAAAGTTATTAAAATTAAAAATTTAAAAATTATTAAAAATAAAATATAAAAAAGAAAGAAGAGAGCCACCAAACCAAAAAACAAATCCACCAATGATAACAAGCACTAAAAACTATACAAAAAAAAAAAAAACCAGACAGAACCCGAGGACAAATGGTGAAAGCAAAGCTATACAGACAGAATCACACAAAGAAGCGTACACACTCACAAAAAGAGAAAAAGGAAAAAAATATACATATATTTTTTAAAAGACAGCAACCAAATCAATAAACAAATCTACCAGTGATAATAAACTCTAAATGCTAAACTAAAATAAACATAAAACCAGAAACAAATTAGATGCAGAAAGCAAACCCCAAGTCTAAAGTTGCTCCCAAGGTCCACTGCCTCAATTTTGGGATGATTTGTTGTCTGTTCAGGTATTCCACAGATGCAGGGTACATCAAGTTGATTGTGGAGATTTAATCTGCTGCTCCTGAGGCTGCTGGGAGAGATTTCCCTTTCTCTTGTTTGTTCGCACAGCTCCTGGGGTTCAGCTTTGGATTGGCCCTGCCTGTGTATGTAGGTCACCTGAGGGCGTCTGTTCTTTGCTCAGACAGGATGGGGTTAAAGTAGCAGCTGATTAGGGAGCTCTGGCTCACTCAGGCCGGGGGGAGGGAGGGGTACAGAATGCGGGGCGAGCCTGAGGCGGCAGAGGCCAGCGTCACTGTTGCAACAGCCTGAGGCTCGCCATGTGTTCTCCCGGGGAAGTTGTCCCTGGATCACGGGACCCTGGCAGTGGTGGGATGCACAGGCTCCCGGGAGGGTAGGTGTGGATAGTGACCTGTGCTTGCACACAGGCTTCTTGGTGGCTGCAGCAGCAGCCTTAACGTTTTCATGCCCATCTCTGGTGTCTGCGCTGATAGACACAGCTCGCACCCGTCTCTGGAGCTCGTTTAGGCGGTGCTCTGAATTCCCTCTCCTCGTGCACCCCGAAACAATGGTCTCTTGCCTCTTAGGCAGGTCCAGACTTTTTCCCGGACTCCCTCCCAGCTCGCTGTGGCAAACTAGCCCCCTTCAGGCTGTGTTCACTCTGCCAACCCCAGTCCTCTCGCTGGGATCCAACCTCTGAAGCCCGAGCCTCAGCTCCCAGCCCCCGCCCGCCCTGGCGAGTGAGCAGACAAGCCTCTCGGGCTGATGAGTGCTGGGCGGCACCGGTCCTCTGTGCAGGAATCTCTCTGCTTTGCCCTCCGCACCCCTGTTGCTGCGCTCTCCTCCAAGGCTCCGAAGCTTCCCCCACCTCCCACTCCCCATCTCCACCAGTGAAGGGGCTTCCTAGTGTGTGCAAACTTTTCCTCCTTCACAGCTCCCTCCCAGAGGTGCAGGTCCCTATTCTTTTGTCTCTGTTTTTTCTTTTGCCCTACCCAGGTACGTGGGGGTTTTCTTGCCTTGTGGGAAGTCTGAGGTCTTCTGCGAGCATTCTGTAGGTGTTCTGTAGGAGTTGTTCCACATGTAGATGTATTTTTGATGTATTTGTGGGGAGGAAGGTGATCTGCACATCTTACTCCTCCGCCATCTTGAAGGTTCCTCCTCCAAATATATTTTCTATCTTTATCCCTCCTTCTGGGACTCCAGTGATATATATGTTAAATTACTTCATATTGTTCCGTAAGTCATTGAGCCTCTGTTAAATCTTTTTCTGTCTTTTTTTCCCCCAGTGCTTCATTTTGTATAGTTTCTATTGCTATATCTTCAAGCTTACTAATCATTTCTTCTGCACTGTCTAATCTGCTGTTAATCACTTCCGATGAATTTTTTATTTCATATAGCTTTCATTTCTAGAAGTTCTATTTCATTATTTTTCTTATATAAATTTATTTATTTTTATTTTTTTTGGCTACGTTGGGTCTTTGTTGCTGCACGCAGGCTTTCTCTAGTTGTGGCGAGCGGGGGCTACTCTTTGTTGCAGTGCATGGGCTTCTCACTGCAATGGCTTCTTTTGTTGTGGAGCACAGGCTCTAGGTGTGCAGGCTTCAGTAGTTGTGGCACTCAGGCTCAGTAGTTGTGGCTCGCGGGCTCTAGAGCACAGGCTCAGTAGTTGTGGCACACGGGCTCAGTTGCTCCGCGGCATGTGGGATCTTTCCAGGCCAGGGCTTGAAACCATGTCCCCTGCACTGGCAGGTGGATTCTTAACCACTGTGCTACCAGGGAAGTCCCTATTTCATTATTTTTAATAGTTTTCGTTTCTCTTCTTATGTTCACATTTTCCTTTCAATTCTTGAACATACTGAGCATACTAATAAAATCCCTTTTAAAGTCCTTGTTTGCTAATTTCCTCACTGGTGCCATTTCTGGGTCTGTTTCTCTTCATTAATTTTTCTCCTGCTTGTGGGTCATATTTTCCTGCTTCTTTGCATGTCTAGTAATTTTTTTGGACACTGAGCATTGCAGTTTTACATTACTTACTGAATGCTGATTTTTTTTCTTATTCCTTTAAAGATGTTGGTCTTCATTCTGGTGGGCAATTAAGTTTTAGATCAGCTTCACACTTACAAGGCTTGGTTTTTAAGCTTTGTTAGAGCAGGTTTAGAGTTACCTTTACTCTAGAGATAGTTTATTTTTCTTACTAAATTGTCACCCCTCTCATGTCTCTGCTGAATACCCTAGGTATTCAGTGAGGACTCTTCACCCTGTCTGACTGAAACGTGAACATCTCCTAGTCCTGTTTGAACTCTGAGAAGTGTTCAGTTTACAGTTCCCTAGTTAGTTATTCTTTGCACAGCCTCATGGAGTTTTGCTGTCTGTATTCAGGGCTTAATAGTCAGCAAAAAGCTCAAAGGGATCTCTATGCAGATTTCTGGAACCCTTTTTCTGCATAACTTTCTCCTCTCTAGTACTCTGCCCTGCAAACTCCAGCCGACTCAGCTTCCCAAACTTGATTTTGGAGAGACCATCGTGCTCTGCTTTCCTACTCTATGGTTCAAAAACTGCCTTCTTCAGGCAGAAAACCTGGGCTCATTTCATTTTTTTCCTTTCTCTCAAGGACAAGAGTCCTGCATTGTCTGTTGTCTCATGTCAGAAAACAGTTGCCTTGTGTAATTTGTCCTATATTCTAGTTGTTTATGATGGAAGGGTAAGTCTGGCCCTATTTATTCCATCATAGCCACTATTATTTTTAGCAGAAATAAAGTATTTTAAAAGAGTTGGCTTATCTGACTATCTTTAAGTATAAGTAAAATTCTTGGTCTAAGGTTAGAAGCTGTAATCTCACTTGTAATGTGCTTTGTATTTTAGAGTCATAAACTTCAGTTTAAAAGCAAACTTTTAAGCTTAGCTTTAGATAATTTTATAGGCTTTTATGTCACTGCTAAAATTGTTCACCAACTGATAAATGAAACTACAATCTGTTGGAATGGCAAAATGCCTACTTGCTTCATTTAAATTTGAATGGTGAACCAGGTTCGGTTTTTTTGGTTTTGTTTTGTTTTTATCAGTTCCCCCCTCCCTCCCCACCCTCTTTAATTGGAGAGCTTTTCTCTCTATATCAATTTTGAGACAGGTTTCTCAATTTTATTATCTTCATGTAGAAAATACATCTTTCCAAAACAATCAGACTTATTTTCCCATTATATGTGTTCTTAAGATTTAATCCAGTCTTCCTGTTATAATTGTATTCTAAGTGTTCATTTTTTCTTTCCACCTTTGGTAAGAATCTTAACCAAATAGCCTTTATTTATTTTTTTTAAATAACAATATGTACTCCACCCACCTTGCAACATCGTTGAGTTATATATATTTATTTATCAAGTAATATGTTTTAAATAGTAAATGTATACATGTAATTAGTAAATGTATAAGAATATATATGTATATATAGATATGTAGAAAGTACTCTGTAAACCATAAAGCCCTATAAAAATTTGGGGTGCCATTGTTTCCTTTTTATTATGTATGCATTTGATTCACCTGTTTATGTATCTTACTATGCATCTATTTAGGGCAGAGTCTAGGTTGTAAATTGTTGAAGTACAAGATTCATGACTTTTGACAACCTGGGGGAAACTCCAGATAGTAAACTAAGCAAATGCTTAAAAAATGGCCTTTTGAGACTTCCAGTTCCACAAACATGAAGTAATGTCATTCCTCCAGGTTGTTCCTAAAAACTCCTGGACATAGCACAGAAAGCAAACATAGGAATATTTTGAAAGGTAGAAAGAAGTTGGGCTGCTTTCCTAAGGGATCTTAGGACTTGAGAAATGACATGGTGGTTAAGTGTTAATTTTTCTTGTTGTTGTTAAAGTATTATACAGCGAGAATTACCCAGCTGGCCCAGAGTAAATATTTACACATGCTTAGGTGGAAGAGATTTTGCCATCACAGTAAGATCATGGAGCAACTTTATCCTTTTTATAAAAAGGTAGGAGGCCCATGAACAGAACCTATGGGCTATTATTAAGTATAGTCATCATGCTTGTATATTATATCTCTAGACTTATTCATCCTACATAACTGTAAATTTATACCCTTTGCCCAACATCTCCCCTTTTCACCCCACCCCCCAGCCCCTGGCTACCACTGTTCTATTCTCTGCTTTTATGAGTTCGACTTTTTTTTTTCAGCTTCCACATACAAAGGATACCATACAGTATTTGTCTTTTTCTCTGGCTTATTCCACTTAGCATAATGTCTTCCATATTTATTCATGTTGTTACAAATATTAGGATTCCCCTCTTCCTCATGGCTGAATAATACTCCATTATAAGTGTATGTACCACATCTTCTTTACCCATTCATCCATCAACAGACTCTTAGGTTTTTATATTTTGGCTATTGTGAATACCGCTGCAGTTGAACATGGGAATACAGATATCTCTTCAAGATACTGATTTTGTTTTCTTTGGATATATACCCAGAAGTGGAATTGCTGGATCATATGGTAGTTCTGTTTTTAATTTTTTGAGGAATTTCCATACTGTTTACATAATAGATGTGCCAGTTTACATTCCCACAGTGTATCTTGTCAATTTCTTTTAAAGTGGTAGCTAAAGATGGGAAGGGAACTAGTGGCTGCCTTTACTTGCCAGTTCTGCCTGTGGCAGAAGATAATGGTACCTATTTTTAAGAATGAGATTTGAAGGAAGCTTTATATTATAGAAAATACATTTTTCTTCATAGGCTATAGGTAAAAATCTAAGAAGTCAACTCCAGTTACTAAATAAATATCCTTGTGCACTGACTCTTTGCTGGGTCACTCTCCTTCAGAGTCCTAAGAATGTGACTGATCACTGTCCTTGTCAGTCAAATTCAGAATATGGAAGAATTTTGATATTCCAAAAGCCTCTTATTTGGTTCCCAAACAGTATTACACCGTACTTGGAAGCAAATGACACAAGAAGTAAGGCTTGTAAATAACCAAGTTCTGTCTTTGCATCTCTCTTAAACAGAAACAAGTTGCCTACATTATGCAGGAGTACAATGTTGCCCTTCAGAGAGCTGATAGATTGTCTGTTGCAGGAGAAAACTTCCTTATGGGAAAAAACAATCCTCCTAACTTAGTGGCACAGGAAGACCTGACTGTTTACACAAATTAGTTATTGTGTCACCTACCCTCACTCAAGACTATTCACCACTACCTGCAGGTACGTGAAACAGTTATATGATGATGCAGTGCCTTCCCAGGATGGGCAGCACATTGTTTTTTCACACCTCTCACTTAGTTTTTGATTGTCAGTTTCTGTGTTCCATCTGCCTTACAAATGACAAGAAAATAATGGGTCACTAGCTTTTTTCTTTGAGACCTTTGAAACTTTTTTCCTTTGGAAGCTTGCTCTAATGAAATTACTCCATTTAGCTTTTTCAAAGATGTTTCTGTTAAACTATTTCATATTCACGCTATAAGTTCTTGTTTTCATCCTCTTGTTCTGGATTTATGCTGTCTAATGTAGATCCACTTTTTTATTCAGCAACATCTAGTGAGGGTCTAATTTATGCCAGGTACATATCCTGGGCCATGTAGGGAATATATAATCTTTGCTGAAAAGTAAGTGGGTCACAGGATGGTAGGAAAAAGGGCAAGTAAATAGTCAACTTAAATACAGTGTGGTAAGTATAATCACAGAGTAAAGAGAGTCACAGAGGAGAGGCCCTAACACAAGATAGAGGCATCAGAAAGCAGTGATGTGATCACGTTTGTTTTAGAAAGATTACTATTTTGCCACCTAATCTTTTCTTACTCCTCTATACCTCATCTCACTGATACAACCAACCACAAAACCTGGCCATCATCCTGACAATATCCCTTCCCCAATCAGTCACTATGGGATCTACCTCTGAATCATCTCTCCCCTGTCACATGGTATAGTAATAATAGTAATGATCTGCTTATAAGTCCTGGATCCCCCACTAAACTCTGAACTCTTTGAATTTGGTCCATATCTTATTTATCTTTGTATCTCTAGCACCTCACACAATGCCTTGTCCGTTATGGGTGGTTGATCAATGTAGACCTGCCTAGAGGTTAAGGCCACTTAGAGGTGGTGATATCACCAGGTCCCCCAGCTTCAGATTTACCTTTCATGATTGGGCAAGTTACTGAGGCCCACCTCCACCTCCTTCCTCCTCTACAAAGTCAAGGGCTGCTCCTGAAACAAAGTCTGGAAGCTTCTGTGAGAACTGAGTTGATGTGTGATCTCTTGGTTGTCCCCTTCTGTAGGCCCTCCAGTATTTGCCCATCTCCAAAGTGCTGAGTGTAGCTGTTGATGAAGTCCCCAATGTTGGTCAGGAAAATGAAAAGGTCCCTGTCAATGACATTGACCCTAACATCCAGGGTTCTGTATCTCCAGGCTCTATGAATACCAGCCTTTCAGGTAAGAAGTCTTCTTTCCCCTTGGGAAATGTGGAAAAAAGAAGATTGTGATTTTGCACATGTGCTGTTTTGTCACCTGATCTTGCTTGAAATTTCTCTATATACCAAAAAGTTATATATATATTTTTTATTTGGCCACACCACTCAGCCTGTGGGATCTTAGTTCCCCAACCACAGGTGGAACCTGGGCCTCAGCAGTGAAAGCACTGAGTCCTAACCAGTGAACCACCAGGGAATTCCCCAAAATTGTATCTTCTTAATTAACAAGTGTTAATTTAATATTTTCTGATGGAAGAAAATAACAAACACTTCCCTTAGAAATTATCATCTCCATCCTGGGGACTTCTGGCAGTCCAGTGGCTAAGACTCCACATTTCTGATGCAGGGGGTGCGTGTTCGATCCCTGGTCAAGGAATTAAGATCCCATATACCGTGTGGGGCTGCCAAAAAAAAAGAAAAGAAATTATTATCTCCATCTTTATAACTAGACAATTAAAATAGAGGAAAAAAGCAATGAACTTGAAGTTGGGAGTACTGAGCTCTAGGCCTATTCTGTTGTGGCCTCACTGTGAGCCTACATGTTTAAGTCATTTCATCTCCTTGGGCCTCAATTTACTCATCTCCATAATAAACCTTTCAGATGAAGTGATCTCTAAGGTTCTTTTCATTTTTAATTTTATATGATTTTTAAAGACTTTGCTTATCTGAATCAATTTAATAGTCTTCTTGCCCTTACCTTGTATTACAGATGACTTAGAAACCCGATCAGGTTTTCACTCTGCGTGATAAATTTACCAGGTGCACCTGGAGAGGCAGCCAACCCAGCTGTGGGGAATCAGAGAAAGCATCTCCAGGGGGAAGTCCAACCTGGGTGCTTAGAGATGAGTAGGAGTGAGCCAGGTGAAAGGAGGTGAAGGTTCTCAGCTTCTCCTAATTTGTTTGTTAACTTATAAATCATATTCTTTGTTTACCCCAAAGGACTATAGGTAGTTCTGTTCCCACTAAGTCATTCCCCAAAAGATATGTTGGATTTCTCCTGCAGACTGTGAGAAGGGAGGGGTCCTGGCTACCTCCCCCAGAAAGCCAGCACCAAGAATTTGTCAGATAGGCCTGGCTGAGTGTGGGACAGTCTACAGATTGTGGAAGAGAAGGTTGGGCATGAAGCAGAATGGTCTTCCCCATCAGCAGAAGGGGCCCTGACTCCAGTTATCTCAAAGGACTCTCCTTTTTCTCTCCCTGACTGGTGTTCATTGGTGTTAATGCTCTTGATTTTGGATTTTTTTTCAGGGCCAACAAGAACAGAAGCTGCTTTCTTTCTGCCCCAACACACAACAGAAACAGAAGAACTGAAACCTCAGCTGAGGCTCCTGCTCTCCCATTTCAGTATCCCATATGACATGGAAGAGCTAAGGGATGCTTCTAAGGAGATAGAACTTTTTTCCTTGGTACTTTATGGATTCTTTCTTAATACAAATATAGGTGTTCATAAAAGAAAATACTAGTATTTGCCACAAAGTTGAATATTCATACTGCCACAATTGTTTCTAGAGTGATAAAATGTAATAAGTGAAATTTAGACTAGCAGTTGAACTTTCCCTCTGTAAGAGTTATGAGCCCCTTGAATATCCAGCCCAGAGAGATTGTAGGATTATTTTTCAGTGGAATTTAAAGAAAATGGTAGGTTATAATCCATAGTAGATAATGTAAACATAGCCAAGATTTGGCAGTTTTATATTGTGGAGTTGTTTAGTGTCTAAAGCCCTTTGATTATCAGAAAGTGTTCCAATAGCTCTCCTATTGGCAAAATGCTTTATATTCAATAGAGTGTATATTGTGTAGTGATTTTTAAAGTCATGCAGTCTAGTCTGCTATCACATGGCGTTGCACCTCCTTGAAAAAAAATCAGAAGCCATGTTAAAACTTGTTTCAAAGGGAAAAATAGGATTGTATATAGAGAACCTCGAATTTACAATAATAAAGTTTTCAGCCAGAGTTTCAACATAAAGATATTTTTCTAGCTCTGGGTGTATAATATTTGTAAATATATATATTTGTTAGGTAAAAATGGTAAGTTGATTAATCCAAAAAGGCAAAGATCAAATCTGTATGTTTCTGAACACTTTTCGTGTAAGAAGGAGCCACTGTTTCATCACCATTTGCTTTGACCTTGCAGTTTTGCATCCATGTGTATTTGTTCCAGCATTATTTTCCTAGGATTATTTTTATTAGTATGTAACATAGACTCTTTAAGCTCACTGAAACCAGTGGTATTACATGTCCTCTGGTTTCTTTGAAGGTGATGATGTTTAGCTTTTGTCTTTCTTTTCATATCAGCAGCAGCACTGTCTTCAGCAGAGAGTGCTTCTATGGGAATATCCTCACCCTCATTATCAGCGTATTATGATAGACGAAAACCAGAATCAGAACAAGGTGGTGTTTAAAAAAGAGTCCAAATAAATAAAAGTAGTTTATGGCACAGTAGACTATCATTGGTGATAACAAAAGAACATGAGGCTGCAGAGCCCTCCCACAGAGCAGCCCTGTCCCCAAAGGATAGCTTGTCTTCTTTATATAGAGATAGTTTCTACTTTTGATTTTCTTATAACAGTATTATGTGCAATGCTAATTGTGCTTCCAAGATAATCACACTACAACAAATTTTTTGTGTAGGAAGAATTTCTACAAACAGGAAGAGTGTTTATTTTGGTTCTCTAATGCCCTAGAGCAGCGTCAGCAAACTACAGCCTATAGCCCACCACCTAGTTTTTTTGCAATAAAGTTTTATTGGAATACAGCCATGCCATTTCATTTATGTACTGTCTGTGGCTGCTTTCCACTATAACTGCAGAGTTGAGTAGTTGCAACAGAGACCATGTGGTCTGCAAAGTCTAAAATATTTACTATCCGGCCCTTTAGGAAAAAGTTTGCCACCCTAGCCTTAGACTAGCACTGTCTCATCGAACTTCCTGCACTGAGGGGTAGGATCTGTGTCTGTCCGATGTGTTAACACTAGTCACATGTGGCCTTTGAGCACTTGAGATGTGGGTAGAGTAAATGAACTAAATTTTAAATTTTGTTTAATTTTAATAAATTTGCATTTAAATGTTAAATAGCCACATGTGGCTGGGGCAACAGTATTGGACAGCACAGCCTGGGAGGTACCAGCATTAACTGGAAGAATCTTTAGCTCTGTGACTCACTGAACTTACTTATTCCAGAAACCTTTGTTGAGGCCGTAGTGTGTGCCAGCACTGTGGTAGGTTCTCTCTCTCTCTCTCTCTCTCTCTCTCTCTTTGTCCTTTTCTCTGCCTGTCTTTCTGTCTGTCTCAGTCTGGAACTGAGATGTGAGGGGTTTGACTGAGGTACCTTAAAGATTTTTAACAGGCCCCAGCATCTGGACCCTTCTCTCTAGCAATATCCTGGTCAGGCTTCTAGGAGCAGGATTTATCTAACCCTTAGATTTTCTCATTTACCAGGTGCCAGGAAAAGGGAATGGGTTTCCAAAGATGGACAGTTTACTTCCCACTTATGGTCCAGCTCAAAATACATATAAATAAATATATTAAATTATTTCTAAACTTCAGAGCAGATACTTGGAACAAGTAACACGACACACAGTTATGGTAATGGGCTGACTGAATACATGTGCCCCTTAGGTATATACCTTTAAGGTCCTGTTACTGTCATAGAATCATGTTTTATGAATTAGTTTGACTCCAGGACTGTTTCAGAGGCAATCAATACCTGTTTCTGAAATTGCCTACAACCTGAGACTTTTTTTTTCTGGGCTCCGCTTCTCTTTTCTCAGTCCTGTTTAGGTTTCCCCAAAATTTCAAAGCATCTTCATGGAGCAACAGAGAATGCAAACATTTCCAGATTATGATGCTGAGATAGCTAAAGTGGAGAATTTGGGTTTGGTAGGACCTGGTATGGCCTTGAAAAAGAGAGCCAACTGGATTTCCTTTATAAAGGTAAGGAGACCTGTGGTGACAGTCACCTGTGAATGATGTAAGCAGTGTCATAAAGTGTCCTCCAGGGAGGCCAGGCAACCTGGCAGCATCAAGTCTGTCAGATCCCTATTATCCCCTCTCCTCAATGCCCTCAGCAAACTGTCCCCTAAGAGCAAGGGTAGGTGCCTACCTGACTCAGGAGAGGTAGCTCAGAGAACCTGGCCTTGTGTACCAGCATCTCCCAGCACCTTCCTGCCTCAGGTCTATGTTGAAGTTAGCCAGGCTGATCTGCCTTCTCTGGAAGTTCCCACATGCTCCTGTGCCCCTCTCTTTTGTGTCAGAACTCCTTTGTTGTTGTTAGTGACCTTGGCTACTTGGCAAGAACAAAGAATAACACTCAAAGTTATAATTGAGCTGTGTAAATCCAGTTTTTTAGTCAAAAACTATTGATTGACTACATATTGTGTGTCAGGCATGGCCCTTGGTGCTGGAGATACACAATTCACAATAATATGAAAGTGAGCAGATTAAATGAGATGATTTGAGGTAGTGGTAAATACAGTCGATTCTCATTATTTGGGGTGGTTATGTTCTATAAAGTTGCCACAAACACTGAGTTAAATCCTGAACCACAGCTCATAGGGGAAGTATGGGGTTAGGTTCATCATACATAATCAATACATAACTTGTTATTGTGTGTTTCTGTTTAAAGACACTTTATTTTATATATGTTGTTGATTCATTAACATCAAACTCATGGCCTATAACTCATGCCTGAATGAAGCTTTTTGAACACATTTCCTTCTGTAAGGCACATCACAGCCTTCCTATACTTAGGAACACGAGGGAGCACTTCAGCTCTATGCTTGGGGGCCATTTTAAACAGTGAAATAGCTAACGAAAATCACAAAAAATATTAAAATGTGGCACTAACTAGACCGTAAAAAGGACACTTGTTTACAGTATAAGCTGAAACAGGAAGGTGGAATGTCAACTTGTTTGACCTCAGCTGGAAATACAGAGTTGGGTGACTCAAGCTTTTCACTATTCTGTGCATGTCCATGATTGTCCAGGAAAACTCTGAATAGATTTTGAGATTACAAATAAGTTTTAGTGAGTAGGCAAATCCACAAATACGAAACCCATGAATAATGAGGATCAACTGTATCATGAAGGAAAGAAAAGTCTTATGTGATAAAGATGGATGGAAGGAAAGCAGAGAAACCACAGATTATTCCTAAATCTGGGGCTTGAGCAAATAGGTGGTTGGTATAGGGGAAGCCAGGCTTTCTGTTTTAGATTGTTACACATGTCATTCAAGTATAAATATCAAGGAGATAGTTGCATATAACAGGCTGGAGCTTAGAGCTAGATCTAAATTTGAGAGTTGTCAGTATATTGATATATTGATATTTACAGCCATGGTACTAATTTTTTAAATACAACTTGTTAATATGAAAGGTGAAGTTTTACATGTGGAACCAAAAGGGGTTTTGTGGTTTTTTTTTTTGGCTGCGCTACAAGGCTTGTGGGATGTTAGTTCCCCAGCCAGGGATGGAACCCACGCCCCCTGCATTGGAAGCGCAGAGTCTTAACCACTGGACCTTCAGGGAAGTCCCGCCACAAGGAGTTTTTGTGGACAAACTTCTCTTGCCCCATAAATTAAGTGCAATGCCCAACACTGATGGAATTGGGGTCCCTTCTGCCAGTGGATAGTGCTGTGTCATCCCAGATGGAGCTACTGCATCTCATAGGCCAGGTACAAACAGGAACTGCTGTTGCCATCTCCTTCCACAGATCTGTGAAGCCACACAGACCCTTTCCAAGACTTCACATGCGCTAGCACACTTCCTAGCACTAAAGGCCAGATCCCATTTCAGAAGGTCCTTGATTCTCTTTGCTTGCAACTTTTACTGAAAACCATTCTGTTATATTGTAAGTTTGTGTGAACATGTTTGTCCACTAGATTAAGCCAAAATGTGATCCTTGGCAAAAGAAGCTTTTGACCAAACTAAAAGAACGGAGAACAGATGTATTAATGCAACTCCAAGCAAAGTTTTTGAAGGTAAAAAAATAACCATGATCCCTTGTAGATAAAATTCTGTTCTCAGAAAATTGAATTCTTTCCACTTTTAAAAAATGTTAGTCATGGTTTCACTACGAAGGCTATATTTGGAATTTTCTAATCTAATCGCCAAACTTTTATATCCTGTTAGCTTTCACTAGAGAGTAACAATTGTCAAAACAGCTGGATTTTAGTACAGCTTTAACACTTAGTCTCTGTGTGATATTGCTCTAGTCACATAACCTCTTTGAGTTTTAGTTTCCTCATCTGTGAAATCAAAATATTGGACTAAATTACCTTTTTTTTTTTTTTTTTGCGGTATGCGGGCCTCTCACTGTTATGGCCTCTCTCGTTGTGGAGCACAGGCTCCAGACGCGCAGGCTTAGCGGCCATGGCTCACAGGCCCAGCCACTCTGCGACATGTGGGATCTTCCCGGACCGGAGCATGAACCCGTGTCCCCTGCATGGGCAGTTGGACTCTCAACCACTGCGCCACCAGGGAAGCCCAAATTACCTTATTTTTATTGTGGTAAAAAAAAAACACATAGCATAAAATTTATCATCTTAACCATTTTTAAGTGTACAGTTCATTAGTGTTCAGTATATTCACAGTGTTGTGAAATAGATCTCCAGAACTTTTTCTCTTGCAAAGCTGAAACTCTCTGCCTACTAAACAACTCCCTATTTCCTCCTCCTCCTAGCCCCTGTCAAGCACATTCCACTTTGTTTCCGAATTTGACTGCTCTTAGATACCTCATATACATAGGATCATACAGTATTTGTCCTTTTGTTCTGGCTTATTTCACTTATCAGAATGTCCTCAAAGTTCATCCATGTTGTAGCATGTGACCAGATTTCCTTCTTCCTTGTTTTTCATGAACATTTATATCAGCTTTATTCACAATAGCCAAAAACTGCAAACAATCTGGTTGTCCTTCAGTGGGTGGATAAACTGAAGTACATCCATACCCTGAAATAGCAATCAGCTATAAAAAAGGATCAAATTACTGAGATACTCAAGAACCTGGATGAATCTCCAGAGAACTGTGTGAGTGAAAAAACTCAATCCCATAAATACTGTATGAGTCCATTTATACAATACTCTTGAAATGACAAAATTATAGAAATAGAGAACAGATTCATGGATTCTATGGGTTAAGGAGAGACTGGAGGGGAAGGGAAGGGAGTGTAACTGTAAAAGGGCAACATGAAGGATCCTTGTGATGAATCTGTTCTATATCTTGACTGTATCAATGTCAATATTCAGGTTGTGATACTGTACTATAGTTTTGCAAGATATTAACATTGGGGGAAACAGAGTGAGGGTTACATGGGATCCCTTCATATTATTTTTTTCCTTTTTTCCTTCTCTTTCCTTAAATTGTGGTAAAATACACAAAACATGAAATTTACCATTTTAACCATTTTTAAGTGTACAGTTCAGTGGTATTAAGTAATTCATATTGTTGTACAACCATCACCACCATCCCTCTCCAGAACTCTTTTCATCTGGCAAACTGTAACTCTTTACCCATTAAACAGTAACTCCTCATTCCTCTCTCCCCCTAGATCCTAGCAACCACCATTCTATTTTCTGTCTCTATGAGTTTGACTACTCTAGGTACCACATATTATGGAAGTATACAGTATTTGTCTTTTTGTGACCGGCTTATTTTACCCACCATAATGTCCTCAAGGTTCATCCATGTTGTAGGATATGTCAGAATTTCCTTCCTTTTTAATGCTGAATAATATTTCTTTGTATGTATCCACAACATTTTATCTATTCATTTGTTGTTGGACATTTGGGTTGCTTTCGCATCATGGCTGTTGTGAATAGTGCTACTATGAACACGGATGTATAAATATCTCTTTGAGATCCTGCTTTCAGTTCTTTTGTATATGTACCCAGGAGTGGAATTTCTGGATTGTAAGATAATTCTGTTTTTAATTTATTTTGAGGAAGCTCCATAGTATTTTCCATAGTAGTTGCAGCATTTTACAATCCCACCAATAGTGCAAAAGGGTTCAACTTCTCTGTATTCTCATTAACAGTTGTTATTTTCTTTCTTTCTCTTTTTTTTACATTAGTCATCTTAATAGATATGAGGTGATGTTTCACTGTGGTTTTGCTTTTCATTTCTCTAATGATTAGTGATTTTGAGCCTTTTTCCATATGCTTGTTGGTCATTTGTATATCATATTTGGAGAACTGTCTTTTGAAATTCTTTGCCCATTTTTTAATTGGGTTATTTGATTTTTAAATTGTTGAGTTGTAGGAGTTCTTCATATATTCTGGATATTAACCCCTTATCAGATATATTATTTGCAAATATATTCTCCCATTCTGTAGGTTGCCTTTTCACTCTGTTAATTTTGTCCTTCAGAATTTTTTAAGTTTGATGTAGTCATGTTTGTCTATGTTTGATTTTTTTTTTAAGATTTTTGTGTGTGTGTGATGTGGACGATTTTTAAAGTCTTTATTGAATTTGTTACAATATTGCTGCTGTTTTGGTTTTTTGGCCACGAGGCATGTGGGATCTTAGCTCCCTGACCAGGGATCGAACCTGCACCCCTGTATTGGAAGGCAAAGTCTTAACCACTGGACCACCAGGGAAGTCCCTGATTTTTTTTTTTGACTGTTCTTTTTGTGTCATATCCAAGAAATCATTGCCAAGTTCAATATCATGAAAAATTTCCCCTGTTTTCTTCTAAGAGTTTTATAAAGTTTTAGGTCTTATGTTTAGATCTTTAATCCATTTTCAGTTAACTTTTGTATATGGTATAAGATAAGGATCCAACTTCATTATTTTGTATGTGGCTATCCAGTTTTTCCCCAGAACCATTTGTTGAAGAGACTGTCCCCTTCTCTTTTGAGTGGTCTTGGCACCCTTACTAAGATCATTTGATTATACACTCAAGGGTTTATTTCTAGGCTCGCTATTTTATTCCATTGGTCTATATGTCTAGTGTATGCCAGTACCACACCATTTTGATTAATGTAGCTTTGTAATATGTTTTGAAATCAGGAAGTGTGAGTCCTCCAACTTTGTTCTTCTTTTTCAAAATTATTTTTGCTATTTGGGGTCCCTTGAGATTCCATATGCATTTTAGGATGAATTTTTCTACTTCAACAAAAATGCCACTGGGATTTTGATGGGGATTGGACTAAATTATCTTTGAGGTTCTTTGTGGTATTAAAATAATTGAAATATATTAATATGTGTATCGTTGAAGTAGAAGTTCAGCTCTGGGACTATTATTTGATTTTTTTACCTCTAGAGGAGGAAAAGGAACATTTATTCAGCACTTACTACATGCCAGGCATTATTGCAGCAATCCTAGGAGAGACCTCACTAGCGTTCTTGTTAGGTTGACTTGTCCTGCTTTGCATGAAAAGCCAGGATTCCAGCAGGAATATGAGCCCAGGTCTGTGTCCTTACAAAGCCTGTGCTTTTCTCACACTACCCAGCTGCCTCCTCCTCTATCTCCTCACAGCTTCCTAGGAGTAGACAAACCCAAAACTGATGAGTGTTTATCTTTTCACTGGTGCCACAACACGTGTGGGGGTGCACCTGCTGTTGTGTTGAGGGGGTTGTCACAGAATTTTAAATGAGTTGCTGTGTACATATGAATAGGTACAGTGTTGAATGGAGGAACATGCCTAAGGGAATCATGATGTTTGAGTTTACTTTTATTTTTTAATTGAATAAAGTCCCACCTGGGACTTCTTTCTTATTCATGAGAACATGACCAGATTCTTGCTGAAAAGTAGGGAATAACCCTTCTCCCAACCATCCCTTCTCCTCTCTCTTCTACTCAAGATTTCCAACCCTGAGAGAGTAATGCAAGTGCTCCAAGATCATGCTGCAAAAACAGTCTCGCTGGCTTCGTCTCATCCAACATTTGTGGCTTCCCAGGGTTTGCATCAGGGCAACTATGACCAAATCTGGGAGACTATTTATAGCAACATCAACCTCTACCAGGTACAACAGGAAGAAATAACCAATACGCCTTTCTGTTCAACTCACCACCTGTGTGTAGACCTTAGAAATTTACTTTGGTAGTTTTTTTAGAGATCCTCCCCTAAAAGCTGTATACCTAGCTGGGTTTGTTTTCATTATAAAAAGTATTAAATGATAATTTGAAAGAGGGATGTAAAGAGGTGTAATACAAGATGTTCTTGCTGCCGGGACTTATACTCAACCAGTAAATACCAATGCAAAGTTGCACAGTCTAGTGCTGAACACTAGATGAGTTGGACAGATGTTAAATATTGTATTTAGAGAGAAAGTGATCTTCACAGGGTTGGTTCTATTGGGGGAAGTCTCTTGAAGGAGGAGGAAATTGAGCTGGGCTTGAAGGAAGCATAGGGCTTAGGGAAGTGGTAGTAGAGAGGGAAGTGGGGAGCCTATTCCAGGAGGGAAGCATGAACAACAGTGCAGAGGAGATACGGTATATGGAGTGTTCAAGCTCAGTTAGGTTGAGTGGAAGAGTCACGTGGAAATAGAGTGAAGAGAAGTTTTTTTGCGGGGTGGGGGGGCGGGTAGGGGCATCTTGTGAATGCCCAGAATTCCAGACTAAGGAAATTTGTGCTTAATCCTATAAGGGAAGTGATATATATACAAACCTGTATTTTAGGAAGATTAATGTGGTAGCAGGCTATTAGTTGGATTGAAAAAGGGAGAGATTGGAGGCAGGGCAGCCATTTAGGTAGCTGCTACATAGGATAGGCATGGAGTTTGGCAATGAAAGGATGTTTCTACACAAAGCTAGTGGGTACTTATCCTTACAATGGAACTATAAGATTTTTGAAACTATAATTGGCTATTATTCGTTTGTTGCTCTAAGGGAAGAGTTTTGTTTCATTTGCTTATTGAAGATGGGAAGACCTGGTATGTTTATAGTCTGAGAGGAAGGAGCAGTGGAGAAGAGATGGAAGACATGAAAGGGTAAATCTGAGAAACAGGTGACCCTGGGGAAAGAAGAGGGTATGGGATGAAGAAACCAGGTGGAGGAGTAATTTTGAGAAAAGGAGAATGGCATCACTTCCCTTGAGGTGAATGAGGTACATAGAATTTTCAGGTGCAAAAGATAAGATGCTGGAGCTTGTGAATGGCCCCGGCTGTCTCAGAGAGAGAGGAGGAGGAGGTCTGAATTAGTGAGGTAGAAGGTATGAGTGGCATGTGAGGAGGGGTATCGCTGTGGGGGGAAGGCCACAGGACCACCAGCGAGAAAAGAATATGACGATGTAGCTCAGAGAGCCCAGTCGAAGTAAGAGGGCATGAATTTGTAGTGAGCCCATTCTGCATAATAATTCTATTACTTTCACCCCTAAAGATAATTGTAGAGTGACTAAAAATCACACATAAAGTCACAGGTATGGAGAATTTTAGTAAAATGCTAGAGAAAGAAGCACTGTCATGGTCCACCATCCCGGGGTGGGTATGGGGGAAAGTGAAGCCTGAAATGCATCTAATGAGTTACAGATTGGCTGTAAGCAAACACATGCTGGAAGCATGCCTCTGTGTACACACATGCACGCACACACACACACACACACACACACACACACCCCTTCTATACCTTTTTAATCTGTGTAGACAAAAATCTAGAGAATCTAATGAAAAATGAGTTGTCCACACAGACCAGGAGGAGATGCAGCATATCATAGCATGGCTTTCCCTGGCCCCTGAACTCCCTGACAGGGTATGCAGCTACCAGTGATACCCGCTCCTCAGCTAATATCCTGCCAGAGTTGAGAAAACAGCCACATTTTTCCTAGTCCATTGCTGTTTCACACTGAGGTATATGTCAGCATTCAGGAAGACCTTCTACTAACAAGGGGAAATTTAAAAACATCTGACTCTTCTGCTTCTTGAACCAAACTTGTGGGGGAGGACACAGGGAATAGGGAAGAAAGGAGGAGAGTGAAGGCAGAGTGAGCCCAGGTATCTCTGAACAAGACCTCTGCTCCTAGGATCCTGACAGTCAATGATGCTGATGAAATTACCTGGGAAGTTCTGGTATTAACATCTGAGAGCCATCACCACAAATCTGTTTTCCTCCTTGGCTATGAGAGTAGGGGGAACTAAACTCCTGGGGGCCAATAGTGGTAAAAGGAGGAGGGAGGAGGGAAGAAGGAAGGAAAGAAGGGAAAGAATACCACTTCCTCTGGCTAGTTACTGGCTAGTTGTTCTTGGAATTGACCAAAGGGAGAAAAATGTGAACACTGTATTTTCAAGCTGATTTATGGTAAATAGACCCTAAACAGACTTAGAATATCTATAGTTCCTAGAGGTGGAGCATGGGGAGAAACATAACATACACACACACACAGATTACCCTACATATTAGTGTCATACAAGTTTTCCAGTTTCCCATTCATTCATTCAGTGATAATTGCATGGGTACTACCTTTTGTGCCATGAATTGTGCTGGGCTTAAGGAAAGAGACATGCAATAAACGAGTAAGAAAGAAGTAAATCTACATCTCTAATGTGTGGGTGCCATGCAGAAAACCGAGAAGTAGAGGGCAGTGGGGTAGAGAGGAACATCCTCTGATAGAGAGGTCAGCCAAGATCTTTCAGAGTGGGGGGCATCTGAGCTGAAATTTGATGAACAAGAAGGAGTCAGCCATGCACACAACCTGGAGAAGAGCTATCCAAGTAGGGAACAGAAAATAGCCCAGGGTTTAAGAAGGAAACCCTGAGGCAACAACCAATAGTTTTCTACCTTCCTTCACATTTTCCTGTGGGTGTTACTTTGTGACCTCCTCCAGTATTTCTGCTTTGGTCAAGCGCTTTATGCAGTATCAGAGCACCAATAGTAGTGTGTTGCCATTCTGAATGTTGAATACTAGTCAGATGAGATTAGGATTAAGGAAAAGGTGGCAACTGGGAGGAGTCACAGGAATGTGGATATGAATTTTAAAGCTCTGTTACTATTTTGCAAGCACATAGCAGTCAAGTATGAATTTTAGCACGTGTATGCTGGGCAGCATCCTGATTCTGAACACCAATACCCTATGAAAAATAACTTTCTTAAGGGCCTTCTGCATGAAGGAAGGCAAACCTCAGAGGACTGTTCATTTTGACAGCTCTGAGAGAATACAGACACTAAATGTAGTGCAACTGCAGAACAGTTTCTGAAAAATTCTTAGTAAATACTGTTGGCCAGTAACCTTTCTTTAGAGAGTTTTTAAATGTTTTGTATTTACTATTAGCATTGAAGGCTTTTCTTTAAACACAATTCTAATTCCACATACACTTAAAGATCTGGGTTTGGGAGATAAGAAAGGTCAGATTTTCATGTGCTTGTTAATTGACAACGATGTATAACTAGAAAGAGTTAATTCTGATCCAGATGGACTGCATTTTGGGATATTCTTTTGAAGAAAACTTAAGATAATTTAACTGTAGTCCTGATCAGAAGAAGGACCGGCTACCCCTGCGTAGATACTCCCAGACCTGTAATTCTATTACTGTGTCCAATTCCATTCTTCTCAAAAACACCTGATTATTAAAATGGCTGTGTACAGACATTAAATACTGCTATCGACCATCATATTTCTAAAGCTACAGTTTACGTTGGTCGCTGTTCTTTAACTTTATGGAGTGGTGAAGTGGCAGAAAACACTGCATCCTTTGCCTCTTCTTTTGCGTCTTCTCACTGGCCACACGAAGGAGGGAAGAAGGGGACAGCCGTTTTCCCCATCTGTGTTCCTGCCCCCCTCCATCTCCAGCGATAATGCAATATAGTGAGTACGTGGCGTGCTCTCACAAAAGTGGTGTTGTGTGTGGTAGCTCCAATGTACAGGAAGTTTAGGGAAACATGAAACACCTTTTTCCTGGCTTTCGTCATTAAGTTCAATAGGACATTTTAAAAACAAACATTTTCTGATGACAATAGTGACATGTATTTATCACAGAAAATTTGGGAAATATAGAAAAGTTCAAGGGAGAATATAAAAATCACCCATTATTCTATCACCCAAATATAACAACAGTATTGTTAACATTTGGTATATATCCTTCTAGTCTTTTTAGTTTGTGGGTATACACAAGTAAACCGTAGAGACATTTGGGCAGGTGGGAAATACATAATAGGCTTACTTTTCCCCTAATTATTCCCTCCACTCTACCTACCACTCCACTGCCCCTGCCAATTTTCCGGGAGAAAATGAGATTGGCAATCAGTGGAAATCCCTGAACTGTCAAAAAACATGAACTCAGCCATTCTGGTTTCAAAGACCCAGCCACAAGGCAGTGTAAATGTCAAAGAATTAACCTACCCAGGAAGAGAGAATGAACACAGGTGGTATTGACATTCTGGTTTCTCATTAGCCCTCTGCTTAACTACGCTGTGTCCAGTTCTCTTAGGGGAATACACTCATGGACTTACCGCATTTCCTAAGCAGTTTGCTTCTGTGGGCTGTGGCTGGTTCGCTTTTCCGGGAGGATGCTGGGCTGTCTATCTTTACTCACCCTAGCCTGCTGTGCCCGCTTCCTTTCTTCCTGGCAATCTGCCGGTCCAACAGTATTTTTGTGGTTTGTTCAGTCATTCCTTCAAAGTTTCTTTCACTGTAACTTGACATCACTTCCTATTCCTTCCTGTGTAATTCTGGGTAATTTTAGAAGCAGCTGAAAAAGTCACAACCCCACAGAGAAAAACTGTGACTCCTAGGCTTCCGTCTGGAGCCATATCAGGCAATGCTGAACACAAGAGCAATATAAGTCCCAGAGGTAAAAGGCTTCGGTAGAGCCCCTCTCACCCAATATTCTGGGTCAAATAGAAACTATCAAAATTCAACCCCCCTCATGGATTTCCTATGAATTTTTTTTTATTTTAAATAACAGAGAGATGATGATCCTGTGTTCCTATATTAAGGAACAGGAGTGCACCATGTCACCTCCTAGGGTCCTCTCCAGTCCTTGGGTTGTGGGATGTTTACACAGAAATACACTGATGTACATACTTACCTGGAACAGACAGGAGCTACCTCTGCCCACAGGCAGAATGGGAAGCCATTTAGAGATACCCAGTTAGACAACTTTCTCTTTCACTGTCTCTTCCCAATATCCCTGTCCAAAGTTTTCTTCCCCACTGCCTGTCATAAAAACTGGTAGTCTATCTTTAGAGTCCTGGGGACTTTATTAGTTAAGATTAGGTTTGTGTGTCAGTCGTAGTTAAAAACAAAATAACAGAGGATTAAAGGAGATGGAAATTTCTCTATTTTTCCCTCATATTAATATCCAGGGGTAGGAAGTACAGAGCTGATGTGATGACTGCTTCATGGAGTCCTCAGGGGCCCATGCTACTTCCATCCTGAAGTTCCAACAAATGTGGCCTCCATACCTGAGATCAACACTTGGTCTGAGATGGAGCTCCAGCTGTCACATTCATGTGCTAAGCAGCGGAACGGAAAATGGGAATGGGGAAGCTGCCACTTGAGGGTGATTCCCAGAAGCTGCCACATGGCATTTTTACTTTCATTCCATTGGCCAGAACTTAGTCACATAGCTACGCCTAGCTGCAAGAGAAGCTGGGAAAAGTCATCTTTATCTGGGTGGCCATGTGCCAAGCTACATATTCAAGTACTGTGGGAGAAGAGGAGAATGGATATTGGGGAACAGCCAACAGTTTCTACCATAAGGACTTGCTGGAATTCTGAGAACCACTGTTAGAATACAAGTAACCCAGCTAAGCCATTGACAATCAGTGTTTTCATGAGGATCAGTGCCGCTATGAAAGAGCACATCTTATGAGAATGGGGTATATGCCCAGGTTCAGGCAGAGAGGGCAACTAAGAAAGGGGCTGCCCAGAGGGCAGGGGTAGGACCATAGGTCAATATCACCTTCCTCACAGTTTTCCTTAGGGCCCTGGGTGCATGACCTCATCGTTCTCGACATTAGGAAAGATGTCTATGGAAATAAGTGTAAACCACAGATTCTTATAGATCCTACAGGGCTGACTGACTACTGCCATCCCTGGCCAGGAGAGAACTGGCATGTACTGAACACCTATGAGGTACCAGTCACTGAGCTTTACACACATTCTAACATTTAATTCTCACAGCAACTTATTTTTCAATTTCATGCTATTTTACAAACGTGAAAACAGGATCAAGACTTTAGATGATTAAATCATATAGCTAAAAAGTAGAGGAGTTTAATCCACTGATCTCTCTCAGCCTGGGACAAGACTAGATTAGAGAGGTTCGAGGTTCCAAACATCTACAAATATGTGTGTCCACTTTTCATAAGATGAATCATAGTAAAAACAGCGACCTCTAATTTATTGTAGAAATCCAGATTTTCATAGGTCAGGTTGAAATGGATCATAAGGCTGTTCTCCTTGTTCATCTAAATGTGCCTTGGATCATGAGATTTAATTTTGTGATGACCCAACTTTGATTTTGTTAATAATATTGTGAATGTTCATGTAATTCAACTAATGCTACTTTTTTGCTAGAATGAAAACATGAAGGAAGATGATCTTTCAGTGGAACGAGATGAAAATGACCCAGCACAAATAAGTCTTAGCCAGTGTGCTAATGAGCCTGTCAAGCAGAAGAAAGAGACAGGGTAAAATGAAATCATTTATTGGTGACTCAAGGAAATGGAATAAACACTGTGGAGAAAATTGAGTGACTGATTAATGTGTAGGTTACATATTAACTCAAAAATATTTGAAGCTGAAATAAAAGCAAGAGTGTTACAGCAGACCAGATAACTAATGTTTCACCCTAGGACGGAATTTTTAATGAGAGTGATTGCTAAGAGAAATTTCTTTTTGAATTTATACATATAGAGCCATTATTTTCCTTCCAGGGCATTTTTAAAAAGTGGCTATTGTGAAGTGAAATAAAATGACTTCAGTATGGTATATGTGAATTTTTTGAACCACTTTGAGGAGAAAGGCATTTGTTCTGTTTTTCCTTCCTGCTAAAGGTACAGTTATGCAGTGGCCCTACAACTGCTGGGCTTGGATGACGGGACTGGGCCCATTGATAGAGATCCTGTCCTGATGAGGGGGACCTACTTGTCCTTTCTGTATCTGCGCCACCTGAGGATCAGGGAGCTGCAGGTATGCGGATGGCCCTGCATGTATCTGAATTGCTTGGTTGTCTGGAAAGGGGGCTTTCCTGCTACTCTGGTAGTAATGCATTTTTACACTTTGTTCTTTGTTCTGATTCTTGCATGAAACCAGGCCTTTTGTGGGGCGGTGTGTTCCTTTTCCAGCAGTAGGGTTGACCTGCCAACTTCTGGGGCCCCAGTGAGTTTCACTCTGTAGGGTGGGCCAGCAAAGGCAGGGTCATGACCCTGTTCTTTCTTTGTTTCAGCGCATCTGCTTAGGAATTCTGAACTGTTTTAGATCTGTTGAGCGAACACTGACGATCAACACTTCAGGCCTTACCTTGGTTGCAGGGAGTCCGGTCCCCACCTCAGAAGATAGTTTCTGGGTAAATGTGGCAAAAGGAGGCGTGGGCACCTCGCAAGGCCTAAGCGCTCACCACTATGCCCATGGGACATCTGCCGAGCACAAGGTGAGGATTCTGCTACAATTTTTTCTTCCATGATTATCTCATCTCCCAAGCCACCTTCTTCTTAACACCTGGAATCAGTTAACATGATGAAGTAACAGGTGGGAGTTTCTAGGGAAATAGCTTTTCTGAAAAATGGTGTTGAAAAGGGAAATGACTTTTTAACCCACAATAAAAGGCAGTGTCCACTTGAGAGCAGGACATGGGCAGGGAACACTCAGCCCTGGAAACCACAATAGGAAGGAAGGAAGGCATTTCAGCTGCTGGTTTGTCCACTTGATAGTGAACAGAGCAAGAGGGGCCCTTTATGTTATCCTGAGAACCACATGTCCTTACAGAGAAACTCTTGTAAGACCCTCCTTGACATTGCTAGAGGTACTTTTTTTTTTTTTGCCTCTTTCCTGTTCTCTAAACCCCAATTTAAAAAATAGGTTAAAAAACAAATGTAGAAAAAAATTTGAAACAGGGAAAAATCTATCCCTCCCAAAACCTGCTTGTCCCTTGGTGCTTTTACTATCTCTTGAATATGTTTTTCTATAGTCTAAAAGATTCATATTAAATCCCTTTCTTTGGGACTAAAGTTGAAAATGCATACATTTTCTTGAAATGTCGTAGACACTCTTGCAATATTTTCATCTCAATCTCTAGAAGGTTTATTCCTGAAGGTGGGGTTTGATATGGATTTTATCTTCTTAAAAGATACTAACTTGACAAATGTGAAAAATAAAATCTATTTAGCTGCTAAATAAGTCATATTTTAAGCTTGTATGACCCCTGACTTATGATTGTCATGTCTTATAAGGGTATGAAATCTTATTATCAAATATTGTTAATATGCAGTCTGCAGCAGTGCTGTCCAGTAGAAATATAACACAAACCACAGGTATAATTTAAAAATTTCTAGTAGCCACATTATAAAAAGTATAAAGAAACATGAAATTAATTTTAATAATGTCATCTATTTAACCCAATGGATCCAAAATATCATCATTCTAACATGTAATCAATATAAAGAAATCATTGATGAGATATATATTTTTTCATACTAAATCTTCAAAATCTAGTGTGTACCTTATATGTACAGCACATCTCAATTCAGACAAGCCACGTTTCAAGTGCTCCATAGCCACATGTGATTAGAGCCTACTGTATTGAACAGTTCAGCTCTAGATATTGGAAAACATTTCCTTATTTTTCCTGCCTAGTCACCTCAAGTCCAACTTTCACTCAGTATCTGGGAGACTCCTCTTTTTGGTCTCCTTCCCTAACGATTCCCCCCCTCCCATCTCCTCACCATACACAGACTTCCCTTTTTACCCCTCTGCCCTCTTCCCTTGATCCTAGTTCATGCTTTGTCAAGTCCAGTTAGTATGTTCCACAGTGGAGCTGGAGAGGAGGGTTAAGACACTTTGGAAACAAACACACCCATAAAACAAACACATCTTTCTGTTGCTAATATCCAGCCTGTCTTATATCACAGCTGTAGATTAAAAAAAGATCTTTCTTACCACTGAGCCCATCTCCCAGTTTGTTTGTTCTGTGATGGGGTGGGGTGAAAATGAAGGAGGAGAGGGGAGACAAATCCTATCCTGTCCCATTAATTGTAGGAGGAGCTTCTCAAGGGTAATACAGTTTTTCTTTCCTATGCTCTCATAAATGATAGGAATAACATCACCCTTAAGAAGCTGCCAGCAGCTACTACTTCAGTGTGAGAAACTCAAGGAAGTGGCCTCTTTCAGGGTCTTTAATAGGACCATGTGGTTTACTGCACTCCATGTATGTGGCCATGTCAGCATTTAATCTAGAATGTCCAGAATAACTATGTGATTCTTTCCCATGTAGAAGATGGAAGGAACAGATGCTAATATGTTGGGTTGATCTCACCAGGCCAGGGCTGAGGCTACTGGGAGCAAGATCACTGGGCTTACCAGCCAGGGGAGCTAACATCGAAGAAGCCCCTGAGATGGAGACCCTCTTCCCTGGGCCCAGTGTGTTTGATCCCATGAAGAAAGTCTGGGGCCATGTGTTTGCTCAGTGATAATACCAGAAAAGGAAAGCCCCTACAACCTGTCATGGACACTTTGCCATGTGCCTACTTTAAGCATGTGGCAGGGTAGAAAGGGCCCCAGAATGAGAGGCAGCAGGCTTCTCCTGGCTGTTTGACCTTGAGCATGTCTCTTCAGACACATAGGCCTGACACCTCATAGTGTGTTCAGGATCTGCCTGGACTTGACATGCTGGTAGCAGAGACTGTTGTGAGCAAGTAGTGGGAGATGAGGCTGCAGAAAAAAGCGGACCATGAAAGGCTAGGCTCTCCTCAGGATGTGGGACTAATTCCAAGGTTGGTGAGGAACAGAATTTTAAATAAGAAAATGGCACTCCTCATTGTTTTATAAATTTCTCCAGATCTTTGCCCAAACATAATCACATTTATTCCCTTGCTTGAAGTCTTTATGAATTTTCTGTTTCTCACAAGATAAAGTTCAGGCTCCTTGGTGAAGTTTACAAGGCTGGGTGCAAGCTGGCCCCTGCCAACCTTTCAGACCTCATTTCCCCCCACTGTCCCTATACCTTCATTCTTACAGAGCTGGGCCTGGCCTTCCTCTGAATGGGCAGAGCTGTTCATGCCTCTGGGTCTTGTGCATAATGGCCCTTCTGTCCCTCACCTCCTCTTTCCTTGATAAAGGCCTGCTCTATTCAAGTCCATCCAAACATTACCTCTCTGAGAAGTCTTTCTTACATCTCTCTGCAGAGCTGAGTGCTTCTCCCTATGACTTGTCTACCTACATTACAGCACTTGGCTCATTCTAAAACTGTTGGCTTATCTACTCCCACAGGCTATGAGCCTGTCATTCATTCATCCTCCCATTCATTCACCCCACAAATGTTCTGACCAATAAATATACTAGGCACTAGGGATACAGCAGTAAACCAAACTGTCACAAATCCTTGCCATCATGGAACTATTTAATGGAAAAAGACATTAAATAAATAAGTAAGAAACATATATAGAATGCCTAATGGTTTGGCACCAAAGCTTCTCCAGACATCCTAGGCCCTTGCAGTTGGGAGGCGCCAGAGGGCTGTGAGCAGAAATGAGATGTGTCACTTCCAGTCCAAAGCATGTAAGAGCCAATCCATGACGCTCCAGCATGTCAAGCCACAAAATAGAAACATCCTGGATCCCTGGGTCACTGCTAGAAGAGAGAGGCCTAGAAAGCAACTAGTCCTGCAGTGGGCTCTGCCTGAGTGATACATTAATTTTAAGTATTGGCTACTGAGCTTTGGGGTTGTTTATCATAGAATAACCTAGGCTTTGTGGACTGGTGAAGATGGTGGTAGAAGCTGTGGAGAAAAATTAAGAAGGAAAAGGGAATAGAGAGTTGGTGATGGGATATTGCCAGGTGTAAGTAGGGTGATCAGGGAAGGCCTTACTGAGAAGGTACTATCTGAGTAAAGACCTGAAGGAAATCAGGAAGCAAACCACGTGACTGACTGAGAGAAGAGTGCCAGGCAGAGGAGAGAGCCAATGCGAAGGCTCTGAGGCAGAACCGTGTCCAGCAGTGTTGCAGGAACAGCAAAGAGCTTAGTGCAGCTAGAGTGAATGAGGGGGAAATTGTTAGGAAATGAGGTTAGAGAGATTGGAAGAGTGGAACAGGTTATGTAGAGCCTTATGGATCACTTTGAGGACTTTGAGTGAGAAGGGAAGCCCTTGGAGAGTTTTGAGCCAGAGAGTGATGTGATTTAACTTACATTTCAACACTTGTGCTGCTGTATTGGGAATAGACTGAAGGGCTAAGCAGAGATTCGTTAGGAGGCTATTACATTGATCAAACTAGAGACAATGCATCTGGGAAGACAGCAAGATGAGAAATGGTCAAGTTCTGGATATATTTTGAAGGTACAGCCGCTATGATTTCCAGGCAGTTAGGATGTAGAATATGAGAGAAAGAGAGAAGTCAAGGTTGATTCCAAAGTTTTGGCCTGAGTATCTGAAAGTTTGGTGTTGCCATCATCTAAGATGTGGTTGGAGCAGGTTTATTGGGAAGATCAGGATCTTGGTTAAGGGCATTGAAACTTTGCCATTCTTAATAGATGTTCAGGTGGCAAAAGGAAGTAGGGAGTTGTATATATATCTTCCACATAGTAGGTATCTAGTAAATGTTTGTTGAACAAAAGAAATGTTCTGTTCGTAACAGAATGGTTGTGAGGTCACAGCCAGACAATATAAATGAAAGTGCTTTGCACAGTATATCATGCTGTTCAAATGCAGAAAAAATAGCTATGATAAAATAGCTATGATAAAGTATCACTCTGCAGGTGAGGTGGAGACTAGAAGATATTTTTTATTTTCGTTTTAAAAGATTGTAGCCAAAGGATTGGGTCAGTCACCCAACAAAGTTTGATGAGTTCTTAGACTGGGTTATAGTAGTAGTAGTAGTAGTAGTAGTAGTAGTAGTAGTAGTACTATTTATTATTTGAAATTAATGAAAAGATGATTCAGAAAAAGGCAGGCTAGCCAGAGAAGTATTGTCTACATTGCCAAAAGGCCTAAACTTTTTCCTAACAAATGATGGCAGAAATCAAGAGTGAAAAGAATTAATGATGGGCACCAATTTTCCTATAGTTACTATACTCAAATAGTTATTTTGGCATCAGTTAATTTGCAGGCTTAAGAACATATGAATCATCCCAAAGATCAGATTATACCTTAGTCAAACAGGTAATTATTGCCACCCTTTTCTTGCCACTCCTCCAAGAATAATATTGAAGGATCAACTCTCTACACCACAAAAACATTAGAAGGAAGGTCTTCCACATGGCTGTGGAAGAAATGAAAATAAAAAGGAAATATTATAGTGACTGAGCCATAACCCTATGTGAGGTAGTTTGGCCATCTCATCTTCACAGTTCATCTCCTGTGGACATAAGTGTACATTTCAGACACAGGAAGTCAGGGAGGGAAAGGAAAGAAATATGTATGTCTATATAAAGGGCTTGAACCATGACTTGGGGGTGGGAAAAGTGGAAAAAAAGACCATTTAAGTAGATGATGGCATTACAGTCGGCATCCTGACACTGTTACTGCTTTCCATCAGCTTCAGAACTCAATCCGGTAGCCATTTCTTTAAAGTCTCAGAAAATTCCCCTGTACAAGAACACTGGGAAAGAAAGGTCTTTTCCAGTAAAGTGGATAAAACATACCACATTAAGTTGTCCCTCTTTTCCTCAGAGGAGAGCTCATTTTGCATAACAGGCTATAGGAGCTAAATGCCCGCAGAAGCTGACATGCTAGCTTATAAATCTAAGCAAACTGTTTAATTTTTGTATGTTACATTTAATTTTCTCAGCATCATTTCTGTTTTCCACCGGTGCCTATCATTTCATAAAAAACAATATGTTCACTTTTGGAACTCCTAGTCAAAGGAAGCTAATTATTAAAGGTCAGAAGTCAGATTTTTTAAAGTCAACCAGCCAAACAGACAAAAACCACTAAGGGCTCTATTTAACACCTCCCACCTCAAAATATATAGGCATATACAATAGTATCTGAAAATTCAATAAGCACATACACCTCCTCAACACACACCATTTTAGAAAAGATACAGTTTTGTTTCCAGCTCAGGTCCTCCATTTGTTGGAGACTGTAACTTGGTTATAGTTCTTACTGTTGTTTAGACTCTACTTGTTGCCCAGTGGCATTTCTGCCTTACCCACCACTGGGTGCAGGGCCCTGAGGGAAATTAATGATTTTTTTTCTAAGTGACAAAAAACTGATTGACCTTGGGGAAACTGCGGTTAGAAGCAGAGATATTCCTGAGTTCCTAACAGAAAACCACCAGGATGCAAAAAGCCCTGGGTAGGAAAATGCCAGACAAGCCCCAGAGGGAGAAATCATTAGTCAGGGTAATCAAATAACCCGTAATCTGTATTCTCTCTTCCTTTTGGCATCACTCAAATTTATCCAGTTTTAGAAGTAGATGAGGTAAGAATATTCCTATTGGAATAATATGACTGCATTAGCATTGCATTTGGAAAGAACTTAGAGTTTCTAGACACATTGCAACACTTGGAGGGAAATTTAGCAAGAGTTTGTGCTATTTTGTAATATATGTAGACTTTAATTAAGGATAATTCATGTTCATATTGTTATAAAAGGCTGCTCTAAGAATGTTTGACAATTAACCTTTCAGATCCCAGACAGAATTAATTTAGTATTAGATTGAATTCTTTGTTCTGTCTTTGCCGCAGACCATTTGGGATCTGAATCATGGGATGCAGTGCTGGCATCCAGCATTCCAGGGCATTTAATTTCAGCTCTTAGCTTTTATCTCTACTGGTCATCCTACATTCTAATGCATTATTTTTGCTGATGTTAGTTTACGCTACGATTCGACTATTTCCATCTCTTAAGAACTTACTTTGATTGAAATACTTAGTCACATGAGCATCTCTCGCTGAGCTAGTGAGTATACGGTCATCCATTGTAAAATGATTTTCCAACTGCTGCTATAGAAATTCCTGACCAAAGCCTTTCTCTTGTTCAAGTACGCACCATATACTTGATAATTATTAAACCTGAAAATCTCTTACTTTTGAATATTTTATTCTGAAATAGACCACTTAAAATTTTAAGCAATAATGATGTCAACAGTGAAAACTTACAGTACTATAGTGGGAAAATATTTTAGCTGAATAATGGCAATGATTACACTTATTGATTTAAGTTAGTAATTAACATAATTAAGGAATATCTTAGAAATTTCCCTGAAAAATTTTGACTTGGCTGGCATCAATTGATACAGCAGGTTAAACTGGGTTTGTTGTTAAACCACCAGGGACCTGTTTTTACCGAAGGAGAAATGTGTGTTTTGCCTTTAAATTACAGGTTTGCAGACATTTTAGTAAATATTTCATGTTAACTGAATTTTGGTTATATTTCTAAAATTAGTCTTTTAAAACTAGAAGTAAAAACAAAAACCTCTGTTAATTTAAAAGTCAGCAAGTATGAACTTAGCACCTGGTCTTGCCCATGGCTCTTTAACCGATTCTCAGGAATCCCAGTTACCCATTCAGTGTTTTCCTTCCTGAGAGGGAGCTGACAATCTGAGGGGTCCATTTCTACTAGGAATAGCTTCATAGAGAGACCTGTCTCTGGTCATTTTCATCCATTTCTCTACCAGGTCACAAAGAGGGCAGCGAGTCAAATGTTGACCAGGACTGGGGATGGGCCCATGCAGGTATGGACAGATTTGCTGTGCTGTATGACATGTGGACTTGGGAAGCAACTCTTCTAGAAAACAAGCGCCAGGTATTTTTACCTAGAAAACAAAACATCTATTGAACATTCTTATAAACCCCAATATACTTTTTTAAACCCAGTGGGTCTTTTAGAGCAGTTCCCAATAAAATGAATAATTATTTAAATAACCTTAGCTAGTTGTAAGGATGTGAGTAATAAATTTTACGTTCTTTACTGTGGTTCTTTGTTACAAAAAATAAAATGTGAAGGATATGACTTTATCATAAGGGAAATTTGTTAGAGGGCTGTATAATTCAGGCCCTTTTATAATATGTATGCTTTTATCGAGAATGAATGATGATTCCATTCATGTTCATTGTCCTGTCAGGGACAAGCCTCACTTTGCTAAACACAGACAAACTGACTGACCTTATTATGGCCTTTAGAAGGGTATGCCACATGTGGGTGGGTGAGAGCAGTTGGGCAAGGATTTCCAGAATGGAAATAATAGGATTTGAAGACTGGATGTTGGAGTGAAAGAATGAGGGTGGAATTAAAATGACTTCCTCGGGCTCAGGGAGGAGGCTGTTAACTGAAACAGAATGAAAGAGGAGGAGCCTCTTTAGAGGGGAAGGTAGCATTGAGTCTAGGACACAGGTGTGTGAGGAGAGTTTGCTAAAACCCAGGTGTGAATGTTTTGCGGGAGCTGTAGGTTTGAAGCTCAGGAGCAGGTATGAGCTGAAGTATGAATGTGGAAGTTGAACCATAGTAATGAATCGAAATGACTAGGAAAAGCCGGAGATGCCTGAAATGGGTTCCTGGGAACACTTACATTTCACGGGAAGGTCATGGAACAGGAATCCATGAGAGGAACAAGAAGGAGGAGCCAAAGAGACTGAAGAAAAAAAGAAAGGGATAGTGTTAGGAAAGCCCACAGGAAAAAAACATTTTAATTAGGAGAGGATGGTTTCCTGTGTGGACGTGAAACATCAAGAAAGGTGAGTCCTAAAAACCAGACAGTGGGGTCAGCCATCAGGCAGTCATTGCCAGCTTTGTAGGGCTCTCTCAAAAGCGTAGCAGAGATGGAAGCCAGTTACAGTGCATTGTGATGTGGTCGGAGGATGAGGAAGTGGAAATGTTTTCTTTGAATTGTTTTTCTAGTAGAGTAGAGGGTTTACCATTTCATCTACGCTCTGGTCTGTTACTCATGGAGATGTAGGTCACCCACTTTTGAAAACAACTGGCTGGACTTAAAGGGTGCAAGCCTTGGCCTTGAAAATTGTTCCTCTTTTCAAAGACAAGTGGCTTCTAGAGTTTGCATCTGCAAACTTGATCTGCCAAACAGAACCTTACTGTGATCAGCTGAGTAAATGGGAGATTTAGACTCAGTGTAGAAACTGGAGAGGCTGCATTAAACGTAAAGTAATACAGAATCCTCAAACTCGACAAGTTTATTGGGCCAGACATGAGTTTTAAGCAGCCCCCCTTTTCTGTACTCTCCCCACCTCCACTTTCAGTTCTTCTAGGCCTTTTATGGAGGCCCCAGGCAGGACTCAATGGCAGAGAAGAATAGAAAGGCAGAGAGTAATAAAAAACAAATTTCTTCTTACTTTGGCCTAGGGTTCATTCTGTGCTAAGCTACCAGGGCTGTCCACTGGTTTCTTCTGTGGTATGTGAAATTATTTTAACTTAAAACAATCATTGAAAATATCTCCCTCCTTTCTACCCCAAGAATGTGTTCCCTATAGAAACTGAGCTATCAGTGCCCAAAACTGGAAAATGTGGCTTTCTAAATCAGAAATTGTTGAAAGGGCCTAATTTTAATGGATAAACCAGATTTTTATCTAAAGTACAACTGATTTCCCCCAGTACTGATTCTACTGCCAAGTGTCCTCAGCTGTTTTTTATTGTTAACTATATTGGAATCACTAAAGTCAAGAACTGTTCAAACACATTGGCTTGTCTTAAATCCTTAAAGTAGCCATATTATGTAAAAGGCTCATAAAAATAGAGCTGGTGTGAATTTAGGTGGATTAAGAGACTCAGAAGCTGGGCATCAGCTGTGCCAGTTCCTGACATTTATACCAACTGCTAATTCTCTCCACAGCCACCAGAGGACACATTTTCAGGGTAATTTGAATTAGTGTTTAGAGCACTAAAAAAAGGCCAAAAATTCTGTGACAAGATGTGTCTGACACTGATTTTCTGTTTTGCACTTTCATTTGACCTAAAATACTGTTTTTAAAAGTATTTTAAGTCCAAGAAATAAAAAAAGGCTGAGGTAAAAAATATAAACACAGTCCGGTTTGAGATTATTCACTTTTCTATTTTCTCCAATGTTTGATGCCTACCGTCAGTGTGCACCACGTATTACTTTGCCTGAGAGTTGGCCCTTGACATACACAGGTGACATTTGACAGGCTAGGAAGACTTCTTAGACAAATACCAGCCCAGAGTTTAAATGGAAATGGGCCAGTTAGCAAACAGATAATAAATAGCAACTGTGAGGCAGAAAGATCACAGTCCTACCCCTACTAAGAAAGAATTCATAATAAAATTATGCAAAGGACCATCTGAGAGCTTTTCAAGGTGGAGGGCAAAGCTTGAAAAAGGCTTGTCAATTTAAAAAGAGCCACATTTTCCTTCTCAACAGCTAGGGTTGCCAGGTAAAATATGACAATATTGGGGACATACTGAAAAAGTATTGATTGGTTATCAGCAATTCAAATTTAACTAGATGACCTGTATTTTTATTTGTTAAATCTGGTAATCCTACCAACAACAAAGTGATAGTGGCAATTTAGCACCAGCCTCTGCAACCTGGTATCACCAGATTGGAATCACCAGCAAGAACCCTTACCACAAACTTCCCCTGCCAAACAACCAAACAATAGGGCTTATTGTACAAAAACAGGTCAAGGCAATACAAATACTATAAACCAGCTCCTGGGATTGCCCTGGCCCAGCCAAAAAGGTTTAAATTCGTCCAGAATGATTTAGGGAAGTTATTGTTTCTTTTCTAATCTTCCCCTAGGCTATTGAGTGGCACCCTTCTTACCCCATCACTCCTTCGTTTCTGCTTTGTCTTCTGCTATTTAATAACTGAATGCTATTCTAGAGTAGAGCCCTGTGGATGGGATAAGGTCATTTAGATCACCCTGCTTGCTTCATTTTCCCTGGGGTTCACTTAAAGGCAAGGGAGCTGCACCTTCATTTCACACTCTGAGCTGTGTGAGTTTTTAACCTGTGGAGCACATTCTGTGTCCTAAGCTTTTAGCCTCTTCTGGTGTTATCCTTTTTATACTGAGGTTGACCCGAGGCCCTTTGAACCAATGTTTCCCAAAGGGCATCCTGCAAAACTGGATGCTAAATAAAGTGCCCCAGGCTCTCCCTGCTTGAGCCTTAGCATTGAAGCCCTCAGACACTGGACTTCTATTACTAAGGCAGTATTTGATTCCTAGTCTGCTATTGATTTTCAAGTGTTTACCTCCTTGGGAGCTTCAGGAGTTGTTAGATGGAGACACTAACATCTAACAAGATGTTAGATGTCATCTAACAAGATGACATCTAACAAGATGGAGACACTAACAAGATGGAGACACTCCTGGCTTTTCCTGCCACTTGGAGACACTAACAAGATGGAGACACTCCTGGCTTTTCCTGCCACTTGGTTCCTTTACTCCCCGCTGCACTGTTGCCACCTATATTCAAGTAGTGCTTACACCCTCTCAATTCTTTCTGGTCTTGCATTCTTAGCTATGGGCTCCACACAATGAAAGGGGCTCTTTATCTCCTTTTAGGAAATTCCGTAGTTTGTTAAGAAGTGAGCTGGCTTCCTGGCCTCAAACTACCAGGAAGACCAACACCCAAGGAAACAAAAAATGCTCTTTCTCTAATGCATCTCAGCGTGTGCTAGGCTGTCGGGTGGGTAGAAATTGCAGGCTCAACAATCCACTCCTTGCTGTCAATTAAATGCACACACTGGGCACACCTGTGTCTTTGGTGATACAGCTACCTTGAGAGCTGAGGCCTTTCAGAAGCATGAAACCTCCATTAGAGGAGTGGGTCAGAGAAGACTGGGGAGGGACATGTTGAGCTGAAACTCTTGGGGGGAAGTTGGATTAGATCGGCAGAGGAAAGGGATCTGTTCTGTTGTGAGACCATTGGGAGTAAAAGTTCAGAAGCTTTCAGTTAGAGTTGATTTATCCATCAGGTAATATAGACGTGGTGTTTAGGATCTAAGAGCTTTTCAGGGACCATTGAAAATATGTGAGATCTGAGAGGAAAAAAAAACATGCATTACTCGGATATCCAAAAAGAAAATACAAAACAGTTATCAATAAATGCTTAACTGACATGTCCATAAAATGTTAAAACTTTAACTGAGCACTTGTAAACATCTCATTACATTTGAAAACAATTTATAGGTCAGATTTTCTCACTTCATAAGAATTCTCAAGTACATACTACCCAGAAATCATAGCCAATCATTAATGAAATGTATTGCTCATAGCCAAATAATTTGAAAATTATAAATATCATTTAACATTTTTACAGAAAAAAATTGATTGGGATGTGTTTTAATGTATTTGATATAATGTGGGTCAGGGTCTCCAAAAGTAAGTGAATCTAAGGCCTATGAAAGTTTTTTTTTTTTAACATCTTTTTTGGAGTATAATTGCTTTACAATGGTGTGTTAGTTTCTGCTTTATAACAAAGTGAATCAGTTATACATATACATATGTCCCCATATCTCTTCCCTCTTGCGTCTCCCTCCCTCCCACCCTCCCTCCTATGAAAGTTTTAAAACAACCCTAAGAAAGTAATTACATTGTTCAGAACTACTTACATATTGGCCCTTAGGTCCCTGTTTGGGATTCCAGCCCAGTGATCTCTGAAGAGCTTTTTCTGATTAGCACCATGACTGATTACACACAAATAGAATTTACACAGAGAACAGAAATTCCTTAAGTGCATAAACAAATGTAAAAACAAAATAAAGAGCATCTCTTTCTGAATTCCCACACTAAGAACCCTCTTCAATGGTTAGTGCATGGAAGCTTCCTTCGGCTTTTAGAAAAGACTTGTGAACTCCACTAAAACAGAAGCCCCCTCGATGCTCTTGAGAGTTCTGTACGTAGGCCTTTCCTACTGAAGTCTGATCTGGGATAAATGCCTTTATAGCTAGAGGGCACTTTCATCCTCAGCTTGCCACTCTAACCCCCTCCCCCACCATTTCTACATAGGTGAAACTTCGGCAAACTGTTAAAGCGAAAGGGTCATAAATGGGACTGAAGATGTAGAAGAGGGGTGGAGGCCACCTGCTCACCTTTGGTGATAGAGTAAAATGGGGGAGGGAGAGTGGGTCTGTGGAAAAAGGTGTTGGAGATAAATGGATTTGATGAAGTGACATTGAATGCACTGTCTCATTGGAGCTTATAATTATTAGATGTTATATTATTCATTATATTACCCCCCTTTATTTGTGGAGAGCAGAGGAAGAGGGGACAGCGGTGAAACGAGTGCTTTGTCCCTCATCCTCCCTAGCTTGGTCTGTGTTGCACTGGTGCGGCAGCTGCCCACCCTGGCCTGGTACCCAGAGGTTCAGAGCTGTCCCTTTCCTGTTGATGGTGGGGGGTCTTTCCAAAGCATGGAATGGGTGGAGGCTCACCTCTCTCTGCTGGGCCCTGTTCCCTGACTGTCAACCTTATTTGAAACTTCTTGGCAATTACTCTGAAGCCTACCAGCGTGTGTTGGACCCAGAGGAGAGGTTTGCCTTAGCACAAGTGATCACTGACGGCATACACAGGTGCCCAAGGTTTGATCTCAGCTACCCTTACTTCATTAAGGCCTACCGAGAGGAATGCACCTGCCTGAGGCTTCACCTGCAGCTGGTGAGGGGCATCCTTACGTGAGTATATTTGGGTTTTAGAAGATTCCATGTGAGAAGAGGATGAAAAACACAGGCCAGAACTGAAAATCGTGTTTTCCTTTCAGTCCCAGTCCAGAATCTGGGTTTTCTAGGGCAGCACGTACACGATGTTTATTTGTAAGCTTATTTGCATTGTTGAATTCCAAGCATGACTACAATCTTAAAGGGAGGTTTCCAATCCTAATTGCATTTAACGATACCAAAGAATTGACCACCTGTTTTCATTCAGTCACAGAGTTTATAGTGAAAGAAGGATGAAACCTACCCCCTTGTAAGACATTAAAGTGTAAAATTATATTTATTTTTTAAAAGGTTGCAATTATTTCTAGGACACTACAGGAAATGATCACAGTCTGTGTCCTCTGGGGAAAGGCTAGAAGATAACGATTGTTGCAGTACAGTTACCTTAGGCCTGCTTAGAATTTTTTCATTGTAGTCAATTATTTGACAGAAAGAAGTTTTCTTGTGCCTCTTAAGATCACCTGAAGCTGGTTGCCTTTGCTTTCCCTGGCGGACCCTCGGCTCAGACTAAAGACAAGCATGTCTCTGTGTGAGTGAATCCTTAAAACCCATGTCTGGGTGAAAATTAGCCAAATAATGAAGAGATGCAAAGGGCTGATGTTCTGTTCGTATCATGCCAAGGCTCATAACTCACATCCATGGGAAAGTTTGACTTTTCTAATTTTAACTTTTATGTGATATTTCTAGATAGAGTGTCAGTGGGAGTATGTCCAGAGGCTTTGACGTGAAGGCCATCCAGATGCTAGCAATACATTTGGACTTCCCTTTAACATAATTTGCAAATAACTCATTTCCATCAACAATAGCTGGTAAGTTGGTGTTGTCTTTAGACATTTTACTTTTAATTTCTGGATAATTTAAGGGTATGATGTTAAGCCTAATACTATTCTACAAAGCACCTCTCAAGTATTTGGAGCTGAGAGAAGTAAATATAAAAGTCACAGAAGAGGGATCCCTTTGCATACTCAATATCTATTTACTTTGTAAATAAAGAATAGGAGGCTAGAATTTAGACTTATGCCACTGGGTGCAGAATCTTCATTCCCTTGAGGAGTCCTAAAAAACCCCGGTTGCTCTTGAAATACTGTCGTAGGATTTATCAGAGGTGCCACACAAGCCAACATATGTGAAACACAGATGTGCTTTAAATTTCTCAAAAACGAATTTCCTTATTCTAGCAAGTGTCAACAAAAAGGTTTCTGCAGGCTTATCTTGTGATACCACCTCCACCCCTTTAAGGAGCAGATTAAATTTCCTGAGATCACTCAGAGAGAGTGCATGAAGTCACCCCCTTGATATGTGGTATGATTCCCCCTCACCATTCCTTTCCAGGCTTCAGGGGTACAGAGGAACCAAGAAGCTGGTGACAGGCTCCAAGTTGGTCTGTGTAACCCAAGATCACAACCTCTCTGTTGCTCCAAATGGGTGGAGAAATTGTCCAGCTCCTTTCAACATTCATCAAATATTTTTGAGCATCTACATGTTCCAGGCAGTGTGCTAGGAGCTGAGGACACAGAATGAACAATGCAGGCATGGCCCTATGCTCCTGTGAAGTGTATAGTCTAGCAGTACAGGCAGACTTGCAGTAAGAGATTGCCACAATGGGCTGTGATGTCATCTTGGTCCATCATTTCATGGACAGGCATCCCATGGGTAGGGTGCCATGGGATTTCATAGCTGAGGTTCTAACCTTTTCTTTCTTTCTCTTGAGAAAGAACCCTGGGAGCTCCAGGCACAAGACTGCATTTTCTCCAAAGACCTTTCACAGGACTGATTTTTTAACTATAGTAAGTTTGAGACCACTTCTACTGTTCAGGAAGTGGTTTTTGACAGAACATGCTAGGACTATATGGATACTAAAACCTGTCAGAGTGTCTCAAAAGCAAATGATATTTACTTGATGAGATTCCTTTCCAGACTTAGGTTTGTATTTCCTAAGATCTAGGAGTAAGAAGAATCCCATTTGCATGGGTTTAAGAAGTATTTAGATATAGAAAGGCCCTTGACTTGACTGGTGCTATATCCTTTATTTCCAAAGCAATAACCCACAGAAAAGTGTTTTATTATCTCTGGCCTCATTCATTCATAAAATATAACATTTTTATGGCAAACATGAATGATTCCAGCAGTTGTGTACAGAACTTAAAAATCGTCTTCATCCATTATCATTTTGGGGGAAAAAAATGGATAAAGAATCGGGTGAAAAATAGAAATAGTCATGGAAAGTACTTGTTTAATATTTAGATACTTTTATATTAAGTTATTTTGTTTTCAAATATTTGGCTAAATATTGATTACTGAAATGTTGACAGGTTTGCCATATACAATCTTAGAATCCCTTTTTTCAATTTTATTGAGATATAATTGATGTACAGCACTGTATACATTTAAGGTGTACAGCATAATGATTTGACTTATAATGAATCTTATTCTTTTTGGCTTTTAGAGTAAACTATGTCTTCTAGTTTTAAAAAGGTTCACATTAAAGCAAAAAGCATGTTGTGTAACTTGATGGGCTCCCTGGACAGCCTCTGAGACCCCATTGAGCTTCCAATTTTTTATGATGCCCTGGATTATAAGAGTGTTTTATTGGTCTCAAAAAATATGAAATCCAAATACCTGTAGAAACATTAAGTTCTTCACTGTGTAAAATCGTCATTAATTGTTTCTCTTCATTAAGCCCAGCTTTGACAAACATTTACCTGCTGGAGTTCCACCCTTCCCTGGGCCTGGCTTTGCACATCCCCAGAGCCCTTGAGCACCTCCTCAGGGAGGCCTGCCACACCTGCAGGCCCACATCAGCCAGTGCCCTCACCTTGCTAGAGAGACACATACTGCAGCTGGCCCTGGATGTGTGGCTCACTCCAGCCAAGCCCAAGTCCTGGTACGGCGCACAGCTCCAGAAAGACGTAGGTTCTCTGAAAGGGGTAGGTGGGTCCTTGGCAAAGAGAATGTTTCCTCCCAGATGTTACTACTTAGCTTTGTTTTTATGTTTGGCTCTATTCCCCTCTATCTGGCCAGGGACAGATCATAGTCCTAGGGCTTGACAACATTTTTATTTCTATTTTTTTTTCATTTTTGAAAAAGTTTCTAGTTTTCATTTTCAAAGTTTCTAGTTTATCAGGATGCTGCTACAGTTATAATTTAAAGGGAGATGTACTAGATATGGGGAAAATATTTTCTGGTTTATTATTTATATTTTTAAAATATCTTTTTAATTAAATTTTTTTCTTTCTAAGATTCTTCCTAAAATGTACTCTTTTGTCCTGAGCTGAGATCTGGTAGAGGAGAGACAGCACTGAGTGAGGAGTCAGTGACTTGGACTCAAGTTCAGTCCTGCATTAACTTGCTGTGTGACTCTGAGCCTTACTTTCCTATTTTTTAACATTATATTTGTGTATTTGAGGGGAGGAGGGTAGAAGTGAGCTCAATGATCACTAAAGCCCCTTCCAGCTCTAACGCTCTGTGGTTCAAACTGTGGCCCAGTGCCTTACATGGTGTATGTAATTGGATTTTAATTTTTTTCTTTTTCTATTAAGGCTATCACAGTTGAGCCTGGGTTTCTAATTTGACCTTACTTGCTATTAAGATGAAGGAACTTTCAGGCTTCCCTGGTGGCGCAGTGGTTGGGAGTCCGCCTGCCAATGCAGGGGACACGGGTTCGTGCCCCGGTCCGGGAAAATCCCACATGCCGCAGAGCGGCTGGGCCCGTGAACCATGGCCACTGAGCCTGCGCGTCTGGAGCCTGTGCCCCGCAGCGGGAGAGGCCACAACAGTGAGAGGCCCATGTACTGCTAAAAAAAAAAAAAAAGATGAAGGAACTTTCAAGGACCCCAGCTGTCAAAAATATTTGTTCCACAGGTCTGCCTCAGCCTCCTATCTCCTCCTGCCCAAACTAAAGTTTTATTTTCTTTTAAATTAATGTTGAGTTGATCAAAAGTAAAATTTAGAATTGTAGCAAAAGAGGAAAACAGAAAATTACTCTAAATATAACAATTCAAATGCATTTGTAATCATTATTTTTCTGAATTCAAGTATTCTTCATATACATGTTTTACATAGTTCTTTCTAATCATATCCTTCATACACTATCTCCTGTTTTTCTCAGTTAACATCATATTATATATTCTTCTGTATTGCTAATAGTCTTTATACTCACTCACCTTTACGACCACATAATTCCCTTAAGTGGTGAATCATAACTTATCCAACCATCAATGGGCATTCAAGTAGTTTCCAATTTTTCATTATTATTAAAAGTGCTATAAGGTACATCTCCATGCTCATAGATTTTTCCGTATTTTGAATCAATTCCTTTGGATAGATCCCAGAAGTGGATTTGCTGAAGCAAAGTTTAAGTCTTTTGATTTATGCTGGCAGATCACTTTCCAGAAGAGTCATGCCACTGATAGTGTATGCCACTGATAGTGTATAAGAGTACCAGTTCTGCTATACCCTACAATGTTAGTTATAAGTATGTAATGTCTGTGCTAATATATACATATTATATATAAAGGTGGCATTACACTGCTGATTTTCTTTCCTTGCTATTTGTTGAGATTAAATATTCTTCCAAATGTCTTGTTACTAATTGTATTTTTTATGAATTTTCTGTTCTTTCCCTTAGTTTATTTATCTCTTGGAATCCTAATGTCATTCCTATCCACTTACATGGGCTCTTCTTTAAAAAAAAAAAACAAACTTTAACCCTTTTGTCCATCATATTTTCTGCAAATATTTTCCCCAATTTGTCTTTTTATTTTTTAACAGAAACTTATTTTCATGTAGTCAAATCTATTTGTCTTTTCTTTTGCAATTTCTTGTATCCTCCTAAATCCAGAAAGCAAAAATTCCTCCAGATGTTTCATATTTTATCTTATTTTATTCTAACTTCTTAAGGTTTTATCTTATTTCAAAAATATTTAACTCCTTTGAGTGTTCCACCTGGAGTGTGTGTGCATGTATGTGTGTGTATATGAGTGTGTGTGTGGTGTAAGGTATGGCTCAAAATAGAATTTTTCCCCAAATTACCAGCCATGTATCCTACTACCATTTATTGAGGATTATTTTCACATTGTATTATGGTAACAGATTTTTTTTCAAATGTATTTTTAGTCCTCTTATAAATCGTAGTGAATATATGGTGTACCTATCCAGTCTCTCATTGATCCCACACTTTATTTTATTTTATTTCATATTTTTGACCGCACTGCATGGCTTGCAGGATCTTAGTTCCCCGACCAGGGATTGAACCCAGGCCCTTGGCAGTGAAAGTGCCAAGTCCTAACCACTGGACCACCAGGGAATTCCCCACACAACTTTAATTGTTATTATTTTTGAAATGTGTTCAAATTGGGACCTAGAAATGATAAATATTCAGATTAATCTTTTGTATTGGGACAGAAAATGGGGCAGGTATTGCCCTCAGAAGACAAGCAGGAAATTAGTTTAATAAATCTCTTTATCACTTTGGAAGACTTCAATTGTCTAGAAATTGCATCTCTGAGTAGGCAAGGACTTTGGTAAATAAGTGGATCTACCCTTGGGAAGCCAAACCAGGAAAGGCAAACTAGGGGGTCTCCAAACTGGGTCCTTGCTGGGAGTGGTATATTAGAGGGTAGCAAAAATGCCAGAGCAGAGGAGGTGAGCAAGGCAGAAGGACATTAAAAGAGCAATGTGGTTATTTCACCAATCACCCAGGGCTGACTGAGTGGAGGAGCACTGCAGAGGCAGTTTGGTATACTGTAAAACTACAGCTTGGGGGCTTCCCTGGTGGCGCAGTGGTTGAGAGTCCGCCTGCCGATGCAGGGGACACAGGTTCGTGCCCCGGTCCGGGAAGATCCCACATGCCGCAGAGCGGCTGGGCCCGTGAACCATGCATGGCCGCTGAGCCTTCGCGTCCGGAGACTGTGCTCCGCAACGGGAGAGGCCACAACAGTGAGAGGCCCGCGTACCGCGAAAAAAAGTACAGCTTGAAACTAGGAAACCTAAGTTTATTCTTGGTACTGTTGTATGACCTTAGAAAATTTCAGTGTTGCTTCAGACCCCTCACTGGTAAAATGGAAATAATAGTATCTGTGATGCCTAAATCATAGGTATCTTGTGAAAATAAAAATGAGTTAATATATGTGAAAATACTTGAAATTTTTAAAACTTCAATTAGAGTTTATAAGAAATTATTAATATTATTATTATTGGCCACTAAAATACTTGAAATATATCAGATACTTCTATTTAGGTCATCTTTATCATTTCTCTCTTTATTTTGGCTTAAAACATTTATGATAATGGTAATAGCAAATACTCTGTACCAAGCACTTTTGCATATATTAACTCACTTAACCCTCTCAACAACCCTATGATACAGTTTTGATCTATCAGTTCCTATTAGGTGCTGTTATTATCCTTATCCCCACTTTGCAGATGAGGAAACTGAGAGACAGCTAAATTGAATAAGTTGCCGCAAATCTCACAGCTTATAAGTGTCAGAGCTAGGACTTGAGCCCAGGAACTCTGGATCCAAAGTCTATGCTGCCGATGTATTTTTCTTAATATGTCAAATTTCTGTGTGTGTGTGTGTGTGTGTGTGTGTGTGTTTTAAAAAGTATTCTGTTTTCTTTCAGCTGTTTTCAGCTAAAGTGATGGGCAATCCCTTCCTCGTGGGGGAGATAGGCCTGCTTGCATTCAAGTCTGCAGCAGACGTAGGACAGAACCAAGGCCAAGATTCTCATATGCTGCTCCTACAGACATTTTCCAAACTTTTGGAACTCTTGACCCTCTGGCATAGGCTGATAGAGATGAGTCTGGGGAGTGTACACTTAGCACAGTCAGTAGGGGGACTGAGGATGCAGATGGAGGATAACAGACTACGGGTCCCCCTACCTGCAAGCCTTGCCCTATCTGTGCCCCAAGAGTAGCCAGAGTGAGCTTTCTAAATGGCTGAAATGATGACCTCCCTTTCTCCCTCCCTCCATTGTTTATCCTCTCACTCAGGCCTCCCCACATGCCTCTCTGACCACTCAGCTAGGCTGGGTTCTCCTCCAAGCACCCGGGCTTCCTCTTCATTCAGCCATTGCCTTTTAATTAGATGCTTAATATTGGTTTGTTGGTTTTCCTGCTAGTGTAAGCTCCCTAGTATCCTATCAGGGGTATGAAGCCTGACCCTCACTGGGCACTCAGTGAATACTGATTGTATTTGCTCTCAAATATAATGAAGTTGAAAGCAGAGCAGAAGCAATGGAGGGCCTAAAGAAAGGAAAGAATGAGTCAGTGACAGCATCCAGGTCTGGCAGAGGTATGGAAGGTTTAGCAGGCAGGGGGAGAGAACACTTAGTGAGTTAGGTTTTAGGTATGAGCGTGAGATGATGGTAAGACATTTAAGTGAACATGTTCCCCAAACTGGAAAAACATGGAACTTGAAGATTTGTTGCAAACGTGTATGAGTTCTTTTGTGTTCTGTCCCCATGAGAGGCCCTGAAGACGCAAAGAGTCCAATCATCAACCATCAACCACTGTCTAGGGCCTAGTGTGGCCAGGGTCTGTACTGGGGACTTTACATGTACTAGTTCATGTACTCCTCAGAATATTCTTTTGATATGATAGCTTTATGATGTCCTTATGATATATTATGATATGATAGCTTACAAACATGTTACCAGCAGGAAGGTAGAGGCTCAGAAAAATTAAGTAATTTGCCTAAGATCAAATAACTAGAAAGTAGTAGAAGCAGAATTCAAACCATGAGCCCAGATATTATTAACTGCTATGATACTACCTCCTCATAATTCCTGATCCTTGTTCTCAGGGAGTTCACAATGTAAAAGTTCCCCCTAATAAAGTTTAGTATGATATTTTAGTCATATGAACAAAATACTATGGGAGCACAGGAAATAGTGTATTTCACTCTTTCTAAGTGAATCAGAGAAAGTTCCATAGAAAAGGGCCTAGGGATGATTGTGTAACTCCAAAATTCATATGTTCAAGCTCTAACCCCTAGTACCCCAGAATGTGACCTTATTTGGAGATAGGATCTTTACAGAGGTAGTCAAGTTAAAATGAAGTTATCAGAGTAGGCTCTTATCTAATATAACTGGTGTCCTTATAAGAAGAGGTAGTTTGGACACAGACATACCCAGAAGGAATACTGTGTGAAACCACAAGGACAAGATAGCCATCTATTAGCCGAGAAAGGCCTAGAACAGCTCCTTCACTCAAAACCCTCAGAAGGAACCAACCCTGCAACACTGATCTTGGACTTCTGTCCTCCAGAACTGAGACAAATTTCTGTTGTTTAAGCCCCCAGTTTATGGTACTGTTTCACAGCAGCCTAGCAAACTAATACAGGTGCCATTTGAACGCAGCCTTAATGTACCAAATTCTCAAGATGAAGACGTGTGTTAGAATGGGGGTAAGAGAGGAAGGGAAGGCATTCTAGACACAGAAGCCTGAAATGCCAGAGCAACATCTGAATGGATCCTGGCTGCAAGCCATGGACACATGAGAGTAGAGCTCAGAGTTGAAGCAGGACAGAGATGGGGTCATAGGTTCTTACACAAGGGGGTGATGGTTAGGGCCTGGAGTTGGATGACAGACTCCCTAAGGAGGGCATGGAGAAGGTGAGAAGAGGATTAGGTTTAGAACACCAGGAAACAAGTGTTGAAAATAAAGAGGAGAAGCCAGAATGTAGCAGCAGCAATGGTGGCGGGACGGGGGCAGCAGTGCTTGGCTGCTTAGCCAGTGCCCTGGCATGGGGTGGGTGCAGCTCTTTGTGGTCCACCAGAGCCACAACCGTGTCATCAACAGCCCGGGGGAACGTCTAGCAGGGGCTGTGCACATGCGACTGGCGCCACTGCCCTTCCGAGCCATCCAGGTGACCCGCATGGGGTCCTGCAGTGTCTCCAACAAGGTCAGTGACATGGCATGGGTGGTAGAGGAGGGCTATTTCAACAACCAAAAAGAGGAGAAGCCAGTGAAGACTGAGAGAGAGTAGTCAAGAGGCAGAAGCATGGAGATCCTGGATCCAGGAGAACAAAAATGTTCCTCAAGGAGGAGACAGGCCAACCATGAGGAGCTCTGAGAAAAAATGGTGAACCTCCTATTGAGGGCAATATTGGTGACCTCAGGAGGGCTCTGAAGATAGAAGCCAACTTGTAGGAAATGAGAGTTGAGGAAGTGCCCAAGCATATCTCCTCCCACCTTAACTACTGTCTTTAACTGTCAGAGCTTAGGGCAGACTCAAAACCCTTGTGACTCATTCACTTCACACCGGACTTGGCTTACTTTTGTTTTGACTTTTGCTTTTGTGCTTATTCAGATGGTTTGGTTTTCTTACCACTTACTTTCCTTTTAGGGGAAAATAATAGCAAATGTTCTTGGCTTTTTTTTTTTCCCCTTTTAGTCTTATAAGGACTTGGCATGTGAGATGGGTTTTGAAGAGTTCCATTTGTATCTGAGGCCTGTTCACTTTGAATTTGCATCACACGAAGACAAGGTGGTCCATCCACCTCCTGTCTTTATGATCTCTCTGCTGGAGGACAGTGACCACATAGATAGGTGAGCCTAGAGAGGGTCAAAGTAAAAATAATGTAACAGTAGAATGAGTGGCCAGTAAAAACTAATTTCTATCACCGCTGGCCATGCAAATGCAATTGCATTCTAAATTCTCTCCCTTATAATCTATCTGCCATGATGTTAATGTTTTTCTTTTCCTTTCTTTCTTTTTTTTTATTTTTTATACAACAGGTTTTTATTAGTTATCTGTTTTATACATATTAGTTTATATATGTCAATCCCAATCTCCCAATTCATCCCACCACCACCACCACCCCTGCCACTTTTCCCCCTTGGTGTCCATACATTTGTTTTCTACATGTGTGTCTCTATTTCTGCCCTGCAAACCGGTTCATCTGTACCATTTTTCTAGGTTCCACATATATGCGTTAATATACGATATTTGTTTTTCTCTGACTTACTTCACTCTGTATGATAGTCTCTAGATCTATCCATGTCTTTACAAATGACTCAATTTCGTTCCTTTTTATGGCTGAGTAATATTCCTTTGTATATATATACCACATCTTCTTTATCCATTCATCTGTCGATGGGCATTTAGATTGCTTCCATGACCTGGCTATTGTAAATAGTGCTGCAATGAATATTGGGGTGCATGTATCTTTTTGAATTATGGTTTTCTCAGGGTATATGCCCAGCAGTGGGATTGCTGGGTCATATGGTAATTCTATTTTTAGTTCTTTAAGGAACCTCCATACTGTTCTCCATAGTGGCTGTATCAATTTACATTCCCACCAACAGTGCAAGAGGGTTCCCTTTTCTCCACACCCTCTTCAGCATTTGTTGTCTGTAGATTTTCTGATGATGCCCATTCTTACCGGTGTGAGGTGATACCTCATTGCAGTTTTGATTTGCATTTCTCTGTCACTCAGATGGACTTCTTTGCTTCTATATGTGTATGTGCAGGTTTGTATTTGTGTGTGTATGTTTTAAACACTAATCCAATCTTGGCAGTTTTACAAAAGCCTACCTTTGAGCATATATTTGCTAGTTAATCAGAGTCTACTCATCCTTTTCTGATAACTAGGGAAACCTGATGCTGTCCAGATACAGAGCAATTAGGCCTGGAGCCTGCCTTCATGGGATGAAACACTGCTTATGGACAGACCAAATTCAGGCTTGTGGCTGAGGAGCAAGGATCTCAACATATCCAGCAGTTTGATCCATACATTTACATGTTGAGTAAGTGGTGATCCCCACCCTCAACTTCACCTTTCTGTTATGAGAGAAATTCCTAATTACTTTCACATTTCTTCCTTTAGCTCTTGTTCCATCGGGAGTGGAAAATATGCAAGTGACCCTTGCATGCCAAGCTACTCAGAAAAATGCTTTAATGGTGGCTGTCCAGCAGGCGTCCTTCTATCACACTCCCTGAGGGGCCCGTCATGCTGATGTCAAGGTCAGCCTGTAAGATAGAGAAGCCTGAGGCGTGCTACCACTACCGCCAGCTACTGTCAGGCTGCCCCATTCTTTCCTCCCTCCCCCTTTCCCTCCCTCCTCCTTCCTCCACTCCTTCCTCCTTTCCTTCGTCCCATCCTCCCCTTTTCCCTCCTTGTCTTTCTCCCTTTTTTGACCATTTTTTCCCTATCTTTTTACCTTCCTTCCTTCCCTCTTCCCCTCCCTTCCTTCTTTCCTAATACAAACTGACATATGATCAAATTCTTACTGGGTCTCTTAATTTTCAGTGGTTTGCTGATAATTTTTCCATTGTATGTGACTCTATAATATTGACAAGCTAGAATCAACCAGCAGAAAATATCCTGTTCCTCCACCCCTACCCTTTGTGGATAAATGATTCCATTGTTTTCTGTTTTATCCTTCCTGTATTTCTTTTTGCAAAAGTAACCAGATACATTTGCCCTTCTTTTTTTCACAAAAGGTAACACAAAATATATTCTCTTTCTTTTCCAAATTTTTTAGTTGTTATTGATATAATTCACATAACATAAAATTCACCCCTTTAACGTATAATTCACAAGACCATGCAATCATCACCACTATCTAGTTCCAGAACATTTTCCTCATTCTCAAAAGAAACCCTGTACCCATTAGCAGTCAATCCCCATTCCCCACTTTCCTCAGCTCCTAGCAACCAGTAATCCACTTTCTGTCTCTATGGATTTGCCTATTCTGGACATTTCATATAAATGGAATCATACAATATATGGCCTTTTATGTCTGAATTTTTTCACTTAGCATAGTGTCTTCAAGCTTCATCCATGTCGTAGCATGTACCAGTACTTCGTTTTTGTTTTGTTTCGTCTTTTACTGATGAATAGTATTTTATTATATGTATATACCACGTTTTACTTATCCATTCATCAGTTGACAGACATTGGGTTGTTTTTACTTTTTAACTATTATGAATAATGCTGCCATGAACATTTATGTACAAGTTTTTGTAAGGACATATGTATGTTTTGAGTTTTGCTAACAATTTTTATTATCTCTCTTTTTTATTTTAGCCATCTAGTGAGGGTAAAATGATATCTCACTGTGGCTGTGATTTGTATTTTTCTAATTACTTACGACATTGAGCATCTTTTCATGTGCTTATTGGCTATTTGTATATCTTTGTTAAAGACATGTCAATTCAAATCCTTTGCCCTTTTATAAAATTGGATTTTTTTTATTATTGAGTTATAAGAGTTCTTTATGTATTCTGAATACAAGTTCTTTATCAAGTATATGATTTGAAAAGATTTTCTTCCATTCTGAGGATCATCTTCTTACTTCCTTGATGGTGTTCTTTGAAACAAAAGTTTTTCATTTTGATGAGTCCAATTTACCTATTCTTCTTGTATTTTCTCCATTCTGTTTCCAAGATTTTGAATCATCTTTACTATCATTACTCTGAATTCTTTTTCAGGTAGACTGCCTATTTCCTGTTCATTTGTTTGGTCTGGTGGGTTTTTACCTTGCTCCTTCATCTGCTGCATATTTCTCTGTCTTCTCATTTTGTTTAACTTAACGTGTGTTTGGGGTTTCCTTTTCGCAGGCTGCAAGTTCGTAGTTCCCATTGTTTTTGGTGTTTGCCCCCAGTGGGTGAGGTTGGTTCAGTGGGTTGTGTAGGCTTCCTGGTGGAGGGGACTGGTGCCCGTGTTCTGGTGGGTAGAGCTGGATCTTGCCTTTCTGGTGGGCAGGGCCGTGTCCAGTGGTGTGTTTTGGGGGTGTCTGTGAACTTAGTATGATTTTAGGCAGCCTCTCTGCTAATGGGTGGGGTTGTGTTCCTGTCTTGCTAGTTGTTTGGCATGGGGTGTCCAGCACTGGAGCTTGCTGGCTGTTGGGTGGAGCTGGGTCTTAGCATTGAGATGGAGATCTCTGGGAGAGCTCTTGGCAATTGATATTACGTGGGGCCAGGAGGGCTCTGGTGGTCCAGTGTCCTGAACTTGGCTATCCCACCTCGGAGGCTCAGGCCTGACACCAGGCCTGGTGTCAGGCCTGATCCTGTCAGCTGCACAGCCAGGTACGTGGGGATTTTCTTGCCTTTTGGGAGGTCTGAGGTCTTCTGCCAGTGTTCAATAGGTGTTCTGTAGGAGTTGTTCCACATGTAGTTGTATTTTTGATGTATATGCGGGGAGGAAGGTGATCTCTATGTCTTACTCGTCAGCCATCTTGAAGGTCCCCCTGAAATAGGAGACTCCACTAAAGACACCAACCTCTGCAAGAGCTAGAGGTGCAGAGGCATTTTTTTCAGAGGGTTTGCAGCTTGCTGGAATGGCAGAAAGGGAGAAAAAGAGAAGATCCTCTAGGGCAAGGGAGGAGAAGTAAGACCCACAACTGCAACCGCCATCGCTTTCGGGACTGGGCCCAATTTACCAATTCTTCTTTTGTCACTTACTCTTTTGGTGTTACATCTAAGAAACCATTGCTTAATCCAAAGTCAGGAAGATTTACTCCTATGTTTTCTTCTAAAAGTTTTGTAGTTTTAGCTCTTACATTCAGGTCAATGATTCATTTATGGTTAATTTTTATATGTAGTGTGAGATAGGGGGTCTAACTTCATTCTTTTTTTTTTTTTTTTTTTTTTTAAGTACACGGGCCTCTCACTGTTGTGGCCTCTCCCATTGCGGAGCACAGGCTCCGGACGCGCAGGCTCAGTGGCCATGGCTCACGGGCCCAATTGCTCCGCGGCATGTGGGATCTTCCCGGACCAGGGCACGAACCCATGTCCCCTGCATCGGCAGGCAGACTCTCAACCACTGCGCCACCAGGGAAGCCCCAACTTCATTCTTTTGAGTGTACTTATCCAGCTGTCGCAGTATCATTTGTTGAAAAGACTCATTTTTCCCCATTGAATTGTCCTGGCACCCTTGACAAAAATCAGTTGACCATAAATGTAAGAGTGTATTTCTGGACCCTTAATTCTTTTTTTCTTTTTAAAGAATTTTTACTCCAAAGATAAAAAAGTAATAAAGAGGCAGAGAATCACATAGTTATGCACTAATTAGATTAGACATATTGATAATATTCCTTTGAAGTTGTAGATGGCAAATTTTTCCCTTTTACTTTCTTTTTTTAAATTACATTATGATTTTATTAGTATTAAATATAACAAAAATTAAAACATAAAGTTATCACATACAGTGCTAGATTAACATTTAAATACAACACATAAAAAATCACAAAATAAGAAATGAAAAAACAAAAACCAGGTAAGATTTATTTACACAACAGTGTAAAGCAACTATACTCCAATTTAAAAAAAAAAAGATTTATTTAACGTGGTAGGTGTGCTTGCCTGTTCATAAGTTCATGCCAGTCTGGAACACAGGAGGATAATGCTACTTGCATATCTGCTGCACCATTTAATCCATTCCTTTCCTTTGTTTTTTCTGGATTAAGACTGAAAACCCTAGCTCACACAAACTAGTTGTTGTGAATGGTAATAAGAGCAGGACACTCTTTCGACTTATCAAAGGAAAGTCTTCCTTTATCTTAATCCAAAATGCGATAAACTTAATGTTTCATAATCATTCTTCAATGTATATGAAGAACTGAGCTATAATAATTCATTTTCTTCTTCAGGCACCAAGTTGAACTCAATTATTGATTCTGGGTTTCGAAAAGCGAATGGATCTTTTACCCAACAATTTTGCCTTAATGTTTCAAATTTCTCTTCTGGGAATAAATGGTTAAAAGTTTGACATAGAGAAGTGAGATGCAACAATATCTCTAGTTTTATTTCTTCCAAAATGTTTTCATTAATAACATTCTCTTTGATGTGATTCAAAATCCTTGGAAACATGTAGTAGCTAGGATGGTTGCTTTTTTTTTTTTTTAACATCTTTACTGGAGTATAATTGCTTTACAATGGTGTGTTAGTTTCTGCTTTATAACAAAGTGGATCCGCTATACATATATATATATCCCCATATCTCCTCCCTCTTGCGTCTCCCTCTCACCCTCCCTATCCCAACCCTCTAGGTGGTCACAAAGCACCGAGCTGCTCTCCCTGTGCTATATGGCTGCTTCCCACTACTATCTATTTTAAATTTGGTAGTATATGTAAGTCCATGCCACTCTCTCACTTCGTCCCAGCTTACCCTTCCCCCTCCCTGTGTCCTCAAATCAATTCTCTATATTTGTTTTTCTCTTTCTGACTTACTTCACTCTGTATGAGAGACTCTAGATCCATCCACCTCACTACAAATAACTCAATTTCATTTCTTTTTATGGCTGAGTAATATTCCATTGTATATACGTGTCACATCTTCTTTATCCATTCATCTGTCGATGGACACTTAGGTTGCTTCCATGTCCTGGCTATTGTAAATAGAGCTGCAGTGAACATTGTGGTACATGACCCTTTTTGAATTATGGTTTTCTCAGGGTATATGCCCAGTAGTGGGATTGCTGGGTCATATGATAGTTCTACTTTTAGTTTTTGAATGAACCTCCATACTGTTCTCCATAGTGGCTGTATCAATTTACATTCCCGCCAACAGTGCAGGAGGGTTCCCTTTTCTCCACACCCTCTCCAGCGTTTATTGTTTCTAGATTTTTTGATGATGGCCATTCTGACTGGTGTGAGGTGATACCTCATTGTAGTTTTGATTTGCATTTCTCTAATGATTAGTGATGTTGCGCATCCTTTCATGTGTGTGTTGGCAATCTGTATATCTTCTTTGGAGAAATGTCTATTTAGGTCTTCTGCCCATTTTTTGACTGGATTGTTTGTTTTTTTGATATTGAGCTGCATGAGGTACTTGTAAATTTTGGAGATTAATCCTTTGTCAGCTGCTTCATTTGAAAATATTTTCTCCCATTCTGAGGGTTGTCTTTTCGTCTTGCTTATGGTTTCCTTTGCTGTGCAAAAGCTTTGAAGTTTCATTAGGTCCCATTTGTTTATTTTTGTTTTTATTTCCATTTCTCTAGGAGGTGGGTCAAAAAGGATCTTGCTGTGATTTATGTCATAGAGTGTTCTGCCTATCTTTTCTTCTAAGAGTTTTACAGTGTCTGGCCTTACATTTAGGTCTTTAATCCATTTTGAGTTTATTTTTGTGTATGGTGTTAGGGAGTGTTCTAATTTCTTTCTTTTACATGTAGCTGTCCAGTTTTCCCAGCACCACTTATTGAAGAGGCTGTCTTTTCTCCATTGTATATTCTTGCCTCCTTTATCAAAAATAAGGTGACCATATGTGTGTGGGTTTATCTCTGCACTTTCTATCCTGTTCCATTGATCTATATTTCTGTTTTTGTGCCAGTCCCATACTGTCTTGATTACTGTAGCTTTGTAGTATAGTTTGAAGTCAAGGAGACTGATTCCTCAGCTCTCTTTTTCTTTCTCAAGATTGCTTTGGCTATTCGGGGTCTTTTGTGTTTCCATACAAATTGTGAAATATTTTGTTCTAGTTCTGTGAAAAATGCCATTGGTAGTTTCATAGGGATTGCATTGAATCTGTAGATTGCTTTGGGTAGTATAGTCATTTTCACAATGTTGATTCTTCCAATCCAGGAAGATGGTATATCTCTCCATCTGTCTGTATCATCTTTAATTTCTTTCATCAGTGTCTTATAGTGTTCTGCCTGCAGGTCTTTCATCTCCTTAGGTAGGTTTATTCCTAGGTATTTTATTCTTTTTGTTGCAATGCTAAATGGGAGTGTTTCCTTAATTTCAGATTTTTCGTCATTAGTGTATAGGAATACAAGAGATTTCTGTGCATTAATTTTGTATCCTGCTACTTTACCAATTCATTGATTAGTTCTAGTAGTTTTCTGGAAGCGTCTTTAGGATTCTCTATGTATAGTATCATGTCATCTGCAAACAGTGACAGCTTTACTTCTTTTCCAATTTGGATTCCTTTTGTTTCTTTTTCTTCTCTGATTGCTGTGGCTAGGTCTTCCAAAACTGTGTTGAATAAGAGTGGTGAGAGTGGGCAACCTTGTCTTGTTCCTGATCTTAGTGGAAATGGTTTCAGTTTTTCACCATTGAGCATGATGTTGGCTGTGGGTTTGTCATTATTATGTTGAGGTAAGTTCACTCAAAAGTTCATTGCTGACTCTGAGAGAGCAGTTCTAAGGGGGTTAGAGTGAAAGCCAGACTGCCAGAGTTAAGGAGTGACAGAATGATAGCAATGTAGAAGTAGGGTATATTTACAGCTCCTGCATTAGTCTGCTGGGGCAGCCATACCAAAATACCATATACTGGGTGGCTTAAACAACAGAAATTTATTTTTTCATAGTTCTGGAGGCTAGAAGTCCAAGATCAAGGAGCCAACATGGTCAGCTTCTAGTGAGAGCTCTCTTCCTGGCAGATGTTTGCATTTTCACTGTCCTCACAAGGCAGAGAGAGAGAAAGTTCTGGTGTCTCTTCCTCCTCTTATAAGGACACCAGCCCTATCAGATTTGGGCCCCACCCTTATGACCTCATCTAACCCTAATTACCTCATCTAACCCTGATTACCTCCCAAAGGCCCCATTTCCAAATACCATCACTGGGGGTTAGGGCTTCATTGTAAGAATTTAGGGGGAGACACAAGCATTTAGTCCATTATAACTCTTTAAGAAGTTGGGTCAGAATTGAAGAGGAAGCTTGAGGGGTCGGAGAATTAAGAATAAAATAGATGTGATCATATTTGTAGGAAGGGACTGGAAAAAATGAAGAAAGTGAGGATAGAAACAAAAGATGGTCATGGTTGAGATTTTGAGTGCAACTTGAGGGAGTCAAGGATTTAAGGGTTCCACTTAGCAGCTTCTATGGTCCAGGCAAGGCAGTGAGCTAAGTGATGGATATACCTGAGCTCATGGGTCCTCTCAGCAGCCCTAGGAGATGGAGGACATCATCCCCTTTTTCTAGGTGAGGAAACAGGTTTTGAAAGGTTAGGGAACAGAGCCAAGATCACCAGCTGAGTGTCAGCACTAGGATCTGATTACAGAGCTTATTTTCTTCCCTCTTAGCTCACTCATAGCCTTTCGAAGACCTCTTGAGTCTTCTGAACTTGTAAATTCTACTATTTCCAGGAGACTGGGATAGCCCAAGAGTCTTCAGAAAAAATCAAGATGGAAACTTTAGCCTTTTTAACCCAAGATATTTTTCTTTTGTCTCATTTTCCTTAAGTGTCCTTCAGTAATTCAGCTATGGAGAACTTATTTCTTTCTTTGAAGAAGAATAGTCTTTCCTTTGAAGCCTTAATATTTTTCTTTTAGTTAGTATTTTAGACAAATGTAAAAGAATTCCATCCATCATGCCCTGTAATTCCATAACCAATAGGAATATTGGAAGATACAGATTTCCCTTTTTTTCTTCCCCCTCTTCCTTCCCCACCCTCCCTCCACCTCTCCCTCCCTCATTATTACATTATGCAGGGCAGCATATACAGCCCACCTCCATATGCTTAGGCTATACAAGAATGGGCAGGCCTTCCCTGGTGGCGCAGTGGTTGAGAGTCCGCCTGCCAATGCAGGGGACACGGGTTCGTGCCCCGGTCCGGGAAGATCCCACATGCTGCAGAGCGGCTGGGCCCGTGAGCCATGGCCACTGAGCCTGCGCGTCCGGAGCCTGTGCTCCGCAACGGGAGAGGCCACAACAGTGAGAGGCCCATGTACCGCAAAAAAAAAAAAAAAAGAATGGGCACCCTGAGATGATTTTTCAGATCTTGCAGCCATGAAGTTCATCAGCTGTATTTCTTGAGAGGCCAGTATACAAAGCACTCCAGCTAGCCACCTTGTAAAATGGAGAGTTTTTTCTCAGAGCACCTTAGACAACTCTATTCTGGAAATAGTCACACTTAGTGCCTCACCTCTTCATTGTGCAAAATGGTATCTCTCTTCCGTTTGCTCCCTTACTCTCTCCTCTCCTCCCCTTCCCTTCTCTCCCTTCCACTCCCTCCCACCCCCAGTGTATCCAGCCATTTACATGTATTTGGGGTCACTTATGGCTGTGAGATAATTGTATAGTCAGTACCACAGGACTTACAAATCCAACAAATTTAATTCACTTTGGTTTGAAATATTTTAGGAAATAACTTTCTCAGGTCTGAGAAATCATAGTGGAATGGGTCCAACCAGAAGAAGAAATTCCAGAATTGTGAATGGCATAGAAAGCATGCTGTTAGCTGCAACTCCAAAAGTCCCAGACACACTTATTCATCCTTCAGAAAGATTCCAGGCTACCAAAAGGTACTGCACGGGGGTGGCGGTGAAGGGTTGTTTATAATAACAAAAGTGTCCTCTTTCAAGCTAGTTAATAACAGTATTATGGAACTGAATGATGCCTAAACTCCCAGAGTCACCACCATGTGTTAAATTTTTAAGACCTTGTCTGAAAACAAGGTTATAAAACACCAAGAAGGCTCAGCTCCTTCTAATATGCTCCAGTCTATGAAGGAGAGTCAACGGTTCCTAATTTCAGACTCGACTCTTCTCCCTCTTCTCCTTTCTCTTTCTCTTCCCTTCTTCCCCTCCTTCTTCCCTCTCTCTATATTTTTCAAACTCCAACGAGGGTAGAACATAAGGAAGAAGAATATGAGCATGTCCAAATTTTCCACATCTTAAACAGAAAAGCACAGAACTACCCTCACTATTCTAACAAGCGTTTTTCCATTGCTTAGAATAATAGAATGGTACATTGTCAGAGAGGCATGGCCTCTACAGACATATATCTATAAACCAGGGTTTCCGTATTATATCTTGATCTCGTATTCTGTAATAATTTGTATTACAGAATACGACATTTGTATTCTGTAATAACTATGAATACTCTGAATATTTTATTGAGGCATACCAATGAGCCTCTAGTCTAATTCTGGCAAATTTAGAATGAAAAAAAAATAACAGGCAAAGCCACTCTACTCCTCAAGATGCCCTTAATCTGACACATGGCCAGAGTTTGAGTGCTCTAAATTCACATTCCCAATGTGTGGATGGGAGATTTAAGACCAATGTGTCTAGTCAAGAGGACCCTTAGGAGGCCACTTCAGTCCAGGTACCCCTACAGTTCAGACCAGGAGGGCACAAAGGGACCTTGGGAGTACAAACACTGGGCCAGGCTATGAAGTTTGGGAGTGAAGAGGGACTGATGATGCATGCCTCAGGCACATGGGGGTCCCCAACAAGGGTGGTGACATATCAGCATCCCCACTGAATATAAGAGAAACACTTGGAGCAGGTAAGAACCACAGAAACAGAGCCACATGATCTCCTGTTGCAGTGCCCAGTATGCAGCCCCAGGTGTTCCTGTCCACCAGTCTTATTGTTATATGTCCATTCACCTCCTGCCTTGGGCTCACATGTCTCTGTTCACTTGTCAGGGCTCTGGAAGCTTTCGTGTCTATTCAACTAGAAAAGGTGGGGCTGCGGGACATTATGCTGAACGCCTTCCTCCTCAGGAAACAAGCCATGGCTGCCAGAATGAAGAACCTCGTGAGTGTAGTAAGAAGGGCTCCCTAAAGATCTCATCATCTTTTACATTTGAACAAATAAAAATTTTTAATTTGGAACCTGTTGCTTTCAGCCTATTTGGTTAGAACTATTGAAAATATAAAGAAATGAAAAAGAGAGTTCAGTAAGAAATAGAAAGGAAGGAATTCAAGCTAATTGCAGTCTAGTTTTTAAAATATGTGCGTTTTTCCAAGGGCACATTTTGTTTTGTCACTTTCTAAGCAGACCTAGTTTCAGCACCTACTCTGGAACATTTGACAACTCCTGAGTGACCCACAGGTGCTTAGGGGGTTTAGACAAGGTACACAAGGGCTCTTGCCATCAAATTCACCTGTTATCTTGGTTTTTCAGACACTACCACCATGTTTCTATTAAACAGTTTTATACTAACCTAATCTTTTGAGAAGTATTATGAAATTCAAACCTTTGTCAATTAAAAGTGTTGCTTAATTTTATGGATATTATTTCATTATTCATTAATTTTTTGATGAAGAAGTCCTTAGGCTTCATTCATGAATGAAGTCCAAGTCTTCATTCATTTGGGAATGAAATGACAAGGTTCACAATCTCTAGGCTTTGTCCATACCTGTGACTGAAAAGGAAGGACTTCAATTTACCTAATCAAGTTCTACAAATTGGATATGATGGAGGCTAGACCTTCTAGATTACTGCTGAGCAATAATGGGGGCAAAGGACTCCTTTTGATAAGTAATTAAATAAATTACTTTTTTAACTAAAATATTCAAAAATATTGACCAAGTGAAAAGTATATTAGCTCATTAACTGCCCTTCAGGAATATCCAATGCCTATCAGATTAGAAAGGGTTCAGACAATATAATTGTCAATTTTGTCAAGGTCTGGGATTTTAGCCTACTTATAAGCTAATAAGTTAGCCTGTTACTGTTCTGAGGATGCTGGCAGAGGACACAAGACTCCTAGGTCAGAGACAAAGAACTTTGTTACTCACAGCAGAGCCAGCCTCATGAGCCTCATGTTTGCGCCATTTCCTTTTGCCTCCGAGGTTCCACGGGGGCAACATGGAGGAGCCGAGGTACACGCAGTTTTGTGTCACGGTTGAGTAACATTGAGCTTGGGAATCCACCTGCTTTTTTTTCTAGAGAGAGATGTTACCTCATCCCTCCAGACTGCTCTCTGCAAACATAACCCTGAGAAATGGTTCAGGTAAAGAGTGGTAAGGGCCTTGAATTCTTGGCATACTCACAAGATGTGCTGGAGTAGGAAAGACCCACAGCAGAATATCTCCCAGTAGGTTGACCTTCAGAAAGAATATCTCAGCTGTGTGGCCTTCTCCTGCTTTAACTTAGCTATAAGTTTGTACAGATGTATTAGCTTGGGGAATTCTTATAGCCAACTGTCTAATAGGAAAACTGTCATTCTCTTTTATCACAGGATGAAATTGGGAAAGTCAAGAGAGATGTTATAGCTGAATATTGCCAGAAGTAAGTATAGTATATGTGAACTACACATGCTGATTTATGACTCTGAACTCAATAAACAACAGTATTATACAGAAATCCATACAATTAATCAGCTGGTTTGTGTTTAAATAAGCCACAGTCCTACTGGATAAAAGCAAATTAAACTGCCTTCTGACACACGGAGGAAGCAGTATCAGAAGTGACGGCTAAGAGGCACTTGGAAGAGATCCATGTCTCTGCCTTCAGACAACAGCAACCTAACCAAGACAGAAGTTTCTTCTTGACAGAGGTCCTCTATTCTCTTTGAAAAGTCTCCAGGGACTTATATCCTGGAACTTCCGTGAGAGATGGAACAACTTGGATTCACCTCTGTACATCATCTCTTCTTCTGACTTTTTAGATTCAACCGCCACATGTCTCACTATGCTCTTCGGGGGCAGATCATGGCATACTGCAACAGCCTGAGAGCCCTGCTGGACGATTTCCCTACCATCAGAGATACCTTTTTCGTGGTGGGACAACCACAAGAAAAGAAGGGGTCGAGGGACTCCAAGGAGGGCCTCAAGCCTGACCCCAGGTGCAGAATTCTCTTTAGAGCTTGTTATTCCCCCTCTCCATCCCACTTCTCCTAGGGGAGAGGTTTGTTAAGTTTGGTATGGAAATCTTGCTCCCTTTAACGTATTTAACCTTGATCTTCCGGTCCAGAAGGGGAAAAGAAAGAGCTAACACTCCAAGAATAAGTGTATCTTTGTATTTGAATGCAAAAGGAGTTCTTTGTTTATGGGCTGTTTGACTGCTTTTTCAATCTATGAAGTTTCGTTTACCCCTGGAGTACCCAGAGATTTTCATCAGTCACACCCTTTTACATAGGCCAGCATCTAAAGTAAGCAAACAAATAAGTAAACCTAATCTTGAACTGTTTCTGGCTTCAAATATTTTACTCAGTGGGGTAGAAGAAATATTCAGGAAAAAACAAAACAAAACAGTGATACTCCAGTGCTTTGGATAAATCAGTGTCCTTCCGTACTTCACTGATAGAGAAAAATATATATATGTAGAATGATATTAAGTGATAAGAGTGGAGCTGCTTCCATGCCTTCTTATCATGCCTTATCTAGTTTTCCAGATGTTCGTAATTCAGCCTACCTAGAGTTCACTCACTTGGATGAAGGAGTTGGCATACCTGTGCTGTAAGTGACCAAATCTCCTTTGAGGAAAAAAAAAGGGGGTATTACACAGTTACACAGCCTCCAAGAGGGAGCAAAAACACCCTATAGGGTGAGCTGCCTTCCCTCCTTACTCTTTCCCTTTTGGCATGGGCACAGAGTTTAGTTCTGAGTAAGAGTAATAATAAATATGATCACAGAACAGAAAGATGGAAGGGAATTGAAAGACCATTTGTATCAGACCACTCTTTCACTCACTTATCATTCATGGATTATTCATCCATTATTTGTTCAGTGCTTAGTTAGTACCAAGTACTTTGTTATGTATACTGGAGTTACAAAGGTGAATGAGTCATTTTGACTCTGGCAATAAATTCAGTCTAGTGGAGGAAATCTCTATAAACAAACAAGTCACTTCAAAGATTTCAAAGATAACATGTTAGAGTTATGTGAAAGTCCCGTGAGGACACAAAAGAGGAAGTGTTGAACTCTAGCCCAGGGCCTCAGGGAGAAAGTCAAAGAAGAGGTGACAAGTAAGTTGGAGTTCACCAAGGAAAAGGTGATGGTAGAACAGACTAGAGAATGCTAGAGAATCAAAGAAGTTGAGTCTCTGCCCTTGACTGACTGATAGCTGACTATCAAAATAGTGGCCAATCTGACCTTGATACTTATAAGATGACCAGTTTGTGGATTACCAGTGTTTTGTCTCATGAGTCCAGCCAGTACATTCACTTGGGTAGAATTCAGGATTTACCTAATGGAAGAATGCATTAGAGAGAGAAGCAGGGCAAAAAATACCTCAGGAGACTGATAATTTTGCTGAAAGTTTGACTGGACATCTATTGCCCAGTGAGGCTGAAGTGCATCTTTCTTTCATATAAAAACATCACAGGATAATCCTCTAAGACTTCTTAGTTCCATTTTCTCATCCACCCAATAGCCATGTCAACCATTTATAAACCCAATCTACATTTGGATCAAATTTTAAAAATAGTTTACAGAACTCTAACCGTGAGTTCACTACATTCTTATTTAGGATAAATGGATTAAGGAAGTCTATTTTGGTTTCTAATCTGTTTTATTTGCAGCCACCAAATAAGGAGGTCAGGATGTAGAGAGGGAAAAAAAAATCTCTCCAACTTGCAGGTTTTGCTCTATTCCGTTATTGGGTTTTTTTTTTTTTTTTGTAGATGATGTGTGTTACCTAAAGATTAAGGGAAACAGTCATTTAAATGGGAGAGGCTAGAGCCCTAAATCGTCTGGTCAGTTAATGTGTGATCATTTCAGGACAGGGCTTTGGTCTAGGAAAGTGTGAGCAAAGGGAGTGCCCACCCAGAGCCCAAGTCATATAGTCAGGCAGTGGATGAACAGCAACTGACTGATACAGATTCAGCAATTCTCCACTACACCCATCTCCTGCTTCCTAAAACCTCTAGGTTTTAACATGTCCCTTTTGATACACTCACATGAAATGGAGCATGGAGAAAGGAAGTTCTGTCTTCTGTGGAAGTTTGGAAAAGGTACTGTATATAATTCTAACGCTAACCCTAACCCTAACTCCAAAGTCTATGATTCCATGCATTGAGTATTAATAAGAAATGAACCTCAGCCACAAGAAGGTATAATAGGGAGAGCCATGGCCCAAGAATTAGAATGTTGGACTTTACCCGGCATATTCATAAGTTGTTCTGAGGTCTCGGGCAAATCACTTTTCTTCAATCTCTGGACTTCAACTTTCCATCAAATAAGTGAGGAGATTGTAGCAGCTCTCTGAAGTTAAACATGCTAAGTTTCTTAGTGCTAAATTGTCTAGAGCTTTATTCCAAGGAATAGGACTGCTCAGGAAAGACTTGCTGGGAAGGGAGCCATCTAAGAATGTTCATGAAATGATCAGTGGGAATCATCCCAGGTCAAGATTAACTAGAGATAAAGGGACAGAGTTGAGGAATGAGGGTCATGGAGAACAGAGGTCCTCACCTTATTCCTAAAATAAGGAGTTGTGTTAGATCAAGGATAAGAAATGTTTTATTTTAAATGTCAATTCTGTGTCCTGCTGTATTAGTGTCCTGCTGAGGATTCTAAGACATCCCAAACTTGTGATATTGTTGTGATTGATTGGCAATGTCATACCATGGTCAAGGAAAGGGAGAAAGGAGGCCTCCCTGCTTGTGTTTGCCATCCCCTTGACTAGAAGAGCCCCGTAAATTCTGTAGGTCTAAAATCCTAAGATGCTACTCAATCCTTAAAGGCTGTAACATACTGTTTAGTTTTAGCAGAGACACCTGCCCCTAAACCAGAACCTAAATAGAAGAGGAGCCAAGGGAAGCTCTCCTCCAAAGAATGATGCCCCTTGAGGGTTCTATGTCCTTCATGGCTCTAGAGGAGACTGGAGTCTGGAGACTGGGATGACACTTGGCCACACTCCCAGGAGCCATGGCACTGGCTGATAGAGGAGCGAAGCAGGGACAGAAAGAGAGGACACTAACATTCAAGCCCCTACTGTGTGACAGCCAGATCCACCACTATGCCACACTGCTGCTTTATGAGGATTAGAAGAAAGCACGGTTTCCCCCGGGCAGGGGTAGCCCCATGCCAGGGTGCAGAGCTTGGCAAGTAAAGTATAGGCTGGATCTCAGCCACTGCTGGTTGCCTCAGGGCACAATCTGAACAACAGTACATGGTAGCCTTGGTGCCAAGCACTGTATAGCAATGAATTAGACATGGTTCTTTCCCTTCAGGCAAGGGGAAATAGGCAATTACAGTAAGTTGTGATAAAGAATAAGATTAAAGTATAATGAAAGCACTCACCAGGAAATATTCAGTATTATCTGAAGGAGCAGGGAGGTGGGGATGAGGAGCTAGGTGGGCTTCAGAGAAGAGGGGACACTTAACCTGGGTCTTGAAGGATGACTAGTGTTTCAGGTGCACAAGGAAGAGAAATTCAGTTCATGCTGGGAGACCTGCATGTGTAATGGCAAAGAGATATGAGACAGCATGTGGACCTCCCAGTGGCTCCTGTCCAAGGTATGTGAGGATGAGTTGGGGAAGCAGAATGTACAGCACGAAGGGCAACCATCCAGAAGTCTGCCATTTGTGCTTCAACAAACAGGGAGAAGGGGGCAAGATGATTGTCAGCGACCATTTAGGAACCTACTAAAACTGTACAGACAGGAGATGTTTAGGAAGTGAAATCAGCTAGGCCAGGTGCTAGATTTAATGCAGAACTGAGTGAAGAGAAGGAAGAGGAATCTAGGATGTCACCCAGAGTCTCTGGCTTGGGTGAATAAAAAGATGGCAGTGTTGCTGTTGTTTATTGGGTACAGAGTTTCAGTTTTGGAATATGGAAAAAAATTTTTCTGGACATAAATGGTGGTGATGGTTGCACTGCAGTGTTAATATACTTCATGCCACTGAAATGAGCACTTAAAAACAGTTAAAATGGTAAATTTTATGTTATATATGTTTTATCACATTTTATAATGGAGGAAAAAAAGAATGGTAGTGCCATTAAGAGGAGAGATATGGAGGGGGAGATAATGAATCACAGCTCAGAAGCCCCTGTTGTGAATTTCTTCCCTTGGTCTCCCAGCAAGTCTCAGATGCTTCTTATTCTGGATGTTTTCCACTTTCACATACTTCCATTCCTTCATGCTTCTATCATAGCATCATGCTCGCAGGTCTAGCTGCCTCTGGAATGTAAGATCCTTGAGGGCAGAGATTGTCTTCACTTCATATCCTGTGTGTGTGCCTGTGCCTTTGACCTTGGTTTGAAAGGGAGGATGGGGAGGGGAGAGTGAGCCCACAGGAAGTGGGGGCAGTTCCAGCCCCTTTAATTCAATTATGAAATAACAGACCATGTCATCATCTGCTGCTAGGAATTTGGTATGAGGCTTAAGGAAGACTTGGAGTTGTTAAAAAAGGAAATGGACATGAGAGCTGATCAAAGGAAAGAAAACCAATTTTCCCTGGCATGACACAGCTCAGGCTGGAAACCATTTTTTTGTTGCTGCATCAATGCAATTAGCGGTGTGAGTTCCTCTAGCTGTGCTCAGCAGCATGCAACTAGAAGCAGAAAGCAGACTAGCTAGAGGGATCCAGAGCTGGGGCTTTGCTAGATAAGTGGGTCACAAGTACAAAAAGGCAGAGAACCGAAGGTGCTGGTGGGAGAGTAGTTCGTGTGCTTGGCTGTGAGACCCAGTGTGGATAGGGAAGGGAGTAGTGGGGGTCAGAATGGAACTGACAGATGGAAGGGGAGGCCAGAGGGCTGGATGACGTCAAGGAGCATATTTTGTGGGGATGAAGGAGGTTTAGTGGGAGTGAATGAGTGAGAAAACTGGAAGAATAAAAGGTTGAGCTGGAAAGTAGGATATTTGAGTTTAAGTCTTTAGAGGTGATATGGTTCCCGGTGATGATAAGGTCTGGAGTGTGGCCCTGGAGTGGGCAGTGAAGGAGAATGGAGGTGAAGGGGGTGATGTCGAGCAGGTCAAGGAATTGTCAGACCACTGAGTTGGTGGGCCATCACAAGCGGGGAAGATTCCTCCTTGAAGGGCTGAGAACCAGGCTTTGCTCCTGCACTGAGCACCGAAAGCTTTCTGCTGCCCTCTCTGTCCCCCTTCAGTAGAGGGCTACCTGCTGCAGGCAGGGGTAGAAATGGCAGGAAATAATGGATGAGAAGGAAAGGATAACATTTGGTAGAGGGCCCTGTGGCTCCAGGAACACATGTGCTTCTCAGAGGCCAAGACTGAGTTCAGCCACCCTGCTGCACGCCCCATGGCCCACAGACCTGTGTGTGCTCGGACACGGGCCTTATGACTTTTTATTGTTGATAGTCAGTGTTTCCTTGGGGCACCTTCAAACAAATAATAGAGATAAGACGAGCTTAAGCTGGTTTTGACCTACTCCAGGACAGGATAGTCTGACTTTGTGGTTGCTGAAATAAGAGAAGTTCTCCAAACTAACACCACCATACTTTGTTCCTGAGCTTCAAATTACCTGATTAAAACCCTGAGACTTGAGACTACTCCAAGTAGAGTTTTAGTAATTTAAAAAGTTTCGTATTCAGAATGTTTGATATCGAAAACATTCAGCCCTCAGTTAAAATGAATTACATTTTACTTTAAGAAATGGAAAGGGTCATCTGAGTGTCTCCTAAGGACCCAGAAATAATGACAATCAAAAAATGCCCCTATGATTTCCAAAAGGCTCCCTAGAAGGTGAGACCCTCCCATTGAGAGTCCTTGCTATAGACAATGGAGTGGGAATGGAAACTGGGTACAAGAGAGCAATGGGATCAATAGGACCTGAGGGATAAAGAAGGAAGCATCTAAAAATGACTCCCTGGTTTCTGGTTTTGAGGACTTGGGGGTTGTGTTTCTTTTAACACAGGAGGAAGCCTGGGATCGGGGTGCGGGTAGGGGTAAGGAGTTCAGTTCTTGCCTTTTTTGACCGAGGTGCCCTGAGGCACTGCCAGCCAAGGTGGAGCAAGTTGGGACTCTGGAGCTGTGGAAGGGCTTCAGAGGAGCTGGAGACATTCTGTTTCCCAGGCCAGGTAGTGGGTACCTGGGCTTGTGTGAATCCTTACACGAGACATATATGAATTATGTATTTGTATGTAAACCAGTAACGAAGAGATAGCAGTACTACTGCCTAAGAAATGATCAAGTATTTGAAGGAAGAAGAAAGGAGAAAGAAGGGAAAGTGGGCCAGAGTCTAGAGAACCTGGCAGGAAATGTGGTGGGGAGAGAAGGAAAATAGAGGCTGGTCTGCAGAGCCTGGATTCTAGAACTAGACGGACCTGCGCTTAAATCTCAACTTCATCTCTTAGGAGCTGGATAGGAGAGATCTACGTAGCCTGGTAGGGCCTCAGTTTTCTCATCTGTGAAACAGGAACGACATAGGAACATCCCAAGGTTGTCGTAAGAATTAAGTGAGAAAATGTCACCCGAGGTATGGTGCTGGCACTTAATTTATGCCCTCCGCTTCCTTTCTTATTACACCTTTCCCTCCCCCTGTGCCCACTCCTTCCTCCCAATAACAGCTGAAGCTAAAACCAGCCCAACTGCTCTTCTCCTGTTGAGTTATTTATAACTGTGGCCACTTGTGAGCAGCCTGAAAAGGAGGGCTGCTGCCCTTGGGCTTAGACGCTGGGTGTGTGTGTCACCACAACGTGGGCTCTGGGCTGTGGCTGGAGGGCGGTGGTATAAGTTCATGCCAGACGCCCCTTTTAGAAAGAGAAATGCTGTACTCCCGGAGTTTTCTTCTCATGCCACAGGAGTTTTCAGCCCTGGCCGCGATGTTTGCTGCCTGCTGATGGGAAAGTCTTCCTCAATTTATGGTTCATACCCCATCCTTCTGAAGTGCTGATTATGTTCAAAACTCTGCCTGAAAAGGTTTGTATTTTTTTATGTGTGCCAGAATGGAAATTGGCTTTTTTATGTCCCACAGTTAAACATATCAATTTCAGAGAATATCTTTTGTTCTTTTTTTTTTTTTCAGGAACACCTAATAACTGAAATCTCACAGCTCCTCATGTTTTTGCCTGCTTTATTATATTTTCCCTTGTGCCTCATTATTTCATAGTTCTGTTTCTCCATGGTCATTACTGAACACTAATTGGAGCTTCCGACATTCCTTATTAATCCTTAATTTCCTCCACAACGCCAAGAAAATCCCACCCTGATGCGCTGAAACTAAGGAGAGGTTGAGATCGCGCTTAATCACAGTCATTAGCTGGTTCCTGTTTTTTGAGGGGTTCCTCTAAGTACCTCATTTACTGATGGAGGGTGACCATTAAAAAAGAGTAGATATAGAAATACATAAAGCATTCAAGTATTAGTTAAATAAAATGCAATGTTGAAAATGGCAATTTGGGAACATTCTGATTTTTCTTTGTAAGTGAAAACCTGTTTAGCAATTTAGGTTTCTTACCCTTTCTTTCTTCCCGCCAGGTTTATTGAGGTGTAATTAACAAATAAAATTGTATATATTTAAAGTGTACAGCATGATGATTTGATATACATATACATTGTGAAATGATTACCACAGTTAAGCTAATTAATACATTTATCACCTCACATAGTTACCTTTTTTTTGGAGGTGAGAATGCTTGTCTAACTCTCTTAACAAATTTCAAGTATAAAATACAGTGTTATTAACTATAGTCACCATGCTGTACATTAGATCCTCAGAACTTATTTATCTTATAAATAAAGTTTGTACCTTTTGACCAACATCAGCCCATCTCCCCCATCCCCTGGCAACCAACCACCTTTCTATAAGTTTGACCTTTTCATTTTGATTAGATTCCACATATGAATGAGATCATACAGTGTATGTCTTTCTCTGTCTGGCTTATTTCACTTAGCATAATGTCATCCAAGTTTACCCATGTTGTTGTAAATGGCAAAGTTTTCTTCTTTTTTATGTCTAAATAATATTCCTGTGTGTTTGCATGCGTGTGTGTGACGTTTTCTTTATCCATCTACTGGACACTTAGGTTGTTTCCATATCTTGGCTATTGTGAGTAATGCTACATGGAAGTATGAATAATCTCCTTGATACACTGATTTTATCTCCTTTGGATATATACTCAGAAGTGGGATTGCTGGATCATATGGTAATTTTACATGCAACAGAATGAAACTGAATCCCTATCTTACACCAATCACAAAAATTAACTTCAGGTGGATTAAATACTTATCTGTAAGACTGGAAACCATAAAATCAGAGAGGAAAACAGGGAAAAAGCTCTTTGACACCAGTCTTGGCAATGATTTTTTGGATACAACAACAAAAGCACAGGCAACAAAAGCAAAAATGAACAAGTGGGATAACATCAAACTAAAAGGTCTCTGCTAGTAAAGAAAAAACTCAACAAAAGGAGAAGGCAACCTACATAATGCAAGAAAATATTTGCAAACTATATATCTGATAAGGGGATAATACCTAAAATATGTAAGGAACTCATATAACTCAATAGCAAAAGCAAAAACAAAACAAAGAAAAAAATTTTAAACCAATAATCCGATTTTAAAATGGTCAAAGGACCTGAACAGACATTTTTCCAAAGGACATACCAATGACCAATACATAAATGAACAGGTGCTCAGTATCACTAATCATCGGGGAAATGCAAATCAAAACCATGATGAGATACCACCTCACACCTGTTAGGATGGCTATTATTAAAAAAAAGACGAGAAAACAAGTCTTGGTGAGGGTGTGGAGAAAAGGGGACACTTGTGCACCTTTGGTAGGAATGTCAATTGGTGCAGCCACTATGGAAAACAGTATGGAGATTCCTCAAAAAATTAGAAATAGAACTACCCTTTATTTCATTCATTCACGGAAGAATTTTTAGGGTTTTTAAAAATATATAAAACTACTTCCTTCTGCAGTTAAATCATAATTTTTCTCTTTTCCTTCACTGAATGTTGATATTTATGATCCATTGTTTGTTTTTCAATCATGTGTTTAAACTGTGTTGATAAGTAGTTATGTTTTGCTTACAGGTATTCCCTCAGGGCAATGTTGTCTGAATATGAGTCCCCGCTAGGAATTTATTTGTGACCCTTGTAATTCATTGATAGTTAGTCATACAAACACATTTTGATGTGTTTTTGGCCTCCAATGGCTTTAAACAAAGAGAAACACTTTGCTTTAATTCCCCAGCCGGAGTTACCTTGTCCAAAGACATATATAACCTGAGTTCATGAAAAGGCTTGTTCTTTTTTTCAGATATTATCCTGTAACTATTATCCTGTATTATACTGTGAAAATGTTTATCTAAATATTCTTGTTTAAATATATTATTCCTAATCGATGCTCATATATTTTTATATCCCTTTAGAAGCTTCTTGAAAATTATTTCCTTGTATTGATTTTACCCACAGGTAGCTTTTAGAGCCTTAAAGCTAACTCTACAGCTGATAGCCCGTCTCCATGACATTGTGGCCTACCTCTTCAGTTTGGCTAAACTTGGAAATCGTCCAAATTTTGAATTTCCTCTAAGTCCTAACCCTCTGAGAGACGACTGGGGAGGAACTAAGGGTATTGGTAAGTGATTAAAGGTGATTAAAATTGCCTTCAATATTCAGTTGAAATTCCATGAAGCTCTTTTTTTTTCAGCTTTATTGAGGCCTAATTGAAGGATAAAATTGTCATATATTTGAAGTGAACAACTTTATATTTGATATACATATACATTGTGAAAGGATTTCCCCCATCTAGTTAATTACTATGAAGCTCTTAAGACCTGGAAAGACAGGACTAAAATATTTCCTCATAAATGACAGAAGGGCAAAGGGAAAGTCCCATTATATACTGCCTCCAAACGGATTGATTCCACATTTACAGGTTAAACCATGAAGTACACCAAGTCAGAATTTGGGGGGCCTGGGTTTTTACCCTGCCTCTGTCACTTGGTTTACTAAAAGCTGTGCACTTTACTCCCTGGCTCTATGTTTGTCATCTGTAAAACAGGGGTGACAACACCTGTCTCAGGGAGATGTTCTGTGGATTAAAATCTGTAAAAATTCTAGAAGGATGTACAAGTCCCCATTAAATATTAGCTTTGCTTTCATTCCCTTTCCCCTTCTGGGCTTCGTGAACTAATGTGGCAAGGTCGAGGCCAAGCATTCACTGTCAAGAAGCTTGCAGACAGCCCTCAGTTAGCTAACAATGACCCGGTAGTCCTGTTAGTAAGAATAGTTGAGGCTTTTGTTTTATCTGCCCAGTGCTAATCCGTGAACTCTCACTCAGCACAAGTTCTCAGATAAATGCATGAGGTAAATTAAAGACACTGAAATGCTTAGTAAGCTGGGTTTATCAGAAGCAGTGAAACTGGTCTTACTATTTAAATAATTTGACTCCCATCCTAATTATGTCATTAGTCATGTAAATATTAATCAGTTAACAGCAGTATATTATAACATAGTAGACAAGGATTTTAAAGTGTGAGAAGAGCCAAAGAAATGAGGTAACATGCCTATCTAAACTTAGTGGTCTTAAAACAAACATGATATAATCTGAATCTATTCCTCTCTGGGCGGTGCATCAAGGAAATGTTTGTGGGAGATTCTGACTTGTTCCACGAGGAAGATTGATCCTATATCTGAGGAGAGGCAGCATGATGAAGGGAAGGGGTTGGTGCTACCTCAGCAGAAAGCACAGAATTGTTGCAGGCCTACTAGCAAGTCTTCAATATAAGCATCAAGAGATTACAGAAGTTCCAAAGCACTATTAGCTCCTTTCCTTTTGCTAATCTGGGGACTGTCGTAAGGGGTTAACTCAGAAAATAAACTAAGATGCTCTGCAGTGGAGCTGGATGTTGGGAGGGTGTGGGGCTGGACTGTAGATGAGGGACAGGAGAAAGGAGGATGGGCAAGGAAGAATGCTATCCCTACCCTTGAGAAGATGAGATAGAAGCCAAGGTAGGGCCAGAGCCATGTTTCCAAAAGAAGTCACTGCATAGGAAGTTCTGTAGCAACTGGGAGGGAAGAGCCCGCAGGGAGGGTGATCTGGGGGGACTTGTCTTCACTTGAATCAATGGAGAAAAATAGGAGGGCTTGTCCTAAAGGGGGACAAGAAAAGGATACTGGCAAAGATAACAGGCAGGACTACACATGGCCAGTCCAGAGAGAATGATGAACCCACCAGTGCAACACTGAGGGATAGTGGTAAATGAGGCCAAATTGTTGAGGACCTAGAATTGGGGATGAAGGAAATTGGTTTTTTACTACTTAAGTGTTTATGAACCGGAAACCATTGAAATAATTGGGGCCCAGGCTTTCCAAGGTGTACAACTAGAGAGACACACCTTGTCATGTTGCCAGTAAAAACATTTGTGCTCCAGGGAGAATGTGCAAAGTTTTACATACTCTGCTTCGCTGAAAATAGATAAAGAGCAAACTGAACTAAAAAAAATTCCATTCTAAGATAATCATCTTTTTTAAAAGGCTAGGCTGCTCAGTTCCTGGCCTGCTTCCCAGAGGAGACAAGGAAAACTAAGGTGAAAAGAGGAGACGGGTCTGTTCATAGACCCACCCAACTCCTTTTAGCCATTTCAGAGCTGTTTGGAGTTAAAGTGACTTTTGAAGACTTATGTGCTTTAAAATATCTTTTAAAGAGACACTTTGAATTTCAGCTGTGGTCCTCCCACTTGACTGAGGAAGCAGCTCTGAGATACTGTGGGCTAGTTCTGTGGACCCTGCCAAATTTTCTCCTTCCCTGAAAGCCAGCAACTCCCTTTGGAGTCAGTGTGAAGCGGAGGGTGGAATCAGAATGTAGGAGTTTACATTATGATTTTCTTGTAAAGGATTAGGAGGCCAATTAAACCCAGATACTACACACTGAACTCAGGGTTTCATGAACAAAATGTACTGGCTTTGAGTATTCACATGGAAGCAGGGCCACTGTGATTCTGCTCTCTCTGTCTGATTTCCCAAAGGGAACCCTCCTGGGGAAAGGCACAAGAAGAGGCTCATTTGTTTCCCGGCGGAGGGTCTCCTCCCACCACCCCCATGACCACACGGCAACCATCTGCCGCCTCCTCACAGACAGGCTGCCTTCCCTGCCTGTGCCTGCCATCTCTGCTCCCACTGAGCTGTGTAAGCCCACAAGAAAGGGAGACCCAAATGAGGACTGCTACCAGTGCGTAACAAAGAAAAGGTAGGCCCTCCTCCACACCTGTACTTTAATGATAATGCCACCACTTTAAGTGCAACATTCTTAAAGTTCTTGTACAATTTGATCTGTGACTCCTCTTCTGGTGGAAGTTTCTTTTCAGCCCAATATGACCATCAGATTTATAGAGGATTCATAAAAACTCTAATGATTGGCCCCAATTCTTTTGTGGCTGGGAAAATACCCAAAAAACATTTTTCTGTGGTGTGTAAAACATCAAATGGATATGAAATCTGGACTGCTCATCTTTTCCTAAAGCCAAGAGCATATATTGCAAGTACATATTAGCAACCATTCTCAGACCTGGCTCTGCCCTGATCAGGCTCTCAGGGACAGCCTCCCTGCTCCCTCAGTTCCCCTGCCTTCCATGCCAGAAATGTAGGAAGAGATCCAGTACCGGGCCAGATAGGGTACAAGGCTGCTCAGGTCTGGATGAGAGGTTGACATAGAGTAACTCCGGAAATGCTTCGTGGATCTCCCATCTCACTTCTGCCATGGGCTACAATCAGGGATGGTGACCAATTTCCCAATCCTTCTCTTCCCATAGCAGGGATGTCCTCTCAAGTAGAAAACTATCACTGTGCCCACAGGGAGCTGATGAGCATTTCAGATCAGCTGACATTCTGGTAGCCCTGGAAATGGGGCCCACCCACCTGCCCCATCAGTGCTCCCTAAGGGCTTGTCATTTTCTTGCTGTGCTCTCCCATTCTAAGCAGCTCATTACCTGAGCCAATAATAGAGATGCTAGTACAGCCATCTAGACCCAGGCCAGGTTCCTCCAACCAGTATTGAGTGCCCCAAAAGGCCTCTAACTTAAATTTCCATCCAAAACACATATAAATCTTTTGCAGTAAGGGGCCAAGAAATAAGCCAATTTAGGATCTCCCACATCTACTCCTGAAATGATGAGAATCTCCTAGAAGGATCTATGTATGTGTCTGTATACATGTATACATATATGTATACATATTTTTGCTTGCCTTGGATGGTCCTGAGTCTTCTTTAATCTATGAGCCATTGACAGGGCTGATTTGAATGGCATGGCTATGAGAAATGAGTGCTGGTTTATAGTAATTTCAAGCCCCTAATAGACTTACTGAGGCCTATACTTTCCCATTGCTTGTAATTTCTCTTTTTCAATCTATTTAGAGTCTGTAGCCTTATAAACACTGAAACTTTCTTTCAACAGTATGTTCTTATTCTGCTGAAAAGCAAAGCAAGTTATTACATTCCTGAGGGAGGAAGGAAGGAAGGAAAGATAAATCAGACCTTGGGTTCTAGAACATAAGGCTTTGCTGATCTTGCAAAACATATAATTAGTATACTCACAAACAAAGAGAAGTCAATTTAGGTAAAAAGTTAGCTTTGGAGGTGAAATGGTTCACAGGGTAGCTAGGGTAGCCTGTGTTTCACAGTGAGTAAAATGTCGTCCATCTTCTAGGGTCTGAGCTTCAAGAGCTGCAGAAAATGATTGACAGCCTCCAGAGACCCCAAGACCCCACTGTGGTGTCCCAGGTCCTCCTCCTTCAAAGGGAGGTTATGTTTCTGCAGTTTGATGCTGCAGTGAGGTACCTCATCCGGTAAGGGCTGGAGTGCTAATCCTGTCCAATAAATTCTGTGGGGCAGGTGTTTCTGAGTGATCATGGAGGGAGGCCACTCTTGGCACTATTAGATAATGAGCTTTAAATAGTCGGGGGCACAACCTGATCCAGAACACTGCCACTACCAAACACGTTCGGCTGCGGAGGCTGTCCAGGTGAACTGTGTTTTTGTTGGATAATATTCTTGATTTTATTAAATGTGATTTCAATATAGTTAGTTTGCATAACAGGCTGTTTTATTGGGAATCACATTTTTTATACTTCTGAAGATGATTTTTCCTAAGAGTTTTATTTTTTCAGCCCTTAATTACCTTTCAAAAACACAGAATTTTTCACTGCACATCTGAAACCAATGGAAATCACCACCTGAGTTAAATTTATAAATAAGTTAATTTACCTCTGGCCTTGTAGGTATTAAATACTCTGCATTCAAAAAGAATGTTTATTTGGTTAATTAATCATGACTGATGAAAAAATTAGCTTGGATTGAGAGTCACAATGTTTCCGGTATAAATAATAAGCTGTGTATGGGAAGGGAAGAGGTCAGGCCTGAGGGTCTCTGCTTATTCTTAAATTGTCAAAATTAATTAACTTCATTTGATAAATTCCCAGTGTGAGTATTTAGTCAATGAGGGGGACCTGGGAGGGCAGTGCTTTTATCTGTGGATTATAATCACTTCCCACCATTAGCATGAGTGTCCATAGAGAATAGAAATGTGGGGCTTGTACTGAACCATATTTTCTCTTTCTGCTCTGCTTTTTCTTACTCTGAGCATCATGGGACTCTGCATTTAGAATGCAAATTCAGCAGGACAAAAAATCAGGCTAATTTGTTTTCTTTTGATTGACAAACAGCTTTGGGAGCTGTAGCTTTGTCAAGCACGTAGGATATAAAGGTTTTGACTAATTGTCATGATGGCCATTCATTAGCCCTCTGGGCTCTGAAATCTCAAGTCCGAATTTGCAAGGAATTTACATAGGATGAAGAAATAGGACTATACCCCAGAAGTTCTTGGATTCCAGCTCCATGTAGTTCAGCTTGCTCCTGTTCTCCCAGGGGAGCCACTCTGCTTCCCCCAGGAACTGCTTTATGGGGCTTTCTCTGCCCTGGTGCTCTCAGTCTGCAGGAATGGAGGGCACTGTGTCCTATGACTGGTTTCAGTATATTTTTCAGAGGACCTCAGAAGGAACCAGGAGTCCTTCATTCATAGCATTTCCTCCAGCCTTTTTTCTTCAGAGGTCTTTGGGGTGTGTCTGTGTTTGGAATCACACAGCCAGTGAGTAGCAGACCAGAATTAGAACCTATGTGCATTTGACCCCAAAGCCTGAGAGCTAGGATCGATGCCAGACAGCAGCAGGATTGATGGAAAGGGAGACTCCAAAGAGAAGGCAAGAGGCAGGAGGAAAGGAGAAGCTGAAAGATAAATGTCTTTCCGCTTGAGGATTTTACTTAGTGCTGAACCTGCAAGCAAGGAGAAGTCCTTAGATAACCAAAAGAGACAGGAAGCTTGGAGAAGTTCCCTCGCCCTTCCCAGAGCTCACCAACTGAGTAAATATGACTGTTTACCCCAGGGAACTTTTTGCTTATGTAAACTGAAGACTTCTCCTGAGTTTGAAAAGAAGGAACTGTTACCTGGAATGAGAACAGCATACTTCCATAGACCAGGGGAGGAGAAGAAGCAGGTAGCTCAAGGACAACAGGACAGTGGCCCCGTAGAGTCCCCTCATATCTGGCCTCTGCTTCTCTGTGGCATAGACCAGCTCAGATTGCAAGAAAGTTTAATGTTTCTAGGCACAAAAGTTTCACTCTGCTCCTGTCGACCTGTCCTCTGCCAAGGACCTGATAGAAATTGGTGCTGTCCTCTGATGGCATCAGAATCACATTGCCCAGGGCCTGTCATTCACCTCTGGGCATGTCCACTAACCTATAAGAGTTATTTATTAGCCAGAGCAAGAAATGCCTGAGGATTGAGTTTATCTTTAATTTCAGGTGAATTAATCATTTGCGCCAAAGGTAAATGCTTCAGTAGTACAATTGGTTCTAGTCAATCTCATCTGTTTAAGTTAGAGATCAGCAAACTACTGCCATAGGCCCCTGCCTGATTTTGTAAGGCCTGTGGGCTAAGGATGTTTGGTTTTTTTTTTCTTTTTTTAATTAATTTATTTTATTTTTGCTGTATTGGGTCTTCGTTTCTGTGCGATGGCTTTCTCTAGTTGTGGCAAGCGGGGGCCACTCTTCATCGCGGTGCGCGGGCCTCTCACTATCGCGGCCTCTCTTGTTGCGGAGCACAGCCTCCAGACGTGCAGGCTCAGTAGTTGTGGCTCACGGGCCTAGTTGCTCCGCGGCATGTGGGATCCTCCCAGACCAGGCCTCGAACCCGTGTCCCCTGCATTAGCAGGCAGACTCTCAACCACTGCGCCACCAGGGAAGCCCTAAGGATGGTTTTTATGTGTTTAAATGGTTGAGGGAAAAACTCAAGAGTAGTATTTTGTGACACATGAAAATTATGTGGAATTCAAGTTTCTGTGTCCAGAAATGAAGGTTTTTTTGGAACACAGCCAGGCGTATTCATTTATAGTCTCTGACTGCTTTCACACTAGAACCACAGAGTTGAATAGTTGCAACAGAGATTATATGATTCACAAAGCTGAAAATATTTACTATCTGACCCTTTAAGAAAGAGTTTGCCACTCCCTCCCTGATTTAAAGGATTGAATTCGTTTGAAATTCAAGAATGGAGGGAAACCAGAAAAAAAAAAAAAAGTCCCTCAAAGGAATTCTATAGGACAGAGTAAAACATATGGCATGCAGAGTGCCACTGATCTGAGTGTATTATTGATGGAATTTAAGGAAGTAAACCAAAGGTACCTTAACTTTCTGCAATAAGCCTGATTTAAGAGTTCATCAAGCAATCTCTCAAGAAGCAACACCAATTTCTTAGTCCTCGAATTTGTGTTGGTTTTCTCTTCATTTTTCAGTTTATCTTTATCCTCACCTAGTTGGAGTGTCTCTGAACACACGGATATTAAAGTGTGCTTCAGGGTTATCTGGGGATGTCTGGGCGACACAGAGAAGGCCCCATGTGCTCCTGGTCTCCAGCGCCTGAGAAGTGAAGAGCCACAACTTTTGCCTGGCCTCCTCCGGCCACTTTGCAGGCGTTTTTTGGGTTTCATTTTCTTTTTCATATCCTTGCATCCAGGAAAAACCCTAGCATGTGTCCCATGAATTCCCTGCTCCCTGTGGCTACAGCCAGCTTGCCTGGGATTGCATTATGGCTGACTCTGTCACACACAACATGACTGGTATTCTAGGAAACCCTTGACCACTTATTGACAGTAAGGCAGCTGGAGTGTGGCAACACAGTTTGGAGAACGTGATACATCTATCCTTGTATTTTAGTGGACTGCTGGGGAGACATGACTTTATTAGGGGCTAGCAGTTGGCAGGTGTAGCACTGGCACAAGCAACAAGCTGACCTTTCATTCCTATGAGTTTCCCTGTATCTTGAGTGCTGCTGGCAAGCTGCACTGGTCAGACCTACCCCAGCAGAAGGCTCAGGCCAGGTTTACCAACTGAGGGTCTGAATGAGTTGTCACAGTGAGCTGTTTTCAGTATTTCTAAAGACATGATGAAAAAGACACGTTTGCCCAAAAGTTTTGCAGGTAAAGAAAATGTCACATTTCTTTCTTTTTTTAACTGGAATCATAAGAACGAATGAGATAAGGAGGAGAGGGAACTTGCTTTGGTTGAGTTCCCACCATGTGCCAACTCCATGGAATAGCAATCATATCACCATCTTTACAGATGAAGAAATAGAGAAGTTGCATAACTTGCCCCAGGGTCACAAGCTTGTTGTAGCAGACCTTACATTCACAGGGTTTTTCTGACTCCAGTGCCCTGTTCTTTCCTTTATATCATGTTTCTTCATCTCTTCCTGCAGCTCAGAGCTTAGGCTAGGTGTTTATGTGGCTTTGAGTTAAAAACAGGAGAATGCTTAATTTGGTAGAAAAATCTTTCAAAATATGGGGTACATGGAGAGGAAGGAAATAAAAGAGGATATAGTGCTAAAAATGTTAAGTATCATTCTGAGACCCCTTTCTATACATAGCATTACATTGTACAGCTCCCTAATAAGTAGTACTATTGATAAAGGAGAGATGGGACCTATCAAGGACAGTGATCTAGACTGAAGAATTAGGAACGTGAGGAAAAGGTTAACCAATGATTTGATCAACGGTGGTGCCTAGAATCTGACTCTCGTCTCTCTAGAGAGTGTATCATGTGCTATGGTTCTCTAGCTTAGAGTAGCAGTCGTATTTACATCTGAACTGTATTGATATTTTTTAATAGTCTCCAAGCATCTATAAATTAATAGACCTAGTACGTGTTTGGGGCTCTAAAACTCTGCCAAAAATTGTGGTTGTTTGTGGCACTTAGTAGTTAAAAGTTCTGCACAAACTTACCAAGATAAGAGAGCAAGTCAATGTTCTATGTTCTCTTATGTGAAAATCAGTCTGGTGCAGCCACAAGAGGAGACACAGGAGAGACTCAGGAAAACAAAATTATTATACTCAGTTCCTAGAAACATCCATCATGCCATGTCATACAGGGCCACAGGTCGGGAGCAAGGAGAGTGCTTAGGCCATGACCTGGAAAGGCAAGGCAGGGCAGAGGAACAGTTTAAGATCGGCTACTTTGAATAATTCCAGCGGGCTTTGGGCTGTAGGAGAGGTCTCTAGTTGCCTGTTAACTAGCCCTGGGATGATTAAAGGAGAGAAATATTGCCTCCTGGGTTGCAAGGGTCAGAGGACGTATGGCTCAGATTGGTTAGTTTGCATATCAAAGGCATGCTGGGCCCTTAGCTATCTCTAAGAATTGGCTATGCAGGGAAGGGCAGTCTCTCCCCAGCCAGCAAGGTTTTTTAAAGATGTTAAAACATCATAATAAACAAAAAAGAAATTTTAAAATATAAGCAATACAGTCAACAGTAAGGTACGAACAAAGCTGGACCCAGAGGCTGAGAGAGAGAAAATAATTTTGTGGATTGGTGGGAGAAAAGCATAGGAATGACATGGAAGGAGTCAACCAGGAAGAGGTTTGTGGGATATTGGGCTTCTGTGCTCTTGATTTAGGCTGAAAATAAATGTTTCCATTAGAATACTCTACTTTTTGGTACTGTTGGCTAAAGAAAAATGCACAGCCTAAAAGTTGCAAATGTTTTATTCCGGGAACCTTACTGAGGACTATAGCCCGGGAGACAGTCTCTCAGATAGCTCTGAGGATCTGCTCTGAAGAGGTAAGGGAGGAGCCAGGATATAGAGGAGTTTTTACAGCAAAACAGCAAAAAGAGCAAAAAACCCATGTGGTTGAACATCAAAGGACTACTGCTAATCACAAAAAACAGACATCACAAGTTAATGATTTTAGTGATTTTCTACATATGGGAAGATGCAAGAGTCTGGACTCATTAAAATTATTTCTTAGATATGCATCTTACCTATCTAGGGCCAGTATCCTGTTTTTCTCTATCCTGAATTCCCCTCAGGGTGCACCGTTGGGGGGCAGCTGTATCGGCTGATGACTTGGTGGCAGGCAACATTCTTTGTTTAGTGGAATGGCAGGCGACATTTTTTTGTCTGCAGTACCATTATTTTAAGAAGATATATACAACCTATAAGGGAGGTATATATATAGAAAGTGCCTTGGGAGTTTAGAGGAAGGTCAGAAGTGGCTGGATAATGAGATCTGCCTCACTGGGCCCTACTGGGCTAGAAGGTCAGACCCATGGGGGACCCATCTTTGTATCTCAGACAGTTCCTGACACAGTACCCAGTACATAGTAGATGCTTGATACATCACTGTCACATGGGTGTTGAATGAATCATGGGCCTCTTGGCAGGGCTCATTGAGAATCATGAGAAAGCATGTGAATAATATGAGAAACAGGAGAAAATGTTTATATATCCATTGAGCAACTCCAAGCGCCATCCTTGAGCTATCAGGATAAGTCAGAGTTTTTATTCAGTGTCTCAGTATATAAGTGTATGCAACTATCTTTTGTTAATTCTCACAAAAACGTGAAAAGGGTGGTATGATTTCTGCACTAGTACAGTGGTTTGATATGCAAATAATAGAGTTACCTTTATCTGTCTTTGAACTTAAGTTCATAAGACCCTACTTCTGCTGACAAAAAGATTAAACTTTTCAATTCCATGTCATTCAGCCACATTTACAGTTTAAAGTGGTCAGTTTGAGATATAAAATCAATTAATTCAAGATTATCCCCTTTTACCTTTGTTTTAATTGCCTCCTCTTTACCCTGTTGGTGAGAGAGGGATTCCGCCCTAAGGTTATGGGGATGGCCAAACACATGACACTAAATACTGGACAGATGGGATCAACAGCAGTTTACTCATCACATGTACTCACAGCTGAGGGGAATAGAACATAGCATGCCATGCAGGGCCACAGAGGATTTGTACTTGTGACCAGAGTGAACAACTAGGGGCTTGAGAGGCAGGCTTTGTAGTATCAAGAGGATATAGTGCTTCCTGGCTCCCATAGGAGGATGTGATTGGTTCATTTGAATAATTTTGTGGTCTGGCAGGGAACTGAAACCACTACTTGGGGATAAGCAGGGATTGTACTTGGTCCCTTTGATAAGGAAGTTTGTTTGACTAGGGGACCTTACCCGTGGGAGCAGAGTAGGCAGGGGAACTTATAGTTAGGTCATTCAAAACCCTCCCAATTTTACCAGATGTCAAGGCAGCACTAATACTGGACCTTAACTTAAGCCTTACGCCACACCCTTCTCCTCCTTTATCCTTCTCAGAGGTGATCTAAATTCCTCGGGGTGCTTATAAATCATCCCAGCAGTTGAAGAGGAGTGGCTACCTCACCCATCTCTGTCCAATCCCAGATCTCTTCTGATTGGCCTGCTGCTCAGCACCCCACTTGGACACCCCCTTGTGGGGTCTTAGGCACTCCTCAGGTCTTTCCACAACACTTGACTATCTGCTCATCTCTGGGAGGCTGCCTCATTTCCATCAGTGCTAACATCTCCCTCAGTCATTGCTAATCTCCTTTTTCTTTGTTTTTTTTTTTTTTGCGGTACGTGGGCCTCTCACTGCTGTGGCCTCTCCCGTTGCGGAGCACAGGCTTCGACGCGCAGGCTCAGCAGCCATGGCTCACAGGCCTAGCTGCTCCGCGGCATGTGGGATCTTCCCGGACCGGGGCACGAACCCGTGTCCGCTGCATCGGCAGGTGGACTCTCAACCACTGCACCACCAGGGAAGCCCACTAATCTCCTTTTTGATATCTGCTTTATGCATGACTTGGCAAAGCCCATGGAGGATTTAGGCAAAAGATCCCTTCTGTCCTGGGGATCTTTTGGATCCCCCCGAAACTGATCCTGTTTCATCATCTTTTCTTGGGCATCCACAAGACCTAAGCTCTAGAGACAGTCTTTCCTTGCTCGCTAAACTCATTTCCTTTGGGGCAAGAAAATGATTGTAATTTATCAAGCATACTTCCTTCTCTGTGACTTATGGTATAAATTCCATGCTCTAGTCTTCAGGATTTTTGGTTCTTGATATGCAAAGCCAAGTTTTGTTCAAAACAAAACAAGAAGCTTTCTCTCTCAAACCCCAGGCTCTTATTATTTAGCTTAAAATTTGGTTTTACATATCAGGAATTGCTGTCTCAGCTACTGGTCTTAAAATAAATTCAACAACTGATGTCTTTGTTCTAGAGCTACAGCTGAGCTGTCCAGTACAGTAGCCACATGTGGCTATTTTAATTTAAAAGTTTAAATTAATATTGATTTTGGTGATATAAGACTTAAAATTCAGTTCCTCAGTCATGGTAGCCACATTTCAAGTGCTCAACAGCTATATGTGGCTAGTGGCTACCATATTGGACAGTCAAATATGGACCATTTCCGCCCTGCAGAAAGTTCTGCAGCTAGACCGTGCTAATCTAGAGGATAGCTACCTTTCCCTTGAGGGCTGTGAATTGTGAGAGTGAAGGGCAGTGTGTAAAGAAAAGGGAGTGAGGGATGATGTTGCTGAGGAAGAAACCTGTTGATATCTCAAATTGTTATCTTGCTCTAGTAACCTTGAAGAGAGTTTTGAGCTTTAGAAACTTGAGTAACTGCTGTTAATGAGATTCCCTTCCTGTTTTAGTAGAAGAACATTTTTGGCAGCTGGAAATGCTCCTGCCTACCAGTCTGTCACAGATGACATGTAGCATGGGTTGCCGCCACTGAGCAACTCTCTCATGAAGAGCATGTTTGCTTCCCAGCTCAGCTTGCCACAGCTGCTGGATCCACAGAGCCTCCAGGTGTGTTGAGAGCTATTTTTATACCAATCAAACATGCCTTGTGCTGGAATGCCCTTTAGCCTTCGTAGGCTCTCCTTCACTCACGTGGTAGAGTGGGCTAGGCCCCCATGGCCCGCTGTTATTCCCAGTCAGGTGCTCTCCCTCTAAATCGCTCAACAGGCTAATTGGGACAACAGCTTATCTGCTCACAGCTGGTAGCAAAACCAACACCTGATCTCTTCCATGTAATAAATAATAATGATAGCAATTACGATACGTAAATTAGGTCAGCAGCTGAGTTGTGAACAGCCCGGTAACAACATGCCTTATCGAATGTAATCCTGGCAACTATTATTGCTCCTAGACACTAACTATATTACCCACCTGCTACAACTAAAGAGTTTGAGGTTCTAGAAGGCCAGAAATCAGACTGCTGCATAGTCATGGCAACACTAGGTCACAAACTGTATTAGTTATCTATGGCTTCAGAGCAAATTACCCCCAAATTTAGCAGATTGACACAATAAACATTAATTATCTCATATAGTTTCTGAGGCTCAGGAGTCTGGGAGCAGCTTAGCTGGGTAGTTCTTGTTCAGGATCTCTCATGAGGCTGTGGTCAAGGTGCTGCACCTCTTAATGGGAAGAGAATCAAAGAATTTGTGGACTGGGACTTCCCTGGCAGTCCACTGATTAAGACTTCGCCTTCCAATGCAGGGAGCGTGGGTTTGATCCCTGGTCAGGGAGCCAAGATCCCACATGCCTCGTGGCCAAACAAACAAAACATAAAACAGAAGCAATATTATAACAAATTCAATAAAGACTTAGAAATGGTCCACATTAAAAAAATCTTTTTAAAAAAAAAGAATTTGTGGACGTATCTTCTATTTTTTTGGCCTCACAGTGAGAACTTAGTTCCCCAGCCAGAGATCGAACCCGTGCTCCCTGCGGTGGAAGCTCAAAGTCTTAACCACTGGACCCCCAGGGAAGTCCCTGTGGGCATATCTTTAAAACCACCTCACAAGCCCAGATCTTTTGACTCCAAAACCTCCAACTTAATGTTTTTATGTTACAAAGCTAAGCCAAGCAATGCCAGCATCAACCCCAGGTAAGTCTCACATTTCTACCTTCCATAGCTACAAGACAGTGACTCTTGGCCCAAGCCTTGACCCTCATCTAGACCCGAAGACAGGGTTGGACCGTGACCGTTGGGCCTGCTCCTGCGGCCTTTGAGTGTTGCCTGGGGTTAGGTGGATGCAGGTGTCCTGGCTCCCTGCTACCTGAATCAACTCCAACTCTGGGAATTGTCTGAAGCCAGTACCGAGTCTGGAAGTGTAGAATGGGGTCAGGTGGACAGGCCCGCTATATCCGGGACTGCATGTCATGCCCCAGGGAGTAGGAGATGCCTTGGCTATTGGACAGTGATGTGGAGAAGACAGAGGCCCATGTGTAACGTTGTGGCATTGGTTTTGAGTTGATGCCTAGAACTGGAGCACAATGGAGATAAAGGACAAATATTTAAGGTTTGTAATATTGAAAAAATTTGAGTAAGTTTACTTTTTTTGATTATAAATATGTACTATTGGTTTTATACTATTCTGGGACTTCGAAATACTCGTGTTGACTATTTACACTGAAATCTTAAGTACCCTCAGTGTTTAGTCACTGTCTGAAAAATCAGTTTAAAAAATAAGATTATTACTCTCTCCTGCGCATCATCCGGGACTATCCATCAGAACTATTTCTACGTAATAGAGAAATCATCCCCCAGCGTTTTGGTGTGCAGACACAGACATCTTGTTCATATACAAGTGTCTATTTCTTATGGACATTATTATGCAGCATTATTATATTTATTATTTAGTTCTTTTAGGCATTTGTGCTGTTCCCTTGGAGAGTATTTCTGGAAGATGGAGGACCATTTCCAGTTACAAGTAGCAGCCCAGATACCCTAGAATATAAGATGCAGGTAGGATAGGTCTTCCCACTTGTCACAGAGAGAGCCGAATGCAGACTGCAAAGCAGGTGTCATTGGGTCCATAGGTCTGATCCTTCATACTCTAGTCAGCGGTGAATAAGTTATGAGATAAGCAAGGTGTTTGGTTATGAAACTGTAAACCCAGTGCTGCAAGGTGAGTCATGTTTTCTTATGACAGAAGAAAATCGTGGTTTCAGCTGGCATCAGACTTGAAACAGCTGAAATACTCATGGCTAATAATGATCTGAGGGAGTGGTCATCCATTTCTGGTCACTCTCGGGAACTCTTAGAGTAACTCCCAGGCTGGCAGTTCAGAGACGTGTGACTACTGACCAACCTACAGTAGTAGGAAGAGAACTCTTTAAGCAGGACTCAAAGGGAGAATTTCTTTCAATTATATGTTTCCCCCGATTATTTAAGCAAGTATTATTGTGTTTTCATTTTTTTAAATAGAAAATATTAAAAAAGTATTATTAACAACATTAAAGTCAATGGCACATTTGCTTCAAAATAATATGGAGGTGGGGAGTAATGAAGATGGGGCAGGACTGGCCATAGGTTGGTGGTTCTTAGGGCCGGGTGATGGGAGCTATTCTGTTTGCTTTTGTATGTGCTCAAAAGTTTCCATAAGTAAAAAGATTTTTTTTTAAAAGTGAAATAGTAAGAATGGCTTAAAAAAAAATTAATCATAGTCCCCCACTAGGGGACGGTCACAGTTCATTTTGGTTTTTTTCCAGTATTTTCCCTGTGCATACATGTATCACACTATACATACACCACATATGGACACCACCATAAGGTTTAGGAAACTTGGACTTCCACACAGAGCCGAAAGTCTGATATGTTCAAGGGGGACTTTGAGCTAGATACGTTGCTCTGATTTTTATGGATTTTTTTTTTTAATAGTTGAGAGCATGGGGCTTGTAAACACAACTACTCCTAATTTTCTCCCTCAAAACCACGTGTAAAGGATATATAGAAGTGTTCAAAACAGATGTTTTGGTTTCATTTTGTTCCTTTTCGTTTTTAGCTATGCCTCTGTAGGCTGAGTGACCGTGACCTCAAAGTGGCTCATGGAGAGCTGGCGGACAAGCAGCTGCTAATGGAAGATGTCCTTCTGAGTAACTATCATATGATCATGGAGCGTCTCCCAGGATGGCAGGCCACACTGGACAAAAATACACAGGTATTCTTGGTGAACGGTCTACGTACTTGACCAGTGCTGCATTGTACTGAAGGACCTTTCTATCTGGGAGATGGACTAGATAGCTTCATCCATCCCATAGCCTCTCCCAGGGTCCCGGGACTGTGCTTATGCCGCACGGGAGCAGCAGTGAAGCAGGGGTAGCCCGTGAGAGCCCCTCCAAAGTATGTTCTTTCACAGCAAGTCCCATGATCAGTGGTATATCTATTTCTTTTAATTTTAAAACTAGAACAAACTTCATGGGGGGCAGTCCGCTGAAACCAATTTGAACTCCAACTGGCTGCTTTTCCTTGTGAGTCACACATTTCGGGCTGGAATTGGCAGGGTATGACAGAGGCCCCAGGTGAACGTCTTCAGCCTGGCTCCTGTCTGCATCACTCCGCTAGCCCATGGACTCCTAAGCAAGCACTCCCTTCTCCAGACTTGCCTCCCTGAAGCTCTAAGGTACCAAGAGCCAGTAGTCCCCCTAGTATCATAACTTGAAACAATTCTGCATGATTCTGGAACTAGACTTGCCTGGACGTGGGGTAAGCTAGCCAGTGCCCCCGTTTAAAGAGTCCCCTTTTCAGAGCCAAAGTCTCTGCACCAGCCATTTCCATTTCCTTACCTTCCATCCACTCCTTAGAAACTGTGATCTGTCTTCTTCCTCATCTCATCAAGACTGCTCTCACTGAGAGCACCGTGGTCCTTGTCACTAAATCTCCTGGATACTTTTCAGTCCCCTTCCAACCTGAATCCTTAGCAGCATTTGACACAGTGTGTCCTTCTTGAAGCCTCTCTGCCCTTAGCTTCTAAAGCACAACTCTCTCCAGTTTTCCTCTGACATCGTGGGCCATGCCTTCTCAGACTTCTGTGTCAAGTCCCCTCCCTCTGCCAATCCTGAAAATGTTGCTTTTTGGGTTCTGTCCCACTTCCACCACTGCCAGGGCTGCATTTTGACTTCCATGACTCTAGCCACTTTTGTCTTTGTGGGCCCATTTCTCCATTAAAAAACATGAAGAGCTATAGTTTACAACTGTGTTAATATAAAGAAAAATATATTAATATCATAAATTATAGCATTTTATTCAACCTAAATATTCTTTTTCTTTCTGATTTTAAAAGAAAGTAAAACATTTTGTGGGCCCTAAGCACTGTGCCTTCTGTGTCTAATCAATAAGTTGGCCCTGAACACTTAATAGATCATTATTAATTAATAATGTCTATGATTGAGATTTGTTCAGAGGCTTTATTAACTATTAATTTCTTTAATTCTCACAATAATCCTATGAGGTAGGTACTTTCATTATTCTCATTTTATAGATAAGAATACCAAAACTCAAAAAGGTTAAATGATATGCCTAAAAGTCACTTGCCGAGAGAGAAAAGAAACGCAGGTTCCAACCTAACAGTCAGGCCCCGGAGCTCCCTCACACTCTTATCCATGATATTGCTCCACTCCTCGCCCTCTCCATGGGCAAACCCAGCTAATTTTATAACTTGGATGGCTTTATGCGATGACTCCAAAATTTATATGTCTAGTCCAAATCTCAATCCTATCAGATTCATATGTTCAACTGCCTTGTTCCATCTCAGAGATAACGTGTCCCAAACTGAGCTCATTTTACTGCCCCTAAAGGTGCTCCTCTTTCCTTATTCCCTGTCAGTTAACCACCACCTGCCCAGTTACCCAGGCAAAAAAAATCTGGACACCCATCTTTGATTTCTGTCTATCATACCCCACAATCAGACACCAAGTTCTACTATCCTATTATTTTAATATCTTCCAAGTTTTCTCCATCCTCCCTCAGCACTCCCCTCCACCAGTCCAAATCGCTGTCATCTCCTAATGCTGGGCCAAGATCATAATCTCCAAAGGACTCCCTGTATTCCCTTTGCCTCCTTCACGTCCACTCACCAGGATAGTATTTTAAAATGCAAACCCAATTATGTCACTTCCCTCCTATAACTCTTCGATGACTTCCAAATGCCCTGAGAATAGAGTCTGGGTGCCTTAACCAGATCTTCACAACCTGAATCCTGCCAATATCTCTACCCTCAACTCCTTTTATTTTGTCAGATGCACCATGCTCTCTCCTCAGTACCTTCATGCAAACTGGCCCCTCTGGTGGAAAACTTCCCTGTCCTCCCACTCTCTGCTTCATCATCTGATTAACTCCTACTTATCCTTCAGATTTCAACTTCCAAACCACTCTTTCAGAAGCTTTATCTGATCTCCCACCTTTGAGCCAATACCCCTCTGTGCCAGTTAGGGTGCACCTGCTAGAAGTAACTAGTCATGACTTAAATTAGAAAGTGTATTAATCTTTCCAAACAGGTCTAGAAGGAGGCAGTTCATGTTGGTGCAGGCACCCAGCTCTGCCATCCTGGGTATGTCAGCAAAATGTCTCCCTCATCCTTGTAAGATGAAGACAGGAGCAAAAAAGCTTTCTCCTTAAGGGGCTTTGTCTTTTTATCAAGGAGGGAAATCTTTTTCAGAAGACTTCCAGTAGATTTTTCTTGTGTCTCACTGGCTAAAACTGAGTCACAAGTCCATTTCAGGCCAACTAGTGGAAAATGAAGTATGTTAGATGTGCCAACTAAATTCCACAGCGGGATTCAATGCCTCACCCAGAGGGAGCATTTGCAAAGCTGGATATAGACCAAGTAGTGCCAAGACCAAGAAGCCTGCCAAAGGGCCCTTTGGTCCTTCTGTTTACTCTCTTTTGGTCCTGTTTCTGATGGATTACCATCTTTCGCTGACAATTCTGCCCTCCCCTGCCTTGTTCTTTATCCTGTTTCCTGTTCCTTCGCCCATCCTGTAAAACACTTAGGAAGAGAAGGCTTCTCTTAACAGGAATATATTAACAAGGTAAGTTTGCTTTTAAATTATTATTTATTTTAATTGGTTTTATTTTATGATTGGTTCCATTTAAGAGTATTTCAATATTCATAGACAATAGGCAGCCCTGGAATTTATACTGCCTGTGACTTAGGACTCTAGGTTTCCTGTCCCAGCTATGCCACCAGTTCTATGACCTCTTAGACTTCAGTCTCTAAGACCCCAAGTGAAGGTGATGGATTAGCTCAGGACCTTTAAAATGGTCCCAGGAGCCCTGGGTTCCTCAGAGGCACCTTGGGGCTTTTTGAGTGGAGGGGCCCAACTACATGGCCTGTAGGCAGCCCCCTCCTTGTCACCACGCTTGGCCTTGGTCTGTTGGATATCTTGGGTCACTGAGTAAGATTTCATTTGCTGAAAGGCTTCTGAGGATAAAATAAATTTGGAAACGCATGAATTAGCTGATTGTTGAGGAGGTAGGCTACTAGGTGGAAGGGTTGCCAGCTGTTGGCAGGAGTTCACTCTCCCCTTGGTCTTGCTTGTAGTTCTTCCCCTAACCACCTCTCTTTCTGGCGGCCCCACCCCCATCCTACCCTCCCCATATGTTAATAGCACTGATCTAGGGTCCAGTTACATCATGTGGTGGTTCTTCCTGTTCCTGACCAAGAAACTTGAGTGTCCAAGGTGTTGTTACCTGAATGTCCTCTGAGTCCCTTCCTGTCATAACATCATGGTCCAGGTGTGCAAAGGAAAGCTCCTTTTCCTATAACTGAGACACTGTCTTCAGGCTGAGGGTGGGATACAGGTTCCCCTTCTGTCTGTCACTCTCTGGGTAGCCCTGGCCCTCACATCGCTGGTGCAGGAGAGCAGGGACCTGAAAACCTTATTCCCTCCACGTCCTCCTGGGCTCACAGCAGCCCCTCAACAAACACTTATTTAAGGAAAGCACCAAAGAATGAATGAACAAATCATAATTTTAAAGTGAAATTTCCTATTGAATAATAAATTCAAATCAAGAGACATGTTCTCTGCCTAACTTTTAAAGGATGGGAGGAGGAATAGGAGATAAGATAAACTTAAGTTTCCATTTCCTTACCCATAAAATGGGTAAAATCCCCAATTTAAAGTTATAATATAGCTCTACCACGATGGGTTGTTAAATCTTGAGTGTGTGGAAGAGCTCTTTCCAAAATGCAGAGGCTAAACATGAAAGGCTCAATTTTTCAACGGCAGATAAAATGTTGGCACCCAAGTAAAAGAGTTTTAAAGTGAGTGGTTCACAGCTCAAGCAGAAACTTGAAATGGAGACATTTCTCTCCTTTCTATATACTGTCTATTCAGGAAGGATGCTTATACTCTCTAAGCTCTACATGTGCTGCTGGCCTGTAAACCATTCCTCCTGGGGAGAAAAGTCATTCTCCAAAGACTTCATTCTGCATGAGCTGAATGAATGTAAAAGGTCATCCTGTAGTGGTCTATGACTAATAAAAAAAAAAAAAAAAAAAGAATTTCTGTAATGCTTTCAGCCAGATTTGTCCAGAGTACAAGGATTCAGAAGTCGGTTCCAAAGCAGCCCAAAGACCTCCAGACTGCTGGGGGGCCCGTGTGATGCAGTGATGTCCCTTGCTTTGCTGAGATCATTTCTGGTGCTCTGGAAGCAACTGGAAGCGCTAAAGGAGCACTGGGGCCAACTCAAGCTGTGAGGCCGGGGCATCAGTTCTCGGAGCTCTATGGGTGAGTGTGCTCAGGGGGAAATTCATGTGAAGGAGTGGAACCTGGGACCTGGCAGATGACTGCCCTTGCTCTGAGGGTGATGTTTGGTCCATGAATTTGGTATGCCTAGCCCCACTGATCACAGAGGAAGCTGGGCAGTGTGTCTCTGTGAACAGTGCTTTACGGGAAAAGCTGAGTTCTATTGACTGCAGGGACAGCCCTGGGTTCCACTGAGCAACACTGTATATCATTTTCCCAGAGTTCTGTCCCTGGGAACTGGTGCTTCTGAAGTGTCCCTTCAGTGCTAACTCTAAGCTTTTTAGCTCATAGGATCCCAGCGAGAATTGAGTGGGGAGTGCTGCTGCCGTGACCTCCTCTCCGCTCTCTGCCCCATTAGACCCAAGTCTAATGAGTCTCTGAGAGCCTCAGGCATCACAGCCAAGGGTACAATATGGTGCAGCATGAGGTATTCAGTATGCAGAGTGCTGGGTTGTTTTCTCAACTTCAAGCCCTGGCTGGGGTGACTTAGCTGGTGGGAAAGGCATGTGGTTTCTGCCATGTGTCTGTAACCAAACCAGCATTCACTAAGCACCCAACCACCACCCCAGGACCTTACTGAGGGTATCAGGGCTCACTTTGGTGGCCGAGTCCAAATTGTCTATCTTATGAGTTATGACAGTCAGCTTTCCTGGTAAACAGGGAGTGAGGAGACTTGTCAATATTTTGAAGAATGAAGACTGAAATTAAATGTGCCCAATGGGAAAAGGCTTCACGATTTAATATTGACTAAGGGAGTGGTAACTGTGGTGGATTTAGATGTCGATGTAAGTGTCTGTGATGAGTTGGGAGGTTTATGCATGATGACAGGAAACAGAACATGAATGAAAAGAATTGTCAGAGAATCTGAAAGAGAAAAAATGTTTGTTAATTTCTGTCTCTCTTCTTTAATAGAACTCACATTCTCTACCCTAGCATGAAAGCTATAGCTAGGCGGATCGGGAAAGAAGATGAATTTGAAGGACTTACAATTAGTAGTAAGTCTACTCTTCTCCCTAAAGGAGCTTCAGAAATTGAAATAAAAACTCAGCAGGTATGCAGGAGCTATTTTTTTTCTTTTTCTTTTCTTTTTTAATAGATCTTTATTGGAGTATAATTGCTTCACAATACTGTGTTAGTTTCTGTTGTACAACAAAGTGAATCAGCCATATGCACACACATATCCCCATATCCCCTCCCTCTTGAGCCTCCCTCCCACCCTCTCTATCCCACCCCTCTAGGTGGTCGCAAAGCACCGAGCTGATCTCCCTGTGCTATGCGGCTGCTTCCCACTAGCTATCTATTTTACATTTGGTAGTGTATATATGTCCATGCCACTCTCACTTCACCCCAGCTTCCCCCTCCCCCCGCACCCCGTGTCCTCAAGTCCATTGCAGGAGTTATCTTGAACTTGACTTGAAAATTTGCTTTATGACATTAGCATGTAAAACTACAGATATACCCAAGTGGTGTTTTTGCTAAGAAGATAAGTGTTTATTGAGGGTTTGTAAATTGCTGAACAGACTCTGAGGAAACTCAGTATGTAAAGGTATGTGGGGCTTTGATTAAGCAAATAACTACCCTTTAACATCTCAGTTCTGTAAGTCTAGGTTTTCATATTTTTATTTCCCTCAAATTAAAAAAAAAAAAGACAATAGAAAACATAACCACTAGCATCTTAAACATAAAATCCTGCACACAGGTATCTCCCCTGCAACACGCACTCTCATGGAAGTGGAATATTTAAAATAGCTCCTGTGATTGTTTTTCCGAGAATAAGACAACACAATTTATGTACTAGTCTATTTGGTGTGTGTTGATGGTCTATGTGGAGGGGTTGTTTTCCCAAGTGTTTGTTCCTCTTGGTCCTGGGATGAGGGCTCTGCCTGGCTGTGCTTATTGTAACAGGGAACAAAGACTCTAGCTGGTTGGGTGTAAGTGCAGAGGTGCATGTCCACTGAGCATCCAGGAGAACTCAACACTCGCCCCCACCCCCACCCCCTGCCCCCACACACACCCCAGTCCCAAGCCCGTTGCTTACCCTTCTGAACTCTGCTTCCTCTCTAGCACCTGGGGTCCTCTGACAGGGAGAAACGTGGGCTTTGCAAGCATGATGGGTAGAGTAAGAGCTCAGGGGTATTGGAACAGTTTTTTCTTGATCATGTATGGAGTTTTAAATCTTCCCGTGAAATCCTCCTTGGTATCTAAATTGAGTTTCAGACCTAAGCGCTTCTTAGAATAACAGCTCATGAAATTCCTGGCCACATTTAGAGACTCCAAAACACAAGAGGTCGCTTCGGACATTGAGCACTTTGCAATTTAGCAGAACCTGGTAAAAAGGGATATATTTTATCAATCAAGATGTGGGCCAGGAAAAAAAGATGTCTGTCTCCAAAAAGGTGCATCTACCCAACTTGGGAACCCAAAAAAGGAACCGTTTCTTCTTCCCCAGGAGAGAGTAACAAAAGGACTGGACCCAGCCCAAGGCCCTTATGCAAGAATTTAGGAGCCTAGAGTATAAGCCAATAGTGGAGAGTGGCTCTCAAACTGCTTACACTAGCTTCAGAAACTTCTGGAAAATCTTGAAATTCATATGATCCAGGAGGTATTAAGTTAACAGAGAGATAACACTAGTTGTATCAGAAAAGTCCAAGGAGCAGCATACTCTCCCTATAGGTAAAGTATGTTTATTTTATTACTTTATAAAATAACATTTTTATTTTTTTTTCCTAATTATGAAAGCAATCCATGTGTCCATATTCATGGAAAAACAAAAACAAAAACACTACAACGCCCAGAAAATAGTATAAAAATTACTTTTTAACACCTTGGCCCAAGAAATAAGTACTTAAAAAATTTTTTTTTATTGAAGTATAGTTGATTTACAAGGTTGTATTAGTTTCTGGTGATCCAGTTATATATTCTTTATCAGATTCTTTTCTGTTGTAGTTTATTATAAGATATTGACTATAGTTCCCTGTGCTCAGAGAGAAGTACTTTTAACGTTTTGATATATATTCTTGACTTAAAGGGCTTTTAAGTAGAAAACATTTGTAAACTTCAGTCTCTGCTGATTAACTCACAGCTGAAATAAAGTTGAAATGGGGGAAACACATAAAGCTTTTTCTTATATATAAGCGTATATAAATATATATCTTAGAAATACATATATTTGGGATGGGAAGACAATCAAAATTGTTTCATTTGAGGTCTAAAGTCAGGGTGACTTAATGGGCAAGTGACTAGTACACTCCCACAGGACTCTCACAGGGGCACTTGGGGTTTAATGCTTTGTAGGTTCCATCTTGTACTCTTCATTTTCCCTTAGAATTTGTATTTTGTAAGTGGCATCCAGTGAGTCAACGGAGGATGCACCAAAGGCTTGTAGCCTGGGCTCACACACACTCCTGCTGCCTCCCCACCTTGCCAGGAGGAGTTCTCAGCTGCCTGCTCCTCTGCCCTCTGGCACCCCAGGCACCACTAACTTCCCCCTCACCATCTGCATCCAGCAATGGCTGCCACTCCCCACCCAGTGGGGGCCTGAGCACGGCGAGGGCATGTGTGGGGCATGTGTACCTGACAGCATTTCAGGGACCCCAGACTGGCAGCACCAGGCTATGTTTGATGGGTGACTCACTGGGTGTGAGCTTGTTGCCCATCCCTGGGAACCTAGAATATCCCAGGGCAGAGGTTGCAATACCCTTGGGATTGCCCATCCGCGGTAGATAGGAGCAATGGGCCTGAAGGAAGAGGAGACGCCCAGCTCAACTTCTTCGCCCCTGGCTCGGCATGAAGCCTCAGTCCAGTAGCTAGTAGACCAGGTGCATTCATGCACCAGTCACAGGGTGGGGCCCCTGGTGCCCCTGCGCGCATCCCCATGCCAAGGAGCCAACATTAAAAACAAAAACACTGTGACAGGTCAAGAGAGAGACTGAAGAAGAAAGAAGAACATTTTATATTTTAGTACCTTTAATGGCACTTTTTTCCTGCTTTTTGAACAAGGCCTGCGTTTTTATTTTTCATGGGGCACCATAGATTATGTGGCTGGTCCTTTCTGAACTACAGTGTCTACTCCTAACTCCTACTAATTCTGTAGGAAAATCCACAACCTTTGAGCTAAGGGGAGTTGTTTGACTAACAAAATAAATAATGGTTTCCTTTTGAGACAAGGTTCACAGACATTGTAATGTTAATTAATAACCTTTGTGGGCATCTAAGACACTGTGGTTTCATCAGTGCTTCGAGCAACTGAATTCTGTAAGCAGGACTTTGGGAAAAGGCTTTGCAGTGAGAGAGCAAGCCCCCACCAAATGGGCATCTCTGACTGTCACCAGAGAGTGGAGTGTGGTTGAGCTCTGATTACAGAACATTTAACAAGACACAAAGCGACTGTTGTTTGTGCTGTGTTTGCTGCATCCAGGCGGTTCCCTTCTAAGTCCTTGGAGAAAATCCACAAGCACAGGGCAGGTGCAACCATCTGCACGTTTCAGGGCTGTGATGCTTCTGAGACTTCCGGGTGGGGGCCCGGGGGGGAAGTGTCTTTGCTTGGCAGCTGTGCTATGTGTTGCCTTCTGCAGGGTGCTTGTCAGCTGTGCTTGGAAAGGGCGTTCAGTAAGGGGCTGGTGGGAGTCAGGCAAAGGGGAGGGGTAGAGTTATTTTTAATGGTGGTAAGGTTGATATTACCAAACCTTACCAAAACCTAGAGTATACTGGCCAATTCTAAAGTCTTGTTCAGATTCTGTACTCTTAAGATTTTTTAAATAAATGCCAGTAATGAGGGTGTTTTGTTATTGTTGGGTTTTGTTTTTGAATCATGGTTCAGCATGATTCGGTGGAGAGGCCTAGGTCTTCTCCTGTGCTGAGTTCCCCCAGTACAAGTGATGGAGTCCCCACTGTGTGCTAGGGGTGCTTTTATATTCTTCGTCTTAGTCTTCCTGAGACCTCTGTGGGCTGGGTATGTGGAAGAGGGTGATAAAACCTTGGAGCTCGCACTCACCTACTATTCATCTCAGCAGCAAGAAGCAGCCATAGTGGATTGGGCTTCCAACAGGGGCTGCTTCTTCATGCAGAGATCACCATTTGTGGTCAAGGTTAGCTTGGGGCTAGGGGTTTCTCCAGAGGGAGATGGGAATGGAGAGTATGGAGAACAGGGGACATCACAGGCTCGAATATTTCTCCCCTATTTCCTTCCCTCCTCCCCACCTTGTCTTGGAGCTTAATCTTTTTATACAGCTTCTGAATGAGCTTCCAGTTTGTCAGTGAACATCTGAAAATGTGGCAGCCACACCTGGTCTGGTGCTAGTTCTTGGTAGCTTGTGCTCCCCCGAGAGTGATCAAAAGCAGCCCCAGATATCCTCACTCAGCCTCAGGGCTTGCTTAACAGAGAGATGGGCACCACTGATTCAAAAAGTCTCTGCCATTCCCCATCTTTGACATTTTGGCATTGAAGTAATTTTTAATTGATCTTCTAAATTTCTCTGAGAAGTTTATAAGGCCAGCAGCCTCCAAAGTGGAGGCATATGTCCCAGGGGTGTGGGAAGAAAATACTAGAACTTCTAAATAGATTACATCTGTATGTAAGAAGCCCATGTTACGCACTACACTAAGGCGTCCTGAAGTGACCACGGGGAGGCAATGCACAAGAGAATAATAAGAAAGAGTAGAGTTGACAGTACTAATCCTAGTACATGCTTATCTTTAGCCACATTATGAGGTTAAAAAAGATAACCTAATCACATCTAAGAAGTCAGACAAAACTTTTTTTTAAGTCAAAGAAACTTGGGAATGTGGATTGAGATTCATTCTTATTGTTGATGAATCTCACCCTATGTACATCATGCTTTGCAATATTAGCCATCGATGGTACTGGAGGTAGTTATGAATACATAAACAGACATATGTTAAAGGTGAGTGAACAAAAATGCTTTTCTTGAAGGAAGCACAATCAAAACATTTGGGAGAATATGGGCCAAGTCAGCATTTCCCCAGAAGTGTGCCCTGGAATACTAACTCCTCAGCATGTTAATGCAGTAGTTCTCCCAACCCCCCTTCACT